CAAGTTGTTGACTGAGGATCATCTTTCGGGTAAAACCATTGTGCATGCTGAGATACTGCTTCTCGATCATTTTGAAAAGACCGGTGGGGACTTTCTGAACAATGCTGATAAATACATTGGATGCAGCAAGCCTGCCTGTTATCTTTGCTATCAGTACATCCGCAATCACCCAGGTCGCTATACACTCCCTCCATCACACCAGAAGCTGTATATGAAGTGGCGCCTTCCCGATGTTAGGGAAAGTGAACCTAACGCTGCCACCCGTTTCAGAAACCAAGAACAGATTCTTAGGAATATGACAGATTTTGTGCGAACGGAGTTGAAAAATGACATTGAAAATGGCGTGGGCAAGTTGAAGGGATACCCTGACTCAACTGCAGGAGGAACTTCGACCACGTTTGAGATCCAGACAGGGCTAGAGGCCGACATGGGCTCTTTATCTTTCCAAGAGCTTCGACAGCAAATCGACCCCGACTTCCAATTCGTCGTTGTCCCCAAGCCAGTCAGCAGTGCCAGTAGTGCCTCTAGCACTTACTCGCGTTCTAGCGCGGATACTGCAGTGTCTGATGGGGTTGGAGCTGAATACGATAGCGATGGGGGAGTGGAGGTCTAGAGCTATTCTTCTAAGGACATTGAAGCACTTGAATTCCACTTATATCAAAGGTCCCAAACGTCCAAAGGGCCAAGATTTAGATCTATAGCTTATAACTCTGGTATCCACTGACAGGCATCGTGGTAGGGATCCGTTGGTAGAGAGCGATCTGTTAGTAGGGATCCTCGAGTGAGGGTTCTAGGTCAGATAAGCCAGAGTTAGCAGAGATTCAGAGATCTGAATAGCCTGAGAAACGGCCTTTCATAATTAAGGCTATGAGGAACGGGGTGTGCTACAGAGGGCGTTGTCTGTGACGAGGTTGACATATCTTATCTGTTCTCCAGTCAGGGTCGAGAAAACCGGCCAACGATTTTCAATGGAGGAGATAACAAGAGACTGTCATAGTCCAACGACATGGCACGGTGCCAGACAGGGACACGTTGATCCACGTCTCCGGAATCACCTGTCTCATTGACCCAGCCAGTCCCCGATCTGGGCCATGCTGATGATGCGGATGACAATGCGGAAATCGTGTCCTTTGGACCAGGTCGGGAACACGCTGCGCTAGACCAGAGCATCCTTCGGGCTCCGGACGAAATGGGCGTCAAAACAATCATTTTGAGCTCTTGCCAAATCATGGGAATGGTTCGGGACCATGGAAGAAGGAGACCTTAGCCACGGATACTTTAAGACAGTCCTCGATGTGAAAAAGGTTTTGTTGTCGAGAAGGGCGAGAATGTGTGGAGTTTTGCTCTGTACGAGATGTCGCTTCGGCCATCGTCTTCACACTGGACAAGGTCATCAGTGGCTCTTCGGATAGAGAGTTGAACAGGACGGGTATTACTTGTCCAAACTGGAGAAGTGGGCTTCAGAGAGCAGGCCCAGGCTGTGTCGACGAAGCTCCAGCAGCTTGGTAAACTGGACACCGACGCCATCGATGAGTTGCCTGTCCCTCAGGCGACTGAGATCGATCCCTACGCTGGCCTTCTATGGAGGGCGAGCTGTTGCAGCAGAGCTGCTCGTCTACGGTCTATTGGATGGTCTCCTCAGGAGACAAACAGGAAAAGCTCTTATGGATGAGACTGTCGTTGCAGTCGCCACTGTTTGACCGGCAAGGTGCTTGCCACCGGGAAGCACTGTAGTTGACTAACGCCTTAAGTTTAAATAGGTAGATAGAAATCATTCCTGAGAGGCCGCCATTATCGTATTATGTCTACTCAAATTCTTTGAAAGATTTACAAAAATGTCTGAAGTTAATAGGACGAAAACCCCTGGTTTTAATTGAGATAGTAGACAATACAATGTGGTTCACAATCTTGGATTTCGCAAACTGAAGCACACCACCTTAAGTGCTTAGTACTCAGTTCGAACCTGAGGATCAACATTATGCAAGACTGCAGTGATCTCTGCCCACACCTTCTCCCTCACAGCTGCCGCCCCGGGGCTTGTGACAACTTTTCCGGGACTAAAACACATATCAGCGACGCGAACTGTCAGTGACAGAACAGACCGGACGACTAACTCTGCGATAACCTGATTCTCCAACGACTTCCCATGAGTCTCCACTCCCTGGGTTGCTGCATGCAGTAATGTTTTGCTGCCCTCTTCCACTGTCCTAGCAATCAAAGCTTGGATCAGCTTCAGAATCCACGGCGCCTTCTCCCTAGTCAGGAGATCCGATTTGCAGAATCCCGGTGCCACGGCGTTGACAATGACAGTGGGGTTTCCCGACTCATCACGAGGCACAAGTCGAGCTATTTCTATGGTAATGAAGAGATCCATGAGCTTAGTGACGCCGTAGCGCTCGGTAGCTCCGCCCGCAGCCTGGGATTTCTTCCACTGCTCTTCGTCATTCAGGGCGGTAAGAATGTGATTCTCATTCCGCTCGGCAAATTTGATTGACTTGTGGATATCGCTCGTAAGAAGGGTCAGATGCGGTTGTGCTGATGGATCTCGCTCTTTTGTTCGCAGCAGCAGCGGCAAAAGCTCCAGACTGAGGAGCGCGGTTGATAAAACATTGACCTGGATACCCCTCTCCCACCCATCGCGGGTAACAGCGTACTCGACCGACGCAATTCCTGCGTTCATGATAGCCATGTCCAGTCGGCCGCCGTCTATGACAACGTGTTTGCGAACTCGAGATGCGAAGGCTTGAACGCTAGCAAATGATTCGAGATCGATCGGCCATACAAGTACCTTTCCCTTGTCGGTGCAACGAGTGCTTGCTTCGATGTTGGCTTTGGCATCTTCACCCTTGCTCAGGGTTCGAACGCCCAAAATAACCGTACTGGCGCCCAGGGCGAGCGCATGTCTGGCAGCTTCTCGACCGAGGCCGGTGTTCGCACCGGTGATGAGGATAGTCTTCCCCTGGATAACCGAGGGGGATGGTAAAGTCAGTCTGGTGAATAGAAGGCCGAATAAACCACTCATGTTGTCTTGTATGTCTTTGATATCGAGCAGAGGATTGAAATTTAGTAAGCTCTTAAGAATGCTGTTTATTTCAGGTACCAGCACCTCGCTGCTTGCATCATGAGAACATTGACCAGGTGAGGACTGAAATTGCTATCCGACGGAGGAATCCCTCTCCGCTGAACCAGGGTATCCCAGCCATTATCACCTATTTTTTTTATTTCTTTTTCTATCTCCTAATTCAAGACCTCCGGAGTTAGAAGTTAGGCTAAGTCCATCAGACAACCCTAGCACGGAGATAAGTTGCATTTAATTCCGGCTGACCTGTGTCAAGCAGTTAGGACGATGGATTACTACCTTCTCGCGGTATCCGGTGTCATTAAATTTAGATACTAGGGATACTACCCAGTCTACTAGGTAATTTAGAGCTGAAGATGCATTATATCGACCATTATCACTCTGAAGTTTATATAGGATAAAGACTTTCTATCTACAAAAGTTGAAGCCTCCATATGGCATGATGTAGGGTTAGTAATTCTTACCTCTGCATGGTTGTTGTTCTTAGAGGTGTTAGCACTAAGGAAGGATAATATAGTGTCTATGCATCTCCGCCACATGCTTTTAGTTAGTAAATCTGATCCATTTGGAATGATTACATTGTATATACTAACACTAGCCTTCAGGCTATGAGATACTCTTAACTGCGTTTCCAGCATAGTTGGTCGAATTAATCGGCTCAATTGGTTCCCTCACTACTAGCAGGTATGGATATCCTGCGATTCAACAGCAGATTTCATCAACCATCAGACCATCCACTATGGAAAATACACAGAACACCAACGGCGCCTTTGCAGTTAGATCAACACCCCCGCCTTAGATCCCTGCCTCAACCATGGAGTCTGTGTTGCGCCAATAGTTGCTCACCGAATGTCAACTTGATATCAACTTTTAACGCGTGGTAAGCCGCCAGTAATTGTCTATCATATGCCTCTGACCACTAAGTCCTCAACAGTTATTTAAAGGACACAACATACGCAGAAGTGAACACAAACATATGACACAGAATACATAGTCAACTTGTCCCTATACTACAATGTTCTTTCTACTATTAATTCCCATGCTTCTGAACCCATTCCAACCATGCGAGGGCTCGCCAACCTTCCAAGAGGAACATCGGGGCAGCTATGTACCAAAGGTTATCAAAACAGGATATGGCCTCCAGGTTGTGGCGCCGGATACTCCATACATGGCAGCAGCCGGCCCAGACAAGCTAAACTTCATCGACACGCGGTTCGATCCTGAGACTGCAAAGCACGTGAAGGAACAAATTGAGAAGGCAACTGTGCCGAACCCGGAGGAGTACGTTGCCATAGACGAGATTTCGGCTACGGCGGAATTGAAAAACTCTGTGACTGGCGAGACAACATTCGTGTTTGATCCCCCCTATGCCAGGGTGCTGTTTGCAAAGGGAATGAACAGGAGCAACCCCGAGCTCAAACTGCCTGAGGATGAGCCCGCCGGTGATTGGTTGGTGGCCTGCGACCTGGACAATATACTTACGCAGCGGGATCATTTGTTTTGCTACGATTTGGCTGTTATTCCAACCAGGACTGCAGGGAATCTGTGAAGAATCCCCACTTCCCCACTTCCCCACCTCCACACTTTTTACCCAGCTGTTACCAAACTGCAGCCCTTTTAGCCAACTGCAGTCCTTTTAGCCAACTGCAGTGCCGAGGCCAGTAGCTGCACCGGAACCCAGAACCATAGAGCTGTCCCTCGAAACAGGCTCAAAACAAGCTTCACTCCTTCAACCACTAGAAGGTCACGCGGCAAAATGCACATATCCCAACCGCTTCGTCGTACAGGAAAAAAGGATAAATAGTCATTTTCGCAGAACATAAATAGAGGTAGAACGGACTCACAGCAACATTGACCAGCAGAGGCTTCTCTTCCAGCTACACACATCCATTCACCAGCATTCAATTTCTCTTCAATCACCATGAAGGTCACTGCAGCTTTCGCAGGCCTCTTGGCCACGGCACTCGCCGCCCCTGCCACCGAACCTGTTCTGGTGTCGCGAAGTGCTGGTATTAACTACGTCCAGAACTACAACGGCAACCTTGGTGACTTCACCTACAACGAGAGTGCCGGAACATATTCCATGTACTGGGAGGATGGAGTCAGCTCCGATTTCGTCGTTGGTTTGGGCTGGAGCACTGGTTCCTCTAAGTGGGTGACTATATCATTTAACATAGGTCTAGGATCTAACGTTTATCAGGTCTATCACCTACTCTGCCACCTACAGCGCCTCTGGCTCTGGCTCCTACCTCGCTGTGTACGGCTGGGTCAACTCTCCTCAGGCTGAATATTACATCGTCGAGGACTACGGCGATTACAACCCTTGCAGCTCGAGCTCGGCCACAAGCCTTGGTAGCGTGTCCTCTGATGGAGGCACCTACCAAGTCTGCACCGACACTCGGGTCAACCAGCCATCGATCACGGGAACGAGCACGTTCACGCAGTTCTTCTCCGTTCGAGAGAGCACGCGCACATCTGGAACGGTGACTGTTGCCAACCATTTCAACTTCTGGGCGCAGCATGGGTTCGGCAACAGCAACTTCAATTATCAGGTCGTGGCGGTGGAGGCATGGAGTGGTGCTGGCAGCGCCAGTGTCACGATCTCTTCTTAAGAGATGAGGGGCTTAGTAGTCGAAACACTTTTCAGGAGGTGTGATTATCGGGCTGGGGGTTTGGCGGTTTCAAATATCGAGACCGTATGTGGTGTGGCGAGGCGGAGCTGTAGGCGGCTGCGTTTTCAACTTACACAGGCAATGGACTCTCGTTTTCTCCGATTTTGAAGTGTTTTATAATAGTATTCGCCCTATATTTGGTAGAGACAGCCTTATTCCGTAGGCCAGCTCACTTTTTATCCCTATCCTAGTTTACCTTTTCTACACAAAAAAGACTATAAATCTCCCAAGCTTTCGGTTCACAATATGATCGATGTCTCTGGGACTATTATTCCAAAAGTTATGGACCTCAATATGACAAAATATAGAAAAAGAAACAGGCTCCAACAACAAGGTCCTAATGTAGCTGTCGCCAGATTCCGTTTCTCATGCCTCTGATATGCATATCAGTCGTTCACAGTCCATGGTGGTTTTGTCTGGCTCTGGTCCCTGGAGGATCGTCGATGGTTCTTGGTAGACTTCGCCAAGCCCACCCAAGCCCACCCAAGCCCACGGTACTTACGTGCCCGCCAAGAACCCAGCCAATTTCTCCTGCTTTAGACACGCCATTTCAGTGGGGCAGGATTGCACGCCTCTCGTTTCCTGTAAATTACAGTTCTTACCTTATTGGAAAAGCAAGGTCTATTTCAAGCAAAAGGAGATCTACAACTAAATCGAATATAGACTAGCGTGTTCCAGGATAGGGCTGGGAAAACAATTTGTGAGGGTGAATGTGTTTTCGAATATGGCAGTAGCCTGCAGTAACTAGGATGGGTAGATGCCGCCTATTTCAAACAAATATAGGCTAGCTATACTTGAGCATTCACGACTTATGATCACACAGCGATTGCCTGTTCGAAAGGACGAAGAGAAGTGGAAAGAGGTGAGTGAGATAAAGCCCTGGCAACCATAACAAGCAAAAACAAACACACTATCAACATTCATTGGATGCCGTGAGAAAACAACTCTGCCAATCAACCTGATATCAGAGTCTGGATTTTTTTTGACGTATGGTTCCACATGGCCTCGACTCGTACCACGGAGTCTGGACATCATGGGACATGCGAGGCTCATCCATTCCAGGCGTGTCTACACCCTGCTTCCGCGTTGTATCGTACATGATTGGCTCGCCGCTACTCCGTCTTGGGTAGCATGCGTCTGTCCCATCAGGCGTGTTTTCCGGCAGAGAACGAACCCCTCTGCCCAATTCTGCTGACCCTCATTCGGTTGCCGTTGCAGGCTCTTATGTTGGCTTCGCATGGGTAGGTGGCAAATCCCTACTGGTAGATTCATACGAAGGAAGACTCACCGTGATATACAAAGAGCTGTTTGGCCCAGGCTAACCCCCAGCTTGCACCAAGGTTGCCAATATCTGCTGTACAGATCGCTATGTCGAAGATAACTAAGAATGGAAAATTTCAAAGCGTACGATCACCGTTCATGAAAAATTCAGTTGCTAACTAACAGCCGAAGACTCATTCGATCTCCAGAATTTCACTTTCTTATTGGACCTGATCGACAGAAGTTGACAATCCACAGCGGTCTTGTTCATAACTTATCGGCGCCTCTGGATGCTCTAATGAACAATGGCTGTATGAAAGAGGCGGTATCCAGAACTGCTACTATAGATGATGTGGAAGAGGAAACTTTCATTGCTTTTTGTGAGTTTGGTTACAAGGGCAGTTATACTACGCCTTGCCGCAAAGACAAAGACAATGATAGCTATTCTGGTGCAGAGAGTAAGTCCTGGGTAATGTGTCACAGGAAGACTTACTTATACCCAATTTAGATCGAGTGCAATTGAATGACAGCAATCCACAACAAGAATCAGAACCGTGGCCAGAACCAGAGCCGGAACCAGAACCAGAGCCGGAACCAGAACCAGAGCTGGCACCAGAACCAGAACCAGAAGCAGAACAGGAACCAGAACCAGAGCCAAAAACACAAGTTATGATTCCCTATGAGTGGGCAACCCTCAGCAAGAAAGCGCAAAGAAAGAAGTTCTGCTCTTCACCCCCGCTAGAGATCGAATACGCGAAATCAATCTACGTTCTAAGTCCATATGAACGCCGGTGGAGTCAGTTCAGAGGTCTTCGCTTTGCTGGAGATGAGGCTACAATCTCTCCCAATCCAGATCTTCTTGCCCACGCAAAAATATATGTGTTCGCGACACGATATCTTGTTGACGCATTAAGAGAACAGTGCTTGAAGTCACTTCATCGTGACCTTTCCAACTTTGCTCTTAACGGGCGAACTATAACACACGTCCTGGATCTGCTAGAATATACCTACGAGCAGACAGGCAGACAAGAGCCGGGTGGATGTTGTTCCCTTAGGAAGTTGGTTATTCACTACATCTCATGTGAGGCGAGAACACTAGTTGAGAATACTCGATTTCGGCGTATTTTGGATGACCATGGGGAAATGGCCTCGGATCTTGTTGCGAAGCTTGTTGAATTTATGGGCTAGGGATCAGTATCACCGGAGGAAACGCACCTTGATTATCCCTCGGGTGAATTGGATAGGGAGAGGATACCACAAGCCCCAGATAAGCAAGTCACATTCGAAAGAGTGTGTATTGAAAATGAGCTCATGAAGGAGAACAGTGTAATTCTATTGCAATAGAACTCTAGCAGCATAAGCCACTGTCGCATCGGGGACTGTATACCTACCAAAATAACCGGACAACCCAATACCAGTTCTGCATTTCGCTTCAATGGCAAGGACCTTTCCGGTCGATATTACCGCGAGTTCTAGTATCCTACAAAAAGCCTACCCTGAGTCTCACAAGCCTGAGGACCGAACAGTACTACCATGTGTCAGGTTTGAAGTGAATATTTCCCGATATGAGTGCCTTATACAGCGTGGGGTTCTGCGAATGGAAGGGGGTGTCACCCAACTTATCCCAGCCAGCTGACAAATAACACGCTTCCACAACGCCGTTGAGGATTGTTTCCGCTATAAAGGCCGCGCCTTCGACGTTGAGATATACGATCGTTTCAAAAGAAATGGGCCAAGTGGGACCGGAAATCCAGCACGGCGGAGTTTAACCATCAGCTCCAAGCTCATCGAGGTAGCTCTCAGAATTGTGAGAAGTGTAGGGAATTACCGGATGAACCCCGAAGGGTGAATAGTTAACCCCACTCATATGTGTTCAGGCAATGATCAGGAAGTGATCAGGGACAATATAGAGGGCTCCAGGTCTGCTTAGCTAGCCGTCAGGGCATGTATTTTCTCTCCAGTCATGATCAGGCTGGCTCAGTAAGCAAAATCAGAAATGCAAGATAGTATAGTTTCTGCAAAAACAGTTCAATGGTCTATCATTATGAATACTCCGTAAAAATGCTGTTATCGATAACGAGTACATCGTCGGGCAACAGTGTTGTGGATAACATTCCACACAAGGAATGCGACATCAACATCATCAATTCCTTCTTCCAGACTTTGATTTTGATTCTCACACCCGATCATGATCACCAAAATCTATCACCATGCAATTACTATGGCTATTATTGATCTCCCCCGCATATAGCATCCCCTTAGACCTCAACGATACCACCTCCATCAAAAAAGCCGCCCATGATGTCGCCGCCAACATGCTCTCCCACTATACCGGGATGAAACCCGGCGACAACCCGGGCAACCTACCACCCCCATACTACTGGTGGGAAGCCGGCGCGATGTTCAACGCACTCATCGACTACTGGTACCTGACGGGCGACAGTACCTGGAACGCAATCACCACACAAGCCCTGACCTGGCAGGCCGGGCACACAGGGACATTCATGCCAACGAACCAAACCAAAACGGAGGGAAACGACGACCAGGCCTTCTGGGCGTTCGCAGCCATGTCCGCTGCGGAGCGCAACTTCCCAGACCCAGGCCCCGACCACGGGCCCGGGTGGCTGGCGATGGCGCAGGCGGTGTTCAACACGCAGGCGGCGCGGTGGGACAAAGACACCTGCGGCGGGGGGCTGCGGTGGCAGATCTTCAGCTTTAACAACGGGTGGAATTACAAGAATACCATTTCCAACGGGTGTTTCTTCAACCTGGCCGCAAGGCTGGCGCGGTACACGGGCAACAGCACGTACGCGGAGTGGGCGCAGCGGATCTGGGACTGGACGGTGGACGTGGGCTTCCTCACGGAAGAGTGGCTGTTTTACGATGGGGCGGATGTGCTGCTGAACTGCTCGGACTTTAATCGGATCGAGTGGACGTACAACTCTGGTGTGTATTTGCTGGGCGCGGCCAACATGTACAATTTTGTAAGTCACCCGCTTATCTGATGAGCGTGGCTAACGAGATAGACGGACGGCGACCCCCAATGGGAGGCGAGGACAAAGCATATCCTGCAGGCGACCGACGTGTTTTTCGTCAAGGACCCCGCCATGGTGATGTACGAGCGGGCGTGCGAACTCGTGAATACCTGCCAGGTCGACCAGCGCACCTTCAAAGGCTTTCTCGCCCGCTGGATGGCGGCGGCCACGCAGGTCGCGCCCTTCACGTACGACTGGGTCATGCCACGGCTGCGGGCGTCAGCAGCAGCCGCCGCGAGGACATGCACTGGCGGTCCGGATGGCGCTGCGTGCGGACTGAAATGGACGACGGGGGCATGGGATGGGAGTCAGGATGTGGGATTGCAGATGAGTGCGCTGGAGGTGATGCAGGCTCTCTTGATCGACCGGGTAGATCCACCGGTCACGGATGCCACCGGAGGAACTTCAGTTGGAGATCCTGGCGGCGGAATGGAGCCGCACGATCCACGGCCGCACGTGCTGACGATGACTATCACCGGGATAGATCGCGCGGGGGCGGGGCTCATGACGGGGATGTTGGGGCTGTTGGTGATAGGAACGACCGGGTGGCTCCTTTATGAATAGCTTTGAATCTGTAGATGTGTACATCAATCAATGGATATTTATTGAAGGGCAGCCATAATCCGTCGCAACGCTTCGTCCAGGTACGCCTGCGGATGCGCAAAGACAATGCGGAACCATCCCGGCGTCTCGGACCCAAACAACGCCCCCGAGGCCAGATACACCTTGTTCTTCAGCAACCGCTGCATGATGACCTCGCTGACGTCCTCATGGATCGCCTCAGGATGGCGCTGGAGATACGGCGTGCCCAGGTCCACCCAGACAAAGAATCCCGCGTTCGCTCCAGCCATGTACGGGATCTGGTTCTGCGTCAGGAATCCTACTGTATAGTCATACGCCTCTTTCAGTTTTTCGCAGTTCAACCGGATATACTCATCCGTATACGCATCGTCCTCGAGAACATTTGCTGCGAGATGGTCCGCCGGCCCAGACACATACGAGTACAGCGCGACACTGTCCACCGCCGCACGCACATCCTTATTCCCCTGGCTGATCAGCGCCCCCAACCGCAGCCCATTCGCACCAAAATCCTTGCTCATACCCCAGAGAACATGGACCCGGTCCGCATCGATGATTCCCTTGGTGTCAATACTCAGCGCAGAGACAAATTCTCCTCCGCCCCATACGGACAACGCATATATCTCATCGCTGATAAAATGCATCCCGTGCTCCTGGCACAACCGCATCAGTGCAACTATGACATCGCGCGAGTAACACCGTCCGAGAGGATTATGCGGGTGACACAGCAGCAGCGCACGACACTTCTTTCCAGTCTGCTGCTCGAAACTGGTCAGCGCGCGTCGGTACGCGTCCACGCAGTCTTCGCCGAGCGGATCAGCTCCTCCAAACGGAACAGTCACAACCTCCGTCCCGAACCGCATCGAGATATCCGCGAGGAAGGTGCCGTAGTACGGTCTTCCCAGGAGAATCCCCTCGCCTTTATCCGCCAGCGCCCAGGAGAGATGCTCGACTGCCGCGGAGACACCGTTGGTGAGGATAAGATGCTGCGGTTCGAGCGGGGTAGCCGGGTTGAGGCGTCGGTTCAGGAAGCGGGCCATGACCGCTTTGAGACGCTTGGAGCCGGATGCGCCGTCATTGTAGGTCAGGGATTTGGAGGTGAAGCGGAGGTGCTGGTGCATGTGGTCCAGGAGGTACTCGTGCATTAGGAGGTTCTCGGCTACGCCGACGCTGTAGTAACCGTCAGGGTTGGTTTCGGGGTCGTACATGTTGGCCAGGACCTCCCAGATGATGTTGGTCTCGTTGGCGTGGAGGACGTCATTTGCGCGGGTTGAGAGGGCCATTTTCATAGATGGGAGATGATGAGGTGAAGAAGGAGAGGGAAGAGGAAGAAGAGGAAGAAGAGAAAGAATTATTACTTTTTTAAAGGATGCGAAGTGAGTCAATTGAGTTCGTATCTGTGGGTCAAGTAGCGCAGCTATTACCCCACAACACACGGACCGCTCAGCAGAAATATGGGCATAAGTGTTACGAGAGGTCTTGTGACCTAGTATTTCATATTAACAGAGGTCTGATTCTTGTTTAATAAGCATCTCCAGAGTATCCAGGGATCTAGTTATACACTGAAATGCACCTAGTGAAATAGAAGGCATTTTATGCATAGCACCTGAGGGGTATAGAGCTGTTCTAACCGAAAACGGCTCCATTGCATAGCCGTCCTGCCGCATCAGGCTCTCATTGGCTGACACAGCAAGGTGCATTCCTTTTCCGGTATAGCGCTCCTGTGTCTCCGCCCTCGCTGCTTTTACCTCCTCACCTGCCGCTCCAACAGCTCTCCCTTAAGGAACAGCGCATTTTCTCCCCCTATTTGGGCGGGGTATACAGGCAACCGAGCCCCAGTTTTGGAGAGCTCAAACTTGGCCATTGTTAGGTTATCATGAAGCAATGCCAAGGCCCTTGCCAGTGATGCTAGAACTGAAGTTTTACTTGTTTTCTCTTCATATAAATGACGTCATAGGTGATCATTATACCTGAAGGTTTTTATGCTTGAAGTTCTTGATAAAGATATTGTTCTAAACGCGTTGTCACTACTCTAGCAGAAAATATAAGGAATCTACCCTTGGCTACTGTATAGATCCAGAGTCGCGAGATGCCTGGGTCTTGTGGTAGTGTTGGTCTTTTGCCCTTATGAGAATGGTCCAGTGCGAATAGATAGAGGTGGAGCTGTATGGCCACAGGGCCAAGAGTATCACGATCTGTCTAATTCCTTGGTATAAGAGGGTAGCAAGATTAAGGGGAAGGTAATGCGAACACCCAGAGCCGCCATGATGATCTTTTACACTGTACCACAGGCTACAGTACTGGTGATTGGTTAGGTCAGCATGGGTTTTTTGGAATCTAGGGCATCAATGGAGTAATTAATTCTTATTGTTGGCTATCGTCCTAATGATCCTATGAATAGCTCCACACCCAATTATCCGTGACTAAGGCTCACCCTCACCGCTCCGTCACGGATACAGCCCTACCTCTCCACAGTGGATCTACTCATTTACCTATGTCTCTTCCAACTTTGAGCTTGAGCATCTCTATATAATATACTCTATTCTCTCTGTTTTAACAGACTGCAGGTTTTCACACAAGCTTTTATACAAGACAATGTCTAGATATATATGTCTGCAGTGAGGCAAGCATAGATTTACTAATAGAGCATCCACTACATTTCGTGCCTAGAGGACATTGTATAAATGGCATGATGGAGTAGGTATGGAGTACTATGGCTCTAGTGGAGTATGGCTGGGTTCAGTGTCTAAGCGAGTTGATATCCTTTTGATAATATCCCTCATTGCGGTACAATGTTGCCTGTTGATTTACTTAAGATCCCTGTCACTCCACTAAAACTCCATTTTTCTTGATGAACTCTTGACCATCATCTATCCACCCGGTATAAATTGTCACGGAGCGAAGCGAAACTTCTGGTATGCCCCGGTTGCACTTGCAGTTAAATAAGATACTGATTCCATCTCCTAGACTTCAGAAACAGCAATTCTGCAATGCCCACACAAGAACTTCCTCAATTGTTCTTCCGATACTTTCCCTCATTCATCATCTTTACGTTGATCTTGTGCAACACCTACCAGTACTATGTTGCTTATGAAGACTGCAGTCTCGGCAATCGCCTTATCTTTGCCAACCTTAGCTCATGGCTCGCCATCGCCTACTTCTATCAACGGCCAGCCTCTGCCGGACCGGTGGCACCAGATCGATCTCGTTGATGCGAGCGGTGTCGAGTATCCAGAGTACGCTCAGTCACTCGTAATGGGTCTAACTGGCAATACCACCGATGTTGATCTTCAGAAGCGCCGTCCAGATGATGTCTGCAGGTACATCATTACGGCAAATGCCTGTCTGGGTATTGGAAGCTATGTGGTTGGTTGGGCGAAGAGCATGGCACAGATCATCAAGGATCTCTCGAATAGCCATGATTGTGGTGTCATCGACGGCACTTACCGTGATATCAGATACGTGTTTTATGCTTCGGGCCGCAACTGCGATACCACTTCCCAGCAAGACACTATTGCAGGTGCGATCAACAAGTATATGCACAAGGTTGATAACGGAAATCTATGCCACACTGAATGCTTGCGCATTACGCACGGTGGTACCTACAGTGGATGGCTCAAGGTCGGACCCAAGAACAGCTTCAAGGAAAATGCCTATTGTGGCACCCACTTGAACTTTGATCATTGTATCTCGGGCGGCAATAATGATATCTGAGCATTCCCTCGAAGTTGTCTCGTTCAACGGTAGGTTTCCTCCTCGCACCTGGGACACAGACTTTCATACTAACCTCATCAGCTTTCGCCTCTTGCGCGTCAGGGTGCCTTCCCAAGGGCGCATCGGCCAATGGATTTGGATGGGATGGTTGCTGTATGTGCGGAAGATGGCTGTACAGAGGTAAGGTGTGGGAGGAAAATCAGTCCGATGAGCAAAAGTTATAGACACTAATAGTAGATGGACAAGAAGATTTGGATATACTGGCATGTATGAAAGTGAGGGCTTGGTTGCCAAACGCAAGAATTGAAGCAGATCATTCTAAAGTACCAGCCAGACTACCCATGTCCATAAAACAGTGATACAGTGGACTGCATTGTCGATCATGTGAAGTGCCTGGAGAAGCCACGGGAAATTGTGGCCCAATGTGACGCAAACTTTTCCATGCGGATGAGCGCAAGGAAATAACATTAAATGCGGTCTCATTGGCCTATTATTCCTGTCTAAAGGAAAGGAAATGCATTCGGGTTCGTATTTGTGGGTCAAGCAGAGCAGCTATTACTTTCCAGTATATATACGGCATAGATCTACCCCGCTGACTTCAATCCCCATGTCTATTTAAATCTCGATATAATGGCTCTATCAATAGATGCTTTTCCAGAAGAGATATTCATCGAGGTCTTAACATCTCTGAAGCTCACATCAGGGCCATCTGCATTGATCCCATGCCTCCTCTGCTGCAAGAAATGGCATCAATCGACCATTCCCCTCCTCTACCGCGATATTATTCTTAAAAACTCCAACTTGGAGCACTTGTTTTCACAATTCCCAGAATCGCAAGGCGGATTGGTCCGAACATTGACCGTCGCCCTAACCTACCCCATCGAAAACCCCGATGGCCGCTGGCAGCGAGATGCTTATCTAGGTACCCGAAAGACACGTCGAATGAAACGTTGCCTGAGGGCTCTTTCGGGGTTTTTGCGCTGTATGAGCAATCTGACTACGTTCTCCTTTGCGATACGCCACGACATGGTCGACGGGACGACAAACCTGCAGTTCCCCAGAGATACTCTTACCGATATGTTGTTGGCTCTTCCACAAACATGCGTTAACATTGAGATTGTCGTCTGCGGGCCCGAGGAGCGAAACAATCGCAGTCCAGATGATTTCTGTAAGACTCTGATACAGATTCTTCCTCGCCTGAAACATCTCCGTCTTCAAGTTGGTCGTCTCTGTCCGGATTTTCTAGGGGAAGCCGGCTTGGGAAAAGACGATACAGATGGCTCAATCTGCATCAGTTTAAACCCCGCTCTCTGCCCAATTTGAAATCAGTGGGGATAGACCGTCACCGTTGCCTCTATTGTGATTATATTGAAACTCTGCCCGATCAGACAGAGGCGGTGTGAGTCGTACGGCGTGAATGGAAGCCGAGGAGGCAAAAGTCATGCCAAATTCAAGGCTGGACTGTTACTGAGATCTCTTCACCATGGCCTTTTCTAATGATCAAGATTTCCTGTCATCAACCAACTGTTGCTACATAGCTGGCAGCTGGGCAACGGTGCCATAAATTTGCTGAAAATAGGACGCGGGCAGTCCCTACCAGATAGCTAGGAGCGAAGATGTACCGGACAGGGGCTCATGCCCGGTTTGGATACGACTTGGCGAGTGCTGAACGGATCGAGCAATCTGCGGTCTCTGCTGGTTACGGAACTACTAAAGGCCCTATGGTGGTCTGGAAGAAGGGATGGGGTACAATAAATGCTCAAAGCTGTATTCAACATGTAGTTCCTCTTATAACAGAGTATATCAATCAACATCCTCATCGTCAACTAGTACTGGATGGTGCTCCGGGGCATGATGCTCATCAGACGAGATGATTAAGTATGCAGCAAAATCGTCCGTCTCCGCTAATCAAATGGAGGAAAAGCTTGCTGAAATTTTCAACATAGATTGTAAGCATCTCCCCCTTTGACGACATAAAAGCTGGTCTGTAGAGCATTCTGATTGATGCTGATTAACTATCTATGTAGCCTTTACTATAGGTACTGCCCAGCGTCCGCCAAAGCAGGTCAAACTTGGTTTCTTCCTAGTGCACTGTGTAACTTAATCAATATTCTTCGCCAAAATCATCACCCTTCTGTATCTGGATATCCATACCAAGCTGCGTCTGCTTGAACGGGAACGCCGTAGAGACCTTAAGTTTCTACGTATCTGGAAGACTACCTGACCTCCAGGTGGATGAAGTGGCCACATACAAAGCCCTAAAAGTCTGGAAGACTGTCTTGTATTTAAACAGTGTACACCGATATGACAATGGCCATCTATCCAAGCTGGTGAGAGCTTTGGCAAATGGTGAAAGCTATGTCAGAAAATTGAGCCTCAAGCTAAAGAGTTAGGCTTCAGGTTACTGGTAACATGTGGCAGACGCTTGCAATTTAGAAGACCGTGGCCACTTAAGATCTAAATAGATAGATTCTCTTGGTTCAAGTGGGCCTCAGGGGTGGGATGTGAATCGGAGCTTTTTGCCCGGAAGACAAAATTCGCGTTCTCGAGATAATGAGAAACTGGTTGGTAGGGGCCCGAGACGCTTGTTTGAGCTGTCCCTAATAGCTCTGCGGCAGCAAGAAAATTCTCGTCTCGGTGCAGATTTGCAGCCCGTTGGTACCTTCTCTGAATCACCTTGGGTGCTTCTCGAGCATAGCGACGTAGAGCTGCCACGGCAGTCCTATACCCTTGATCATTGGGGCTTTGGAACTTGCACATCCTTTGATGATCTGCACTTATGCCGCATCTTTCCGTGTTGTCGAGAATGGGTGCTGCACTCGTTTCATCCACGATATAATCTCTTTTGTATTTGAGATCGGTCTTTTCCTGCTCCCAAAAGAAAAAGACACGGAAATTTGGCATCAGAGGAGCGAATTGATCGGTGATATTCTGAAGTACCTCAGATTCTTTTTCGAGTGCGTTGACCAACCCCGTTTCAAATTCCGCCATGGTCTTTGGGATAGTAAGGCATGCCATTTTCTGCAGACTACCAAGGAGATTGGCTTTGTTTGATCCATGATGTGGTGTGCCGAAGAAAAGTATAGCAAATGTACAGGTGTAAATTGAATGGATATGAGTGAGTCTGTGTCGACTCTCTGCGTAAGCCAAGGCCTGTTCGTAGTCAGAAATCGGCGTGTTTCTGTATTCGCGGTATTGCTGTCCAACTTGAACATACCCTTTTGACTATAATACCTCCGAGGGAATGGCATATAAAGATAATGGGTCTTTGCGTCGCATCTTCGAGCTACTGCCGTCAGCAGTGTCTCATTTAGTTGATTCCAGCGCACCTACATCTCTATCAGACTCCAGCTGAGAAACCAATGTCTGTGCGTGTTGTAACACTCTATCTGAGCTCGGCCTCTTTCCGTTCCAGGACGAGATACTCGCATTATAACCCCAGGCCAGGACACGGGCACGAGGAAGATATTTCGGCAAATAGGCCGGATCGCTCAACCAGCATGTACCTTGTGGCTTGGATGTCCATGTCTCCGTCACATGACCATTCAGTCCATGCACAGCAACGATACTGATCGGGTCGTTAACAGAGTCGCATGTCTGATAAATTCGAGCGAACTCACTCAATTTCGGCTGCCTCATCAGCTGGACGGTATAGCTCCTGTATGCCGTAGATTTGTTGAGAATCATCCATGTTTTACCCATTCCCTAAGCTCTCTAAAGTGCGCAAGTGGAGAATTGGTCATTGTTGGCTACCCGGATGACCTGAATTTATGTCAGAAGCAGTTTCCATTTTTAGAACGGCCCAGCCTTTTGAATGAATGGGAGGCCACAGTCCTGACACTGTTTTGGCCACCAGCGAGTGACCTACTCTGCATTAGTGCGGGCGCTTACGCTGAAACGAATATTTATTACATCAAATGAAAACCGCAGGCGGTAAATTTCGGTCTCTTGCTCCCAGAATTTGCTATTGTCTATCAGGCGGCAAGAGTAACTTATTCCATAATGCGCTCTGCGAATCTTTAAGTAAACCTGTAATGTCACAAAAACTTTCACTTTCTCAGGTAGCACCAGACTCCAAGGCTCACATAACTAGCTATCTGCTGTGGAAGCATTTGGACAACCCATTAATTGTCTAGCGTGCAGGTACGTCATCTTGAAATGCACCGCTTCAGGAGCCCCGTGGTTACGTGACATATTCAATATGCATATAGCGGTAGCTTGGGCAAGCCCAGGAAATGACACTAAATGTAAGGCTTGATTCTTGACATTGGGTTTGCTAGTCTTTACGGACCTCCACTTTGCACCCGTCGGCGCTTAAKAGCACCAGTGTCAGCCGCTGTCTCTCGCTTCCGACCGGCTCATTCGGCTCCCCTGCAGGTAACGTAATTTTTGAGAATGTTTGCAGTATCCTGACGACAGTGTAAGACACCTCCATTAGGGCGAAATCCTCGCCCAGACATTGCCGGGGCCCACCGCTGAAAGGAAAATAGGCCCAGCGAACATTCTCGAGTTCACMGCTCTCCCAGCGCTCAGGACGAAATTCATATGCGTCTGGACCAAATATGTTCCTCTTTCGGGAATTCACGTACTGCGAAAACACGACGAGTTCACCTTTMCTTACCAACATAGGTTTGTCTCCTTCAGGGCCGCCCCCTGTTGGTAGAAGAGTAGTTCGTACCGCTTCACGATTGTTCAACGGAACAGGAGGGTAGAGACGAAGACCTGACGCGCGAAAATCAGTGACTGCTCCTCACACATAATTCAAAGTGGCTCCAACGCACATTCTTTGATGACACAAGCAAGGTACGGCATTTTTTTGATTTGCTCCCTACTTGGTATGTGACCTCCCTCCATGACGGCGGCTATCTCTTGCCGCAAACGTTTCATGACATTCTCATGACGAATAAGAAGTCGACTGATGGCCATAAAGGCAAAGTCAGCACTGAATCAGAAACAAGTTTCGAGGCCAATGCATACAACGTCCAAGACAAACAGCATGCTGTCGTATCCCGACCAGCTAGTAAAACATTCAGGAGCTGATCACGGAGCTCTTTCACGGTTGCAGACTCTTCAGCTATCTGCTTTATGAAACCCTCTTGCTTCACGACGTGTCGCTCCGGATTTTCTAAATCCAAATCCTTGATGTAATTTTCGACAAATCGGTGCACGTTCGCACACGCTTTGCGGAAAGTTGGKGGGTTATATAGAAAGTGCCAAGGTGCTATACGAAAACGTTTGGCAAGACCCTCTTGAGCGATGTTGAAGCTTTCCGCGAAGATCTTGTTTTCTCTGTGCTGATCGATTCCTGCCCTCAAACTATAGATCGATCTACCAAAAAGTAGAGCTGTCGCAGTATCCAAGGTCAGATCGAAAAACAAAGGCTGAAGGTCGACAACCCCGCTTGCAGGTAGGCGATCGATCAGGTTGTCGACATGCTCACGGAAATGGTCCAGGTTCTGATACTGGACACGAATGAATTGCTTTCGTAGGAGTTCTCTTGAATGTTTCCATGCTGTTCCCTCTTGAGTAAAAATTCCATTTCCCAACAAGGGTGCAAAAATTTGGGGCCTGGCGCCGAAACCGTAGTCTACACTCCACCCAGAACTGGTAAGCAGCGCTATCTCCACTAAGTGCTCATCGACATGGTAAAACGGCAGTCACCTTTGAAATTTGTGGACAAAACAGCCTCGACATTAGAGGGATGCAATAAATGGAAAGCCCTCGGCCCAAATAACAGATACTGGGTGAGATTATTGCCCGGTTCGTAATCTTCTGCCACCTTGCAGAGATATGCAAGAAGTCGACCTTCCGCATTCGTTTTCCAGAGGTCTATGATGCGGTCAATTCCAAGTGGCCATTTTTTGGGCAGCTCGGGCGGTAACTGGCAGCCATGTTGCAAAGCAACAGCAGAGTCGTTCTGACAGACCGTGAGCGGCGGTGTTTTCAGCAGATCGAATGTTTACTCACGCGGTAGTCTTTGAACCTAGAGAAGGAGAGGTAGCAGACCCGACAGAGGCCGACTATGAGTGTAGCCCAGATGAGAAATGCTGTTGCCATAGTGTTCTGGTGGGCAGTGTGACTTCGCTGTATGTTTTGTTTTGAGAATTAATATGCATCGGCGGGGAGATGGTCACTTATAGCCTGCTTTGTGCCGTTTTCCTGCTGGCCGACAACCCTCGTCCGCCAAGCATTCCCAGCCGCCGTCACTGGCGCGCTAATGCATTGAATGTCACACACCAGGTAGAGAAGCGGAGCAAGGGGCTGGTTTCTGGCCGCTAACCGTGTCAGCTACGGCTGAGCCGCCCTGTGTGGAGTACTCCGTATATCTGGCACAAACGCCATCTCTTATTTACCTCCCCACTTTTTCCTCCTTGTAGCCCTCCTCCCATCTGCCAACTGAGATACGCACTACGCTTGAACTGTCTCAGCGTCAGTTGCAGTTTCCACGATGCCTTCGGGCCTCCACGTATTATATTCGCCCAATCTTCTCCTTCGAGGAATAGATCAGGAACAGAAAATTTCCGACGTAGAGTAAGGCATCACACCAAGATCTTATACTTTCCAACCCACTGACAACTTCATGGACAGTATCGTTGCAGTTCACGGCTTGGCCGAGGATTCAAGGAAAACCTGGACTCGGCAGGAAGGAGGCGTGTTGTGGCTCAAAGATCTCCTGCCACGACATATCCATAATGCAAGAGTTCTTACGTTCGATTATAACCCCGATCCCTTTCTGTTCACTGGACCGGGATTTATGGACAAGGTTCAAGGTCATGCAACTACACTAGTGGCAGATCTGGAGGCTGAGCGGAGTCTGATGAATGCCTCCCAACGACCTCTCATATTTGTATGCCACGGGCTTGGAGGTATCATCGTCAAAAGCGCTCTTATTCATTCAGCGAGTCGGACTTCTCATCAAACATGCCACCTCAACTCAATATATGTTTCAACGTTCGCTATCTTGTTTTTTGGCACGCCGCATGACCGCATCGACGTTGGAAGGTGGCTGGCTTTACATTCGTCAAGCCTCGCAGCGACTGATCCAGGAGCAGCTGCCGTCACCCCACATAACAGTGCTGAACTACCAATCACTGTGCATGCTTTGGATGTTATCACAAATCAGTTTGCTCCACTCATGAAGAAAATCCATTTGTATCTGTTCTGGGAAGGTCTAGAGACACGGCTTGCAGACCGTGTTGATTTCTTGGTCGAACAAACGTCTGCTGCTCCCCCTACGTATGACACCCAACGATGCGGAATTTCGGACTCCGACCACTCAGGCATGGTCAAGTTTCACAATGGTGACTCCGCATATCGGACAGTCATATCTGCTCTGAAAAAGTATTGCCAAGCCGCACCGGAGGTGATTGCATACCGATGGAAAGAAGCGGTGGAATCTCTGGCGCGCATGAGGAAGAGTGAAGCTTCCGAGTTGACCGGTTTGTTTCTTGATATTCCGGACAAAACTCCACTTTTTGTGGAAATCAAGGACACTGTCGAGCCTGCTTTGCAAAACGAGCATTTCGACCCACCATGCGCTGTTTCCCCTGCTTTTATAGGGCAGGATGAAATTATAGGAGCCCTCCAAACAGCTTTCGAACCGGAACAAAACGTGTTGTTGATGAAACAACAGAAGCGATTTGTTCTCTATGGAATAGGCGGCTCTGGAAAGACACAGCTATCTGCGAAATATGCCCAACAGAACCGGAAATTGTAAGGCTCAAACTTAAACATTGATCCTCGTTTCCTAACTTGAGTAACAGCTATTGGGCAGTATTTACTATTGATGCGTCATCACATCAAAGTGCAAGAGAGTCGTTCTGCAAGATCGGAAGAAAGGGCGGACTCGAAGCTACTGAAGATTCAGGCAAACACTTCCTCTCTCAAGCCACAAAGCCCTGGCTTCTCATCATCGACAACGCAGACAGCCCCGATCTACACTTCGAAAGACTTATAGTACCTAGTGAAAGAGGTCATATCCTCGTCACCACAAGAAACCCCAGCCTCCGAAGACAAGGCAATGTGGGAAACGTGGAACTCAAAGGGCTGAAAGAACGAGACGCTTTCCAGCTACTTATGAGAGTTGCGGATATTAAGCAGCCATGTGATACCCCTACGGAAAGAGCAGGAAACGAGATCATCAAAACTTTAGGCTATCTAGCCCTCGCGGTCGTTCAAGCTGGAAACACGATTTACAACAAGTTATGCAATTTGACAGAATATCTCGGGTTCTTTCACCTCTTCCTGGAAAAGCGCCGCGAAAAAAAAGTCCAATGTTCCACAAACGATACTGACGATACTGCTGCACGTCGTGCCGAAAATGACGACATTTTCACGGCGTTTGACTTTTCTTTTCAGAGAATCGCGATACAAAACACAGTTCCAAGCCAAGATGCGATTGAAATTCTCAATATTGTTGGCTTCTATCACTTCGATTCCATTCCAGTCGACATCTTCGAAAGGGGGTTGAATCTGGAGCGAGAGCAGTTGCGGCAGTCCTCAGTTGCGTCACTCCGAGCAAAATTCGCCAACGCTTTTGTTTGTCGCTTGAGACCACCTCGGTCACTTCCTAGGTTCCTAAGGCAAAATGCCAATGGCATGCATCCGTTATGCATCAGGGAAGCTCTTCGTGAGTTGTATGCGTCTTCCTTGATAACATACGGAAAAGACGAGAAAACCTTCTCGCTGCATCCTCTCGTTCATGCCTGGGCAAAAGATCGCATTCCTTCGAATGAGAGGAGTCTGTGGGCAGGTATTGCTTTCAACACCCTCATGGCATCTATTGAGATCTCACCAAAGGATACCGGAGAGTCTAATTCGACTTTCGGAAGAAGTTTGATTCCACACCTCAATTCGTGCCTAGAAGCCTGTCCGACTGAGTTCAAAGAGTTTCACAGTCTCAAGGATTGTGTTGGCAAATATCGCCGTTTCACATTGCTTCTACAGCCCACTCTAATGTTCACACTTCGCGAGATGATCCAAAGTGCCGCGAAGTGTGGGGCTCTGTACGCCCAGACTGGTGACTTTCTAAAGTCTGCGTACCACCTCTCTCTGGTGAAGGAAGCGCTAGTTATGCTTGTTGGACTCGACGATGCTAGGACAATGGCCGCTATGCTAGGCCTCGCAGGTGTCCTGTGGGGCCTGGGGCGCTTGAGGGAAGCCATTGACCTACAGGAACAAGTCGTTAAATCACGACGTAGGGTTCTAGGATCGGTCCACCGTGGAACTTTACAAGCCATGGTTTCTCTCGGTAAATCGTTCTGGCTCAATGGGCAATACTGTGAGGCTCTTGAGCTTCAGCAACAGACTGCAGAGGAAATGCGTGTGCACCTCGGAGAAGAAGATGATGACACGCTGGATGCACTAGACCACTTGGGTGTCACATTAGGCTCTTGGCATAGATTTACAGAGAGCAAAGACATCCACCGGAACGTCTTGACGATTCGAACGAGAGCTCTGAAATCGAGCGACTTGAAAGTCCTTGAAACAAAAAGCAATCTAGCTATGGCTCTCCTTGATCTCAAACAGCTCCGTGAAGCGAGATATCTAATGGAGGATGTCTATAATAATCGCAAGGTGCAGATGGGCAAGGAACACCCTTACACACTTTTGGCTTTATGTTATCTCTCGAAGATTTATATTGAACAGGGTGAGTTGCATAAAGCCGAGAAAACTTTGGTCGAAGGAATCGCCGCGGGGAAACGGAGCCTCGGCGAGAATCATCTTGGAGTGTTGGTCGGCTGTGGAGAACTTGCCCGGACTTATGCACGCCAAGGCCGCTTAGAGGAAGCAGAGAGACTGAGTCTTGAGACAATCAGCAAGGTCAAGATTTCTCGAGGAGATGAGCACCCTGACTATGCTTACGGAATGTGGAAATTAGGAGAGTTGTGGGAGAAGAAAGGCGAGCAAGTGAAGGCAATCAATGCCTATCGTGTTGCGCTAACAGCTACGGAGAGGAGGCTAACAAAAGAGCATCCGCTTCATAAGCTTATTTCAGATCGCATTCGGTTTCTGACAGAAAACTCACTCGCCGACGGGTTCAGCGGCAGTGATGTAGCAAATGGCTCAGCAAAAGCTGACATTGCGGAGTTGAAGATCAACCCTCTACAGCCTACACAGACATGGTAAAGTGCGACTGAACATCTTTATAGTTTAATGAGTGAACTACACGTCATGAACTGTGCCGTAACGGGGATCGCAATACGTATTGCTTTTGACTGCTTACTTATTCCATCCTGCCGCTCGGCCAAACCACAGTCAGGGCCGATGCCAACCTTCGTACTGGCCGAGTGTAGCAGGTCAACAGGAATCAGATCCTTCCAGGTATTCCCCTTTCTGCTTCTGGAACATGCTGTGGACTATTGAAATGTGTTTTATAATCTGGCTCGTCAGTATGAGAGTTGAATCTACGTCACATATCTCGAATAGGAGCATGTTAGAATCAACTCAAAAGCACTGATAGATGACTAACCCTGCTGTGTGCAAAGCCGAATTCCTCTAGTTATGCCATCCATACGGGCCAGCCACAGAACCAAAGACTTCCAAAGACAATATGGCGGGATTATCAGGTTCTCCTGGGTCCTGTCATTCCACTCTTCCCTAAGCAAAGATACATGAATTTAGACCTGTGTGAGAAATTCACCGCAGACGTTGCTCCACACTCTTCAAAGACCAAGCAATATATGCATTCATAAAAAGTCTGGAAGCTCCACCAGAAGTTCATGAGGAAGGAATATTGAAGCAGACTGGAGTGAACTTGATGTGTAAATTCGCAGATTATTCAGTAGGCTCGCTGCCCATTTTATGCTTCAACTCTTTCGCACTATTCATCGAACAGGATTTCAGAGCTTTTACTGCGCCGTAGAGTTTGACAGTGTAGATCCCCAAGTCCCTCCACTCCTAAGTAATCTATAGCCTAGGTTCTTAATCCTGAATCTAGAGCACTTTGATCGCCTTACAAAACTAGACATCACCATACCGGCAGTTGCAATTACTTGGCTCCAGAGTGTCAAAGCCCATAGCATCATTGAAGCTAGCTACTGAGTTAGGGGCATTCCCACCCCATCCTAGACGTATGGCTGAGACCATTGATTAATGAGTGATATCCAATCATCAACAGAACCTTACTCTTGGAAAAAGGGCGGTCCCTGAGTGGAACATCGTCGACCATTTTCAAGACATGGACAGATATGAAGTCAATTATTCCATTCTCATCAGCACCACGACGGGCGCCTATTTTCTAGCATCCAATCAAAATCCCAGCAACAAAAAAGCGTTGTATGAACTCAACCACATCCTATACATTATACTTAGATATCAGACGCAGCTACGTGTGCTGTGCTTACTTCCTCTTCCTAATGAAGATGGCTTGGCGGACATTGACTTACAAATCTTAGTTCCATGCATATGTGGTCAACTAGGTGGTTTGAGAAAGACGCTGCGCGGGAGACACGTCAGGGGTTGAAACGACGCGCCCCTGTAGTCCACATGACATTCCACTCGCTTGGTGACTGCCCTACCCGTGCCGATCCCCGAGTACCCGAGTACCCGAGTACCCCAGACTCCCAGTCCCCAGTACCCGGTACACCCTGCATTACGAAAACTCATAATGTGTTTCTGATATCCTCAACTAACATGAATTCCACGATCAGTTCACTACACGGCAGAGCGACACGCTTCTCGCTGGCATGTTTGCCGTGCCGATCGCGCCACGTGAAATGCGACGGCAAACGACCGTGCTGCAGCCGCTGCGCTGAGCTTGACCAGCTATGCCAGTATGCTCGATCGCGCCGAGGTGGGCTAAATCGCTCAGCTCTGGAAGAACGGTGAAATATATTAGCTACCACAGAGCACGCAGTGTCCACGGATAAGCCAAGTTCGCAGTGGTCGGCGATTGGTCAGATGTGCCAGGAAGTTGTTGGCAACGGGCTTCCTGACTGCTACGGTCAGCTTCATCGACACCATACTTGCGACGAGACTTCGGGCGCAACCTCATCAACAGGGCTTCAATTTTATATCGATGATATTCAGAACGATTCGTTGATCGATGCTTATTATAAAAACTTTCACAAATTCCATTCCTTTCTACTGCCGGCGAAGCACTTCAAACGACTATATCAAAACTCGAGCAGACAACCCACATTCAGGCCGCTCATCGCTGTCATGCGCCTTGTCGGACATATATGCAGCATACGAGGATGGTCGATCACGCTAGATGAGCACGTAAAAGCCAGCTTCTCACAAGTATCATTGACGGATCCTCCTATGGTCCAGTGCCGACTTCTATATTCCATGGCGCTGTTCCGGTATGATCACAGAACCGACGCCAAGTCACAGATGGACTCTTCTATCTGCCTAGCCACTGAGTGTAAAATATTTGAGTAGAGATATTCCAAATGGACCTGTCTTACATTGTACTTACATACATTTAATATTTGGTTTTCGTGATCAGGTTAATGATAATTGAGCTGACGGCAGCTGCAATGCGTTAAAATGTAATATGTTCATATGAAGTATGCACCGTAAGAAAGAGATCCATTATCTATTGTAGCAGGGAAACGTGAATTACAAGTTGTCAGCTTTTGCAATAAATCGGAACTTTTAGACCTCTGTGACAGGCAGACCACTTTTTTCATCCATGGTAAAGCCAAAACCCTAGTCTGCCGTCTGGCGTATTATAGGAAATTCGGTGGGATAGGCTAGATGGCTTTAAATAACTTGTAGTTGTATCATGGAGATTTTTGGAACCTCAAATATATTCCGTCAGTTGCAGCATTCACGTAAATAGCTAGCCCGTCTTACAGCCAAAAGGAATTCGAAATAATCCTGTGCATTCAACGAAGGTATCAAGTCTGGGAAGAGAAAAGAAGAGGAATCAATCTGGCGGGACGGTGCTTGATATGTCCCATGATAAGGAGCGCCTTCTCTTATCATCCCGATTCAGCCATGTTTGTTCCCATCGTCATATCACCGAAGTAATCCATAATACCTATTCGCGTCCAGATCGTCACAGCCCGAATCTCAGCAAACTTATCCAAACACTTGGACCAGCTGTTCAAACAGCTTATCAGAATCAAAGTCCATAGGGTCAGCCGAGGTGAGAGCCTCCTGAATAACGTCAGGAGGGTATATCAACTTTTGGTTGATATAGCACTTCACCTGCTTCGCTGTATCCCCTGAAATCTTGATGTTTTCCCTCTCCCAACCACCGGCAACCAGCGCACCTCACGATCCGAGGTCAAGGCAGCAATTGTACGTAGCTTGCGAGTACTCCATGAGAGGCTCACCTAGGAGCTCTGCTGCGGCATTGTAACCTGATACGCGGCCTAGCTGATTTGCATGCTGACAGCTCATCAACGCGTACTGGCTTTTGCCGTCGGCGATCGCACAGGCCGCATCACCTGTGGCAAAGACGCCGTGAACAGACGAAACACGAAGATATCGGTCAACATAAAGGCGACCCAAGGCATCCTTCGGGCCGGGGATTTGTTTTGTTAAAGGCGTAGCTCTCACTCCAGCGGTCCAGATCACTGTCTTTGTTTCGATACGTTCACCAGATGCGAGAGCTACGCCTTCGGCATCAACTGCCGAAACCCCAGGTCCGAGCTTGAATTCGACACCGAGGTCTGCCAATGCTTGAGCTATTACGGCACGCGGGCCGGGTCCAAAATCGGGGCCGACATTTTCGGCGTTTCCGACTAGAACGATGCGCGCATTGGCGACGTGGCCAAGTCGTTGAGGCAGCTCGGCTGCGAGCTCAATGCCTGTGAAGCCAGCACCGCACACGACCACGGTATCACGGCCGGGGCTCGCCGGAAGTGCGCCAAGACCTTCGAGGTGCGATTCCAGTTTGATAGCAGCATCCAGAGAATCGATATCAAACGCGTGATTCTGAAGACCTGTAACACCACGGGGGCGGATGACGGAGCTCCCTGCAGCGAGAATGAGACGGTCGTAATTGATTGTCCTCTCGACACCTGAAGCGGATCGGACATCGACGGTGTGCCCTTCGGTATGTATGGCCTTGGCGGTACCAGGAATAAACTTGATACGTGCGTCTTCAAAAAGGGATGCGAGAGGATGAACCAAACTGGACGCCTTGGATTCATAGAGTCGTGGACGCATCACCAAGTTCGGTTCGGGAGCAATGACGACCACCTCGAATTCGTCCTCCTTGTTCGCAAGCTTGATTAGACGCTTGGCTGAGAGTGCGCTCCAGACTCCGGCAAACCCGGCACCAATTATGACTATCTTGTGGGACATTGCGTTCGGACTTTTGCACTAGGTTTCGCTGGTTGTTGTGTTCTGGAGTTGATACCGAGAAGTGATGCGAGATAGTGGGCAAGATCGCTTCAAGTCCTTTTGTGTTTGTATTGTGCACACCCGGAACGTAAGTGCCTCTTGTCTGATCCAACAATCATTCCGGCTACCCGGGAATTGCCTATGTGTATCGGGAACCGTTCCGTGTGCGCCTCATGCGGATACCCGAATAAGCCGGATACCCAGATAGACGAGTTATCAAGAAATGATGCATGCGGATTTGTTCTTCCTAGCCACGCAAGCCATCCTCATGAATCCCATCAACATGGTGGCAGCATAGGACGGTAATGGTACACACTCGTCGCTGACTTGCTGGCTTGCCGCTCACGTTATATGACGAAGAAACTGTTCTGCAGGCGCTGCACCGACACCACCAGACAGGGCGACTATCCGCATCCGCGCCGAGGGAATTTAGTTCCGCTGTCCTATCCCACAGGATTGTGCAGCTTACATGCACTGACAATTCCCTCCTTGATCACAGTCTTGCGCCATCACGATTGATGGCTTCAAATCGCTCTCGGTACCCTAGATGGGTGAGCTCGTCGATGTTGGCCGCGGGGAGACATTTCTGTAATATCTCAACGGGGTCCTGAGGTGACCACGGCAACACATGCCCTTGGACCGCTGCCATGACAACTCCAGACGTGGCCGAGATGAACATCAAGGCGTAAATAAGGAGCCATGCGTCGGATGAGCCTCCCACCCTAAGGACCGAAACTACCATCTTCACAAAGCTCCCGTTGTCAAGCATTTGATCCGAGGTACGAATCTGATTGGCATTTTCGACATTCTGTCTCATGAGACTGAAATATGCCTGGCCTAGTTCGCTCAAAATCGTACCCATCGTCTGCGCAGCTAATGAACTGCTGCCGTCGTAAATGCGGAGAGAATACTCCGAAGCAACCCAACCATCTGCCAGGCTGCCTCCTGGACCTGAGTGACTGTATAAGTTTATATATTTGTCGGTTAAGTTTGAGAGTTGCCATTTCACAGTGGCATCCAAGGGGAATCCGTGAGTCACGGATCTGTTGACTTGAAGAGGCGAAACACGGTCCGAAAGGCTAATCGTCGCTAGTATCTCATTTCCTCCGTATGTGCACTCAAGGACAAATGGCTGATCCACATCATCACCCGGGAAGAGAAAGGTATGGAGCGGTTCACCATTCTGTTCAGTTACAACAGAGCCGATGCTGAATGGAAGTGCGTAGTCTCTGTTCAGAAGTACAGTGGTGTTGACGACGGTGTTCTTTGCAAAATTGTACATCACAACGACGGGATTTTGTGGATCACCATATTTCGTCGTTGAAACGCTGTAAGATACCGTGGCATTGACGCAAGTCACTTCAACGATGGTTCCGAAGACTGCGGCATCCAGTCGCTCGAAGGTATAGGAGGTAGGGAGATTAAAACCTGATGAAGGACCAGAGTATTGGGTATAAGATGTCACGTTCAACCCAATACCAGACGTATTCAATCCGGGATATGTCGTGCTGCCAAGAGTGCCTGACACTGGCTGCCAATTACCCCTGCCGAGATAGATGTTCGACACCATCGTTTGCGACGATCGAATGTAGGCATCTCGGTAAAGGAAACTGCTTAGAAGAGAGACATCGGCATCTACTATAATAGGGTAAGAGGAATGGTCGGGATTGCGCACATAGCCTCCTTTGGGAAGTTGATTTAGCGAATAGGAAGCCGAGGGGTTGATGACCGTAACACTGTCGGTATGAATGCCAAAAACCGCAACGGTCGTAGCACTGATCAGGGAGGAGATGGCGCTCGCGAGGATGAGGAAGCTCCGCGTCACGGGAAATCTCCGTCGTTGCAATTGATGCAGTCCGCGCATCGCAGACAACGGCCTCAGATACATCGCCAAGACTCCGGTGGGGCTCTGGAGCTCCTTTCGTGTCAAGAGCTCATCGTAGCTAGAGAATCCCCATGAGAGTAACAGCCCAACAGCGGTGCCGATGACAGTGCAACCCACGTTCCAGCTGTTTGGGTCCACCTTAATGACGGAGAATCCTGGAGACGACGTACCGCCAACCAAGATGGGTGTTTTGCTAACATAGACGCCAAGGGCAATCAGCACTGCGAGACAGAATGCTGCTAAAAGGTTGACAATTAAAGGCACGCGGTAGCAGGACCAGGTATCTGCTTTGTGGTCCATGGTGGCGAGGGAGGATGTCGAATCTCAAGGGGTCTGACGCCAAAGCGAAAAAGGGGCTGATATTTGGGAGCAGGAGAGGACGGCGCATATGTACGGGGTCTTGCTCGATCAAAATCATTCGGCAGGCATGGCCCGCATAGGCACAATTTGTAAGATTCCTGCCGATCATCTGTGACGATGCAGGCAGCTCGTTGTGAGCTCGAGGTTGGTCATTGCATTTAGGCCCGTTTGGCAGAACGGGCCAAAGCGTGCTTATCTGTTCCTTCGGCTGTATTCATTGGCCTTAGATGCGTACCTTTGGAGGAGGCTTATACCCTGAACACTCCCAGAGCGTGCTTTAGGACGGTCTTTAACAATGAAACCCTTGTACAGGCGTACGCGTTCGGGAAGAGAGATTCAATCTGTCCAACACAACAGGTTCTGAGGCAGAGACTTCACTGCCTCGCAGCCCGTGATTGCACCCACGTTGGTCCGGTTTCACCTAATACCAGCTTGGTATACCCTGGTGAAGGCTGACAGAAGAGAAAGTTTGAGGGTTAATACGCCTGTGCTGACATTATCGGGTATAATAAAGTGCCCCTATCTTCCATGCACTGTCCCACTTTGGAGAATCGTGGCAGGCCGATCAATGAAGTCGGTTATATTTGGCCTCTAATAGGCCGCCCTGTAAGCAACTTAAACGAAGTGAGGATTGAGAGCGAGTACAAATAAGGAAACGTTGATAAAAGAACAAGGATGGTCAAAGACACCTGGCTGAATGTGAAAGTTAAATTCTCGTATTGGCGCGTCGATCTCTGAGACAGTGTTTGTTGGCCAGAATTTAGTTTCAGACGAGAAGCCCTATTGCAAAACATTCTCATACTCTCCGAAGATCAGCGATCTCAACGGATCGGTTCTGACACTTACACTATTCTCCACTCGTGAGAGTGGAACCGGTGTTGCTCGACTTGGTTCCCAGGTTCCACCGTCCACCAACTGGTTTGGATTTTGAAGTCTGTTCTTGAGGCTCCTTCACATGCCACTATCAAAGAAAGAGTGAAAAAGGGGCGACACAAGACGAAACGCTGGGACCCTCCTGAATACGAAGCGACTGTGGGGTTCAACAGTTATTAGTGGGAAAAGGGCGATCCCCAGTGGTTCTTTGAGCTAATCCTGTGCCCCCAAACCCTGTCAAACTTCTCGAGGATTCAGCCTCGTGTTTCCAGTGTTTCGACCACGCCGACAACTTTGGCAAGCATGCTTTAGTCACCTTGCCACGTGAAAACGGATGTCTTTCAGTACGAGGGAACTCCGACGAAATACGATGATGGTTCAGCATAATCAGTTGGTTACTGCTCACTACTCTTTACCAGGCTGAATGTTATTTCGGTCCTGAAGCGACCTCGTCCAGAATGATTTGAGCGGGGTAAGAGCAAGCTCTGGCATCACTCTCCAGATGCTCAACACTCCGAAGCCCAGACACAATGGATTTAGAAGCTAAGCCACAGAAGGTATGCTATATCCTGGAGTTGTCACGATGGTCTATAATGACTAGATTGCAGGCAGACGATTGACTGACCTGTATATGTGAGAACCAGCGCAAAATCCGCGCTCGCAAGCTAGAGTATATCCGGAAGCTGGAGCAACAATTGGTAGCTTTACAGGAAGAAGGAAGGCAGACGGACATCAAGATTTGAATTACTGTTACAGAAAATGGAAGCAGAGAATCAGCGTATAAAAGATCTCCTTGTGTTACTCGGCTTTTCTGCCTCCTTGATTAAGCATTACCTGCGGTTGGTCCACTAAGGTATACCTGCAGATTGTGAAGTTGCCATCTCGGCCATGAAGCGGCCGGTGGTGGTGAGCCCGGCACCGTCATTCGAAGCTGCGTGCCCAATGTTGTCGCAGATCATGTGCAGCGGCCCTAAGAAGGGCGATATCTCTGTACAGCAGCCTCTGTTGAATGACGGTCTCCTACTAAGCAGCGCAGTCCCAACACACGAATCTACAGGGCAGCCTCACAAGTGTACAATCTCTCCTTCGTGCAGAACCACGAGGGAGCAGCTGGTTTGGGAAACTACCCCTCCTGATCAAAATTTGTTTACTATAACCTCCTGTGCCGTCGCTGATGAGTTTCTCGCCTGATATAATGCACGAGAGAGTCACATGATCGGCACATTTCATCCGACAATCTGCCGGCCTCCAAGAAGCATCACTTGTTAAAGTCGACCACAATTCTGCCCGCAACCTCTCCCCTTCGCAGCTTTTCGACAGCTTCCGGTAACCGATCGATGGGATACACCTCGCAAATCTGCTTTAACATCCCTCGTTGCGCAAAGTCCAGTGCCGCCGCCGTATCCCTGCGACTGCCCACCAGTGTCCCCTTTATGGTCAGATTCTTGAAAATGAACCGGTTGGGATCATCGCCAACGACCATCGTCTTGGCCGGCGCCAGCCCAATGCACATGACAACAGCCCCGATCCGGTCTCCCACAAACGACGACGCAGTCCGATAAGCCGCCGGCGCCGTGACGAACACCCCGTGCGCGCCGATCCCATCTGCGGCAGCCACCACCGCAGCAGTGGTGTCGTCCGTCTCGGCAAAATCAACAAAGGCCTCGGCGCCCATCTCCAACGCCAGCGCGCGCTTCGCTGCCCCCGTGTCCACCACGATCGGTCGCATTCCCATCGCCTTCGCGAGCTGCACACCCTGGATCCCCACGCCGCCGCCCCCGCCAGGGAAAACAGCCCAGTCGCCCGGTCGCAGCCCCGACTCCACCAGAGAGCGGTAGATGGTCGACGCGCTACACATAATTGGGGCGGCGATCTCGTCGGGGACGCCGTCGGGGATTGGTGAGGCATAGCGGGCGGGCGAGACGAGGTATTGCTGGTATGTGCCTGCGGTCATCAATCCCGTATGCACGGCCGTTCGGCAGTATGTCTCCTTGTCGCCCCAGCACAGCTCGCACGCCCCGCATGTATCCGTCAGCGGCTTGATGCCTGCGCGATCGCCGACCTTGAAGTTGCGGACGTTGGCGCCCGTCTTGACGACGATACCTGCGCCTTCGTGGCCTGGCGACCGGACGCCGAAGAACGACATGGGCGGGTTGCCGAGGTCGTTCTTCATCATGTGGATGTCGGATGAGCAGATGCCAGTGACGTTGATGCGGATGAGGATGTCATCGGGGCCTGCCGGTCAGTTTCTTGTCTTCTATATGACGGAGAGACGCACCTGGTTCTGGTACGGGGACCATTTTCACTTTGACTTGGAAGTCAGGGCCTTCATTGACGACGACTCCGGCTTTGCAGTGGGTGGGAATATCGTAAATTTTTGAGTCCATGTTGCTGTAGATGTAGACGTAACGTAGTCTGTACTGTGTCAATGCTCTTCCAGCTACTGTGATTTATGGGAAGACACCTGAGCCAGTGCGGAAACTTCCCGCACACGACCCCTCACTTCGGCATCATCATGTTTGCTATATACTGGTTGTGTCTTCCACATCCAGTATTCGAGTACTTGGAAAGATAATGTAGTGGAATGCATCCGCTGTCTACATATGTCATGCCAAATGCGGGGAGGCATTATATTCAGGATGCATATTTATGCATGGTTATGAGCCGAGGCATCTTGAGATTTGTATTTCATGAATACGCAGAATCATAGCTATTATAGTTATCATTCAATCCTATATGAGATAACAAATGTTGCATGTCTGTACAAAAGGCCCTCACACGGTTTACCCTCGTCATTCAGACAGACTGTTTAGTCTCCATATTTCTTTGCTGATAGGATTGGAAAGGGCTATTTGTTCTGCATTGGATGCAAGTTTGATGCATTTGATAATATTATCGAAGATACTTCATATTTGATATTTTGATTCTGATTTAGTAGCCCTGTGTCATTATAGAGTTTGCAGTTGGAACGTCTCGGTCTCAGATATATATTTAGCGGGCTTGTTCTACAACACAATATACATAAGCAAAGCCATTCAACACAAACACATCTAAACACACTTTATAATTGGCATAATTGACTATTCATGTTATTCAACATGCTGGTGGTCCTGTATACTGCAGCAATATGTTAAAAAAGAGTATAATACAAGCTTTTCCTATCGCTACCTATGTATACCCCTGCAACCACAAAAGAAATCCGCCTAAGAAAAGGTGGAGTAGCAACTGCTAATTMATAAATATACCAAACCGCACTATTTCAGACGTTTCCCCGACTCCTGTGAATGCGACACCATAACCTCAGTCACGCAGACAATCCCCTCACCTCCAGTCGAAAGAATATGCTCCTCACTCGAGTTGCTCCCCTCGCCACCGGGGTATGTCGCCGTCGTGGTAGTCTCATACGCAGACTGGTATGTCAGCGGCCCTTTCCTCTGCACTTGTGTATCGCCGTCGAAGTTCCCGCTGGGCAGCGTCTGCGGTTTGGACTGGTTCTGCCGCGACAGGGAGCGCAGTTTGTACCGCGTGCCGCGGGAGTAGTTTCTTGAGTGGGAGTGGGAGGGGCGCGAGCCGTAGCTGCCGAGGGCTTGTTTGAAGAGAGGTTTTAGGGTGGGGAGGCTGCCTGCAACGATGCCTGTGTTGCATTCGACGCTGTCGGTGATCTGTTAGATGTGTGCTAGAGGAAAAGAGGAATGGAACGGACACGTACACAACCCAGATTGTGAGATCGGTGTAGTCCCAGAGGAAGTCGCCGGTGCGACCGTAGTTGGGGAGGATGGACACTTTGACGAACGCCGCGGCGCAGGCACTGCCCTGTTAGTATGCGCGTTCGGCAGAGGGTGAGTTGCTTACAATACTCCCAGTCCTAGGATGCAGACTAGTGATGCCTTGACGCGGCGGTTGACTTGAAGATGGCTGTTCTCGTTAGTTGGCTCAAGATGATATGGAGAGACATACCGGAGCATGATAGCGGGCATTATGGCGAAGATCAGGTCCGTCAGGATATTCAGAGCTGTGGATGTCAGCAGGATATCAATATCTATGTCTCATGACATACCAGTGTTTGTGTAGCTCAGTTCCAACAGCTGCGTCGGCTTGAAACACTTCGACTTGACGCTCGGATCCCATATCGTCCGGATATTTTGGCATTGGAAGATGAGAGTCTAGACCGTTAGACAGGCATTAAACAAGGCAGAGATACTTACGAAGAAGCAAATGGTTGTATACAGTGACATCAACACTGCAGCAGTCAGTGGCGCACTTCAGATGTGCAAGACAGACGAACCGATAATCACCCAGATGAAAATCTTGTAACCCTTCCTCGGCGCAAATCGCAGCAGGAAGAGCCCAATGGATATCTTGACCAACCCAATCGCCCACATGTATATGCCCTGCGTCGCGAAATTGAGCTGGTTCGCCTTGATAGCCGTGTCCATCACATAGACTGTATGTCGCCCGGCACCATATATGACTTCGGGGATGATGATGGCCCATCCTGCAAGGGACTGCACCCATTAGCTCTGCTGCAAATCAATATCCGACACAACCTACCAGCACCATAGTCAAGAGCATCGTATAGTCCTAATCAGTCAGTTGACGCCTCTTCAAAGGGCAGAGGGACGCACATCAGCGCCGACATTGCGGATCATGAAGACTCGCACGTACATACGCGCCAGCACCGTCAGCAAAGCGCATATCGTCACAGTGGACGTCGCGGCGAGGATCGCAGGCCCTCGATTGTCGTCGGGCAAGCCTGCCCCAGCTACATGATCGGCCATGATGCGTCGTCTGGGCGTCGACTTGGCCGTCTTGAAATCTGTGCTATGGACTTGAAGACATAGAAATATAAGGTGGAGCAGATCTTCAGAGGGGTCCAGTATAGCAGAGCACGGTCAATTCCGAATCTCACCAGGAACCGAACCGGGACTTGGTTCTCGCCGGGCCAACTAATCGCTAGGCTAAATTTACATCTCTACGGTGGAGTCGTAATCACAGTCACATTCGCGTATGCTACCTTTCCTGGTCAACCATGATAATTCCCTGCTTTTATTAACTTCAGAGTTGACAAGGGGCTTGAGCGCTCTCTCCAGCCAGCAAGAAGTCGCAGATAGAAAAAGCAAAGCAGTCTAGGAAAGAACAAGATTTGTGGCTGCATAAGTCAGGATTAAATAGATGAACGCGTTCACACTGTATTGCTGAGTGCACAATATTACGAGTCTGATTGAGACTCATGCACGAGGACAGGGCCACGAGGTTGTTGCATCGAGGCGCATGTAAGACATGGCCATGTCCAGCCCTCCATACATTCACATGTCTCGGCAATTGCTGTCCTTAGCCATAAAGATCTTGTCTAAGCGATCGTATTTAGAATTGACTAGCTGTCTCGAGGTGGAGAGACGTAATTTCGGGGAATAGGGAGGAGCCTTGAGATCCAATAGAAACCACCGGAGATGCAAGGATCAGGCATATCCGGTAAGTTCAATTGTCCAAGTTTTTCTTTAGGCGAAGGATTTCGGAGGTAATTGTTCCATCAGTAATGCCAAGGGTTGATTAAAACTGATTGGCTGTCTTCCAGTCTCCAGTCTATCTAGGGCGTGGAAGAAAGACCCCTATCCAGTCGCTGTTACTTGACAGACTGAAAAATTGACATCATTCCGAATGACCTTTAGAGAGACAATATTATGCCTTTGACGATCACACAGTAGGTACCTGATCATCGTCAGATCAGTGGAGAGTCAGATCGAAGAAACGTGCCCTGAGTCAACGTCCATGGTTCGTTCCTGAGACGGTTCCTGGCCCCCAACTCAAAGGTTAGGGTTGGCCGGGTATTTCCTATCTCGGCTTGTATTGTTGTCCACCCCACTCCACCGAAGCCGAAGAATATGTACTATGTGGTATTATTAAGTTTGGATGATTTGGTCTAGGACTAGGGCAAAGTCCGGAAGAACGGAACAAGGATTATGTTCCTACGATGTACTAACGTGGACGGAATAAGCACAAACGTCAATTGCCTCCTAGCTTTTTGTACGAGTATTGTTTTAGGATATAGCTTCTATCTTATGCCCAATTCATGGCCCAAATTTTGGAACAGCTACAAGTGAAACACCACCGTCAGGGTCGTGATGATCGGGGGACGGCGCGGTTCATCTACCGAGGTCCAGATCGAGTGAGTACGGACCATACCGACAGTGGAGACTGACTGGAGACTAGAATTTTGACAATTGCCAATCCCACGATGCAGTCTATCCACCTTCCAGCCACGGTCTAGCCAGTGCCACTAATATACCAGCCAGAAGCGGTGATCCTTCCTCACCGGGACTAGTACAGAACTAGCTACTTGACCGGCTCGTGGACGGTAGCCCTCATTTCACTAAGTTGTCTGGGCACTCCTATTATTGAAAGTMGAGGCTTGAACGGTATGCGCTGAAGTGAATAGACGGCCGAGTGAGATAATTCAATTAGGGCATGAGGAGTCGAGTTGCCGAACCTTCCGTGCTTGCGACTAGTAATTTTCCGTAGCTCCAACTATATCGGCTAATACATGGAGAACTACTGCAGAGCTGTAGATATGAAGGGGTAGTCGACTCGAAATCCTACAAATTGGCCGTGTCCCCCTCTTTCTTCAATATTCGTATTCTCTCCAGTCAAGTCACCATGGTTGCCATCCGCACTCTGAGCCTTGCGCTCCTCCTGACAGGGGCCCTGGCTATGCCCTCTCCCCAGGACGCTACTGCACCCTCCTCTGCAGTCTCTACCCCGCTCCCTAGTACGGCGGCCAGCTCCCCGGATACGGCCTCTTCCCAGCTGGACCAGCTCGCCAACTTCGCGTACAACGTCACCACCGACAACGTATCGAGCAACGCAGGCACCAAGCGCGGCAGCTGCTCGCTCAGCAACCTGCGCATCCGGCGCGACTGGAGATTCTTTTCCTCCTCGCAGAAGAAGGCGTTCATCAAGTCGGTTCGGTGTCTGCAGCAGCTGCCTGCGCGTACCCCGTCCAGCATCGCCGCCGGGGCAAAGACTCGCTATGACGACTTCGTCGCGACGCATATCCAGCAGACCTTGAACATCCACTATACTGTAGGTTTGCAAGATCCAAGCGAGCCCACGGCCCTCACTAACACTCAAAAGGGAACGTTCCTGGCCTGGCACCGTTACTTCATCTACCAGTTTGAGCAGGCTCTGCGCGATGAGTGTGGATACACCGGTGACTACCCGTAAGTACTCCTCCCCGCCAGTGCAGCGTGAAGCCCCATCTGACCATGACGACAGATACTGGAACTGGCCCGCGGACGCCAACTCCATGGAAACCTCCCCCGTCTTCGACGGCAGCGATACCTCCATGTCCGGCAACGGCGCATACGTCGCCAACAAGGGGGACATCGCGCTGACAATGGGCAACTACCCGATCATCTACCTCCCCTCTGGCACAGGCGGCGGCTGCGTCACCAGCGGCCCTTTTGTCAACTATACGGTCAACCTGGGCCCCGCGGCGCTGAATCTCCCCGGCGGGACAATGGAAGCCCAATCCAACCCCCTCGACTACAACCCACGCTGCCTGAAGCGCGATCTCACCACCGCGATTCTCAAGCGCTACGCCAACGCCACCTCCGTCGTGAAGCTCATCCTCGAGAACCGGGATATCTGGGACTTCCAGATGGTCATGCAGGGTGTCCCCGGCAGCGGCTCGATCGGCGTCCACGGCGGAGGCCACTACTCCATGGGCGGCGACCCCGGCCGGGACGTGTTCACCAGCCCCGGCGATCCGGCCTTCTGGCTGCACCACGGCCAGATCGACCGCGTGTGGTGGATCTGGCAGGCCCTCGATCTGAAGAACAGGCAGTATGCCATCTCGGGGACGGGCACGTTCATGAACCAGCCGGCGTCGCCGAACACGACGCTTAGCACGGTGATTGATCTCGGATATGCTTATGGGGGGTCGATTGCCATGCAGGATCTGATGAGTACGGTTGATGGGCCTTTCTGCTATGTTTATCTGTAGCACTACAATAATTATAATTGAAGGTTAATACTGCATAATACAATTTGAGATGCTCGATCTGTCAGTAACTGGTTCAAGGAAGCTTCCTTGAAGTGCGCACTTATCTGGAGTAATAATCTAGGACACCACATTTAACTCACTTCGCGTTAGGCCATGAGAACGTGTGCATAGGGCCATACGAACATTGCAAATATGAGAATTGCTGCTCTGGCAGCGGACGGCAGACTGTTCGTATATTCCACCGAGCTGTCTCCGCGCTGGGAGCAGAGACGTCTTACTCTCCCATGGGAATGGCTAACTCCTAGACCTCTAGAGAGTGTCTATATGATGCAGCATGTTGTACCAACGCTGGTTCGGACTTAGTCGGGACCTTGGTAAGACTATCAGTTACCATCTTCCTACGTCATTTATACAATGATGACCTCCGACGATCAGACACCATCCATTCCACTCCACCTACACAGTATGGCAACATACGACGCACTGATCATCGGCTCCGGTCCTGCCGGTCTCTCCATCGCTCTCGGGCTGAGCCGTATCCATCGCCGAGCAGCCATCTTCACCAAACCCGCCGGCGCCGGGTTCCGCAACGCAGGAGTCCACGAGATGCACAATGTCATCTCGCAGGATAACACCCCACCAGAGGAATTCCGGCATATCGCAACAGAACAGATCAAGAAGTACGGGACGGTCGATTTCCTCGAGGCGGAGATAGTCGGCATGAAAGCATACACCCAAAACGGCGCAGGCAATACCTTTCACGTTACTGCCGCCGATGGACGGACCTGGCAGGGAAGAAAGCTGGCGTTGGCAATGGGCTGCATCGACGTGTTTCCTGAGATAGAGGGGTACGCGGAGAACTGGCCGCAGAATATGTAAGCTGCCATGTTTTGTCTTGCGTCATCTGGCACGATCTGATCCTGCTAGATTCCAGTGTCTCTTCTGTGATGGGCATGAGCGATCGCATCTTCCGGGGGGCATATTGACTTTCCCGCAGCCGATGTATGCGCATTTGGCGGAGATGATGCATCTCCTTGTTACGCCGACATCTGGCCCGGTGACTGTCTTTACGGATGGGCCGGTTCCAGAGGATGAGGCGATGAAGGCTGCGATGGAGAAGGTCAACGCACTCCAGTGTAAAGTTGAAACGGGGAAAATTCTCCGACTGGTCCCTATTCTTCCACCTGACACGGGGGTCAGGGTCGTTCTGGAAGGCGGCAGGGAGTATAAGATGGGATACCTCGCGAACAAGCCGCGCACAGTCCTGGCGGGACTAGACATGATTACCCAACTTGGGGTCGAGATTGAAGACGACCCGATCCTCGGGCAGAGCGTCAAGGTCGATCAGCTGTTTGCGACTAATGTGCGAGGGGTCTTTGTTGCGGGGGATGCAGCGACTCCGATGAAGGTTGTTGCTAATGCGATGGGTAGTGGTGAGCAATCACCTCCTGTTTCATTTACTATTTACTGACAATCATGCTAGGATCCACCGTTGCTGCTGGTATCGTGCAGCATTTAGTCGCCGAAGATATGGAGCTTCTTTTAGCAGAAAAGAAAGCAGTTTAGATCTTATACGAAGATAATCGCAACATATCCAACATCAAACCATTAGGACGTCGATCTCTCCCCCCTAGCAATAAACCCCCTCCTACTAAACGAATGCCCAAACATGGTAAACCTCAACGGCCGCCCAATAACCTCATACTCAAAGTTCCTCCCCAGCCCAGCGCCTTCATACAACGCCCGCATTTCCTCCTCCGTGAACCCATGCTTGTTAATCGTCTCCAGCACACCCAGCTGCTCAGGGGCTAGTACAGCCCGTAGGTCCGCTGTATCTGCATCTTCACCCGGCGATACCATCGGTGTGGGAAACCCATCAATAACAACACACACACCACCCGGCTTCAAACACCCCGCCAACCGAGCCAGCAACCGCTGCGCATCGGTAACATGGTGCAACGCCATACAAACAACCACTACATCGAAGCCAGAGAGCTCGACACCATCGATTCCAGCTGCAGCGGGGTCAAGTAGATCAAGATGATACGCGCGCATCTTCTCAGGCGGGCAGCCATGCACTCTAGCCCAGTTGTTATACTCCGCGACCATATTCTCCGATAGATCGAGGCCGATGGCTTGTGTTATGTGTGGGAGGAGGGCCTGTCGTCAAGGATTGTTAGCTCAGCTTGTTCTTTGTTGTCGGGGGGTTTGTGCGTACCTTGGTGGCTGTGCCTGCGCCGCAGGCGTAGTCTAGTAGTCGGATGGACTCAGATTCTCCTGAACGTTCGTGATGAGGGTCAGTKGCTAGTTTTCTGCTGATCCAGGTGTGTCGATCTGCGATTTCTTCCATGATTGTCTCGATAAGGGGACCGAAGTCGGTGTGGTGGGTGGAGGCCACATTGCTAGAGATTGGATGATTGTCAGTGGTTTCGTATAGGACGGGCGTATTTCTTACTTGAAGTGGGCGCGGTTGGTGGATGTTAGGTCGCTCATGTTGGCAGGTACTGGTTTTCTATTTTCTAAAGTGAAGGGAGATGGCAGGTTTGTCTTATATGTGTGAGGTGAGTACCCTGGGATCCGCTCGTGTAAAATGTAGCCGCTATAGTCAACGCATGGCAGAAAGTAAAAAGTTACAGATGTATCAGTCAATGATAGGAGGATTTATTTGGAACAGACGATAGCAATGACAACAGCAGACATCCCGCTTAGCATGTGTGAATGAAGTGATGATGCAACAATGCTATATACCTCTACCTATCCGTGTACCCATACTCTACATCCCAACGCCAATGTAACTCATGACTCATAAACTACCTAATGTTGCGACACATCCTTTCCGTCCGACAGATTCCGCAGAATCTCCTTGAGCTGCTTCAGCGGCGTAGGTTTCGTCAGGAACAGATTCACTCCGCTCATCATGGCCTCGTGCTGCATCGATGCGGAGAGGACAGCAGTGAGGATGATAATAGTGGTCTCGGGACGCTTTTTCTTTCGTTCGAACCCGCGCATCTGCCGCGTGGCCGTGAGGCCGTCCATGACCGGCATGGAAATGTCTGCAGACGTTAGCGCTAGAGAATAGAGATGATCAAGGACGACTAACCCATGACGACTGCGTCGTATGTACCCGCCTTGAACTTTTCCAAGGCTTCGAGCCCGTTCTTTGCCGTGTCGTAGGTGAAGCCGGCGGTTTTGACGCACATTTCGATGATCTGTGACGTTAGAGATGCACGGTCTCTCGGGTTGAGCAGTCTCACCTTGAGATTGACTTGGTTATCCTCTACGAGAAGGATATTTTTCGCTCCTTTCCGGTCATCCTGTCCATCCACGTCCTTCTGCCCGGCTTCACCGTTGACAGTCTTATTTTTCTCTCGTTTCCTGTCATCGTGTCCATCGACGTTCTTCCGCCCGGCTTCACCGTTGACCCCCCGTCCAAGGACAGGCTCTAGGCACTGATCCTTCTCGCCGTTCACCATGCCCTCGAACATTTTATCCGCGTTCGGGACCCCGTCCGGGACCCCTTCCTCAACAGGCTGCACGGGCGAGGGCAGTCTCCGGGGCGAGGAACTGATCGATCGCTCTGGCTGGCCCAGACAATGCTCAAAGGCCGTCGCCAGTGTTTTCGGACTCACCCTATTGTTATTAGCAATGCACATAATTCATGTGGGAAGCACATACGGTTGGGTGAGGAAAATGACCGAATCCTCGACGCTCTCTCCCAATGTCTTCCAGCTACTTGTTCTGGCGGAGAGGACAATCAACGGAAGAGCAGGCTGGATCTCCCCACCATCTGGCTTGGGCTCGTTCGTGCCTTCGATATAGTAGTTGCGGTACTCGTGTTCCGTCACGATGGCAAAATCCGGCTTGGTGGAATCGAGCTCGTCGGCCGTCAGGACGCGGAGTCCGAACCAGCCGGTTACCATGCGCCCGAGGCTGCTCCGGATGCGGTCAAAAACCCGAGGGTCAAACCCCAGGTCGCCCAGCTTGGAGCTGCGCGTGAATAGTGAAACCGTCATGCCGCTCAGTTGATCCTTTAAGGGGGCAAATGAGCGAGTGGAGGAAGGACTGGACACCTCGGGCAGTCCGATAGGCAGCACGACGTCGACGTCCGTTCCCTTACCCACTTCACTGGTGAACTTGATCTGACCTTTGAGGGACTTGACGATTTGATGGACCAGATGTAGACCGACTCCTAGGCCAGGTGAAGTCGTGTCCTCCTGCAGGAAGGCGCTGTAGAGATGATTCGTGAGAAAGTCCTTGGACATGCCGCGGCCCGAGTCGCTGAATGTCATGCGAATCGCAGGAGTTTTCTTGCCATCCACTAGCAAGCTATCGCGTCTCATCCGCAACCGGATGTAGCCCGCCTGGGTGTATTTGAGAGCATTGCCGAACAGATTCATGACGACTCGGCGCCAGGCGCCGGCATATACACTGAACCGCCAGCTGTCCTGCCATTCGATATCGACAATGGTGATGAGACGGTTTTTCGGGCCGAGATCCTCCTTCTTGGCCAGCGCGTCACTATCCCCATTGGCGCCGCGACGCTGGTACTCTGCGCCAGCGAGAAGGCCTTCGATGACCTCTTGCACTAGCACGCTGAGATTCTCGTCCTGAAGAGAGCCAGGCACGGCCGTCTGGGGCTTGGACACGTCGCTGGCCCCTTGCGCGCCAGCCTTGTCTGACGGACGCGGCCGAGTGAGCGTATTGATCTTGGCGTAATCCAGGAGGTGGTTCAATGTATCCAGCAATGTGCGGCCGCAGCTGTAGACCGTCTCAATGAGGGACTTTTGAGCGTAGCTATTCACCATTTCCTGGAGCAACTCCACCGTGCCGAGCAGCCCATGCAATGGCGACCGCAGCTCGTGCGAGATGGATGAGATGAAGTCGCTCTTGGCTCGGTCGGCGGCCTCCAAATCCAGACGGGACACCTCGGCCATGACGGTGTTGCTAAAGGCCGCCAAGTACGTCAAGTCCTTGGGTTCCGACAACACTCGGCCCGGGTCGTTGGTCCATACCACGCAGACGGTGAACCACCGGCCCCGCTGGAAGTCCCAGACGGGATAGACGGCGACACATCGCGCATCCGGAAGGACCTTCATCATTTCCTTGATGTCCCTCGTCTCCTGCTGGATATCTTTCTTCTCCGGCTCGGTCGACATTGCTCCGCGGCTTCCTGTCCGGGAGTAACTCATCTCATCGGCGAGCCCTTCGTAGCTCAGAGAAATGGACCCATCTTCCTCGACATGGAAGATCTTACCCCGGGGATACTGGTCGATGAGATGGTTGATGAACCTACCCGATAGCGAGACGTAATGGCTGTCGTTCAGGTTGACTCCTCCCTCGGAGGTAGTCGAGGTGTAATGACCGAGCACCAGGCTTCGGGACTGCGAGTCGTCATCCGAAGCGTCGGTATCGGAACGGGATTCGGGGTTGGGCGTCGATGCGGCCTGTTCCTCTCCGCCGGTGATGTTCGGGGATTGCTGGTCATTGTAAGCTTCAAGGTTATCAAGTTTAGACCCGGTGAATCCCACTGTCTGCCGCCGTGCGTACACGCTGGCGTCGATGAACATGGCGCCTTCGACGTCGAGCGCTTGGTAGATCATCGAAGCGGCGCGGTTGACTACGGACCGGACGTTGCTGGGGGCGAGAGAATCCTGCAGCTGGCTGGTGGTGGGGGAGAGCGTTGGTCGATGATGCTTTTTGTGACTCTTTTCGTCGGGCTTGACGTCCTGCTCTTCTTGCGTGTCTGACTCATCCTCTCCACCTTGTTTAAACCTTTGGACGGGGGATCCATGCATGCCCTGTTTGTGCTTTGAGGCAGCCTGTGGCATTTCTTTGTCCTGGTCATGGCCAGCATCGTCATCCTTGTCATCCTTGTCATTGTTGTCATCGTTATCCTTGTCATCGTTATCCTTGTTATCCATGCCATCCTCGCCTTTAGACCCGGAGATCTGTAGCTTCTCCAACCTCTTGTTCAGAGCAGTAAACTGCCCCCCGTATTTCTTATCCCGAGCATCTCCACTGTCGAACCACTCATTGAGATCCGACTTGCCTTTGACGAACAATCCCAGCGCCCGCACCATCTTTTCCTCACGGTACTCCTCCCGCATGGCTCGCTGACACAGCAGATGATCCATGATGGTCGCCGAGAGCTCCTTGAGAAGATGTTCCTGGTCCTCGGTAACGCCGTCCCGCGGCCGATCATCCAGCACCGCCAGACTGCCAATGACATAGTCATCCGGCGACCTGATAGGCACCGAGACATAAAACCGGTTGTGGGGATGGCCCGTGACCGACGGGTGATCCTTAAACCGGTCGTCGGCAGTCAAATCATTAGCCACGAATATCTCTCGTCCGTCTTTAATGAACGACTTGACCGCATGATAGCACATGGTTATCTTCTGGCGCGGCAGCCGGCGCACCCCCAGCCACAGCGCATCCGCCCGGTCGCGACCGTCGGCCGCCCGCAGACTCAGGTCCGGTGTTGCCTCCGCAACGACATGCTGCGTTGTCCTGTCAAATAGGGAGATGAGAGCGCGCGCAGCGTTCATCCGCAGGGCGGCCAGCTGCGCGAAAACGGTGAGAACATTGTCCCGCGACACGTTCGGGTGTGTTCCGACCGACTGCTGGGCGAACTTTTCGGAGTCGGAGAAGCCCCAGTAGGGGAGGTAGCTGACTTACATTAGCTCGGGTCAGTATAAAGGTTCAGCCGAGTTTGATTACAGGTGCATTTCTCGTTCGCGAGCGCCCTCGCGGTTGAAGGCATACTTGCGTGGACCGCCTTCGCGGCTTTGGTTTGAACTGGCTGGCGAGTCCATCTATAACTGTCAGATCATGATCTAGCGGAGTGACAGCGTACAACACACTCTGATTTAGCCTGGATGATGGTATCGAGAGCGCCGAGTCATTTATACTCGCTCAATGGGAGCAATTGGGATGGTTGCGTTGTGTTATTATCTGTAGAATGACAAAGATGGGCTGATTGTGATTTGGTGAGCTGCGATCGATGGCTGAAGCCGCTGGCGTCATAGGTCGCGAGATCGCTCACGGACGGCGGCAGAACCGAGAAGAAGGCGGAATGGATTTAAGTTTTCTCGACGGCACATACCCGAACGGCCAGTACCTGTATACTATATGCTCGGGTACCAGGGTACGATCGGCGGGGACAATAATAGATGATGTGTTACAGAAAACTGGGAACCAAGAATACCCTGCGTCTCGGGGTGCCATGTACGTAGATAACCTCGTCTACTTGGTATAATTAAGAGTTCCTGGGTGGATGATGGATTCCAGGGATCTTGCGCTGACGTCATTAACCGCGTCCCCCTGGAAGAACAGACCCAGATCGACACTCCCACTGCTGCAAAGATGTCATCTCGAGAACTATTTCCAGGCTGAATGATTGGACAAGGCTGCAGGACACGCATCCAATGCCATCATCTGGCATCCTATGCTGACACCTCAGGCAGTACTGTCACGTGGTATTTCGTCAAGACACATATCCAGACTGCTAAACAGCTCTAGTTAGGAACAGCTCAATGTACTTATCATAATTATCACATAAATCACTACCATTAAAGGCAATCATTGTCAATTACATAGCACAGCCAGATGCACTTTTTCTTCTTGCCTGGCGCTGGACAGCATTGGATTACCTGATTGGTTATGTGACTTCTGAATAGCTTCATGATGGCTCTACGATATGAGATGACATAATCCGTCAGAGGACGAAGCCCTGGTTACTCCGTAGTACGAGAGTGTACCTAGGATGAGATGTTGGATTCCTAGCCGACTGGCGATGCACCTTGCATTAAGCAGGATGACCATCTACTGTGGGTCCTGCTTAATATTGGCTTAAGAATCGGCTGAATAATCAGCTGTTCGCGAATTCCCTCTTTGGGTTTAGCTTCGTTACTCTTCCTCAGGCCTCTCTTTTCTGCCACCTTTCTAAGGCCCTCTCTTCGTACCTTAGGCCACTACCTTACCAGCAGCCCCTACCTAGATAGTGCCTCTATTACAGGGCTGATCATCTTCTTAGCTACTATATATTCCTATATGTAATTTATCACTTTCTTGAAATAGTAGATGTATATTACACCTCGAAAGATTGATGTTTTGTAAGAGGAAAGACCAAGACCGTAAGATACTTAAGTAGGTGAGGCCCTGCGCTATAAGTGACCAGAGCGGACTGCCTAAGGCAGCTTGTACATCAATATATATATAGCGCTGATCTATGAAGACTGGCGGACTACAGACAAGTGCTGAACACGTATTGCACTACTACTGCTATCACACTAAAAATGATAGTCTAGCATCTTTAGCTGAGTGCTTATTGTTGACAAGTAAGGAAAGCAGCGTCAGCGTCTCCGGTCTTCTGACGGACATAGGCCTACATCAACTATCTCCGCTATAACTCCGCCGTAAGCGTAAGCGCATGCCTCAGCGGATGTATATAATCCACAATCACCCAAATTACTTGCTGGATCCTATTTGAAATTTTAGACTCAACAACACGTCGACCTGGGAGATACCACACATCTACAGCAATGCATCTCATACTCACCGGCGCCACCGGCCTGGTCGGCTCAGGCGTCCTCGACGCAATGCTGGCCATGAAAGAAGTCACCAAAATATCCATCCTAAGCCGACGACCAGTCCAAATGGCCGAGGATGCTCATGATCCCCGAGTGCAGGTCATCATACACAAGGATTTTGAAACCTACGACCCAACAGTCCTCTCCCAGCTCCAGGGAGCAACAGGCTGCGTATGGGCTCTGGGAATCAGCCAAACAAAAGTCAACAAAGAGTATGCCATGTCCACACATCCATATCAGATAAAGTAAAAGCTGACAAGAAAGGGACTACATCAAAATCACCAAAGACTACGCCCTCGAAGCCGCAAAAGCCTTCCGCGCGCTTCCCCCGCCAAACCAGCCCTTCCACTTTGTCTACGTCTCAGGCAAAGGCGCCACAACGCAGCCTGGCTTCTTCACTGCGCTCTTCGGCCGCGTTAAAGGCGAGACAGAGCTGGAACTCGCAGAACTACGTCGCCAGTTCCCACTGTTTAGGACGAGTTCCGTCCGGCCTGCGTTTATAGACTACGCGCACCACGACGCCATCAAGAAGTATCTCCCCCCGCGGCCGGCGTATGAGACCTTGTTCCAACCCCTAGGATCTGTATTTCGGGCGGCAACGCCGGGACTGTGTAGTCCGACTGCGCAGCTGGGGAGGTTCCTAACGGAGATGGCGATGGGGAAGCATGAGGATCGGCTTGTTGGAGGGAAGGATGTTCAGATCGTTGGGCAGATGCCTATACTTGAAAATACGGCGTTTCGGCGGTTAGCTGGGTTGAGTTCGTGATATTCCCCGATTTAATGTTTAATATAGTGGAGGGGAACTGTACATTAKGATTGGTTAGCATCTATTTACATCTGCGTTTTGAGGTATCACCTTCTCTGCTGTGCGAATACTCTTAGGGCTCAGCAATGTCGACTGTGGTACCATACTCCGGACTTGCAACTGAGCCATCATTGATGGTGAGATCAGTTCTCTAATAGTATACTCCTTGGTGCAAATAAGATCATAACCAGTTTATCGTAAAGTAATCCAATCTAGGTACATGTCTATCCTCTAGTCTATCCGAACCATCGATCAATCAATACCCAACTCCATAACGCTATCGCTTCTATGTAATGCAATGCTACTGCTCAACCTCCTGAACAGCTCTCTCTACATCCCTAATCTTCCTCCGCCCAAAACGAAGCTTGTGCATCAGATTCTTCTGCTTGATCAGCAGCGCCCTCTTGCGTCGTCGGCGCGGATAATTGATCGGACTTTCTCCTCCAGTGAAGATAGCCAGATCGTAGATGAGCGTGCCACACAGTCCGCCAGAGATATCCGCTGCCCATGGGCCCCAGATCCACCAGGCATGTTTCTCGCGGAAGACCTCGCCACCCCAGCCGGCCATAAGGGCAACCAATCTCGGACCAAAGTCACGGGGGCCGTTGAAGCATCTATGTCGTCAGTACAAGAACTACTGTAGAGTTGGAAGACAGCTCACCCGCCAGTGTTATACCCCAACGCCAGAACAAGCACGCTAATCAAGATCCCCAGGATAAACGCCTGCATACCCGCCCCTGGCGGCGCATTGGTATCATCCCCCAGCGCCATAATCGTGCCAACCAGGATCGCCGTCCCGACAAACTCATTAAAGAACGCCGTGACAGGGTGCACAAAGTCCCTCGGAGCGGTAAGCAGCGCCTGCCTCGCCAGCGACTCGCTCTGCGTGACATGGTTCATAAGCGCAGAGTCGACAATCGCATCGTGATACAGCGCGTACGCGATCCCGCCGGCCGTGATACCGCCGACGATCTGCACAGCGACGTAGATCATGCACTTCTTCGCCGGGAAGCCCCGCCAGACGGCCATGCTGATAGTGATTGCCGGGTTCAAGTGGCCGCCTGACACCCCACCTGCCATGTAGATGGCGATCATGAACGCAAACCCCCACGCCGGCGCGAGGGACGGAAACGACCCCGCCTGGTTCTGCGAGGTAAATGTCTGCAGGCCTGCGCAGAGCCCGAGCGTCATGGCTATCGTCGTGCCGAGCCACTCGGCCAGCGGTTCGCGGAACTGGTGTCTGATCTCTCCCCACTTGTTGAAGAAACCGTGTTCGTTTGGTTGGGCGACTCGGGCTTCGGGGTGGTTCTTGTCCTCTTTGAGGTCGTCGTTGTGGTGCGGGTGCTCCGTTGGTGGTTCATCGGCCGCTGGGACTTTTTCTTGGTGTGCGTTGGGTCGTTTGTTCGTGGCTTCTGTGTCTTGATTCTCCCTGTTCTTCATTCCTGGCCGCATGACATGTGGCAGCGGTTGTGCCAGACTCCAGACTGGGGTGTTTTGCGGCTGGCCATATTGGGGGTTGTAGTGCATGTAATCCGGGTGCAGGTAGACGCCCCCCTGGTATGGCGGAGGGGCTTTTGAGCCAGTTAGAGAAAATTGCTGGGCGGCATTTGGAATTGCCTCATGGTCTTGGGACGGCTGCTGTATTGTTTCATCGGATTGGCAGTCGTGAGATTGGACATCTGTTGATGTTAGACAAGCAGTTGTGATACAGGGTACACATACGGTTGATCTCGTGCAATTGGGAATTGTTTTCGCCCTCCATGGGAATCCTGCTCATAGAAGGCTAAATATAAGCGAAAGAAAATACGAAAAAGCACAATTGCTGGACATTATGATCATGGGCGATTCATATATAGCAGGATTGAGTATTATATGCGGAGATAGAGATAAGGTACCGATTACATCACAAAGACGGCAAACCTGTCAGTGGCCACCCAAATTCAATTCTTGCCAGATCCCGCCAATGAATGGAAGGGAAACGTTTCCAAGACCAGGAACTGGAAGTCTGGAACCATGATCCAGGTTCAGGGATATATGCACAGGAAGTGCTCCCAGCCAATCATTTCTTCTCGCAGTCATAGACAGCTTGATGTCATTTCAAAGGATCCTTCTAAATACGGAACGAACAATCTTTTAGATTGGGAGGGCAGTACCCTATATAAGCCCTGTCATTGGCGGCATCCTATATCTCATTCTCGGCCACTAACAGCCCTGTGGGTTCGCCGTTACTGCCAAGTTTTCTTTTACTTCACTTAGCGGTTAGGTTGGCATCAGCGTCCATGTCTCTTTAGTTAAAGTTCTCTATGCACTCGGTGAATCTGAAGCAATTGACTCGAGTACTCTCCTACTCCATACTGCAGTTTCAATCGCCAGATTGGTAAAAACCATCGTTACTGACTGAGGCGTAGATAAGAGCGAGACAGATACTGAAGATCGTTGTCTATGATGAACTCGCTATAAAAAGTATACTTGATTGCGTCGGTTTTGAATAGGATCAATTCAATCAGTGAGGGAAGAGTTATTTACCAATGCACACAGACTAAATATATAAAGGTACACAAGAAAGATTAGTTCGATTAGCTTATGTAGATGTCCCAGCACTCCCTCATTTCAGTCCGTACAATTTTAAACTGCCAAAGCGGCAGGGGAACGGCAAAAAAGTAATTAACAAGCCTTGCAAGGTCTCGCGCACTGAATCTCTCCGGACGCCTTCATAGCGACCCATGAGAAGCTAACTGCCTGATCCAAATTCGCATCCATTCCTCATTTACCGGAGGAACCTTCGGCAGAGAGGGAATGCGCTTCTGTGTATGCTGCGTCTCCATCTCCAATGGCCTGCCCTCGAGAGACCGATAGAAACTGAGCAATTGCACCCCGGGTAATTGCTGATCAGCGTTTGCCGGCTTGGCTGCATGCTCCTCTAGCTTTTTCACCCAATCAGACAGCGTCGCCGTTTTGCGTGTACCTTGAAGTTCGTTGAGGACGGCTGGCACGACGCTCTCCCACGTAGCTCGATTGGGGTTGACAAAATGGTAGTAAGACGTCACTTCGTCACTGGGGAGCGTTCGGTCATCCAACCCCGCGAGATCGGCAAGCAACTCTGCCAGGATATCCACTGGGATCCATTCCAAGTGACGCTGGGCGCCCAAGGTGCCTGGAATGTATCCCATAATCTTCAAACTTACCAGCAGAGTCGGAAACCAGTCACGAAGGGGCCATGCGCCATCCGTATGCACCGGTCCGGTTACCTGCCCCAAGCGGCATATAGCTGCTCGGACGCCGGCGAGCTCGCCCGCTTTGTGAAGTAACAGGCTTGCTATCAACTTGCTCTCGCCATACCCGGTTTGCGCGTACTCGAAGGGTGTGAGCAGAGTTTCAGGGACGGGGGAGTCCTGGTCCCACATCGTCACGGTGTCAATGGAAGATAGGAAGATGATGTGCGGGTGCCGGTTTGATGCGACTACGAATTGTACCAAATTTACAACACCTTGGATCTGAGGTTCGAAGTAGGACAGGCGCTGCTTGAAGGTCACTGGCCACTGGCAGTGCACGATGGTGGTCACTGACTTGGTCAGCTCGGAGTATGTCTTCCCCTCCAAACCGAGCTTTTGTGCAGAGAGGTCGCCCGTGAGGTATTGCACGTCGGTCGACGAAGCACTTCCGTCCATTCCCTCTGTGGCCTTCGATGGCGAACGCGCCGGATTCTTACGATTGATACACGTGATCTTTTTGACGTTGGCCCTTTGACAGAGGACTCGGAACAGATGTGAGCCCACAAATCCTGTGCTTCCGGTGAGAAGAATGTGTTCTTGGCCGTGAGGACGGTGCTGTACTTTAGCTTCTCGCCTTGGAAGACTCGATATATACCTGGTGACAGTCTGTTAACCACTATGCCAATGGACAGACCAACGGAGTACACTTACTTGTCAAGCATCTTAGACATGGCTTGTAGGCGATCCTCCTGGGACAGGGACGGCGATTGAGACGGACGAAAGATGTAGGATGCAAGTTTCGCCGCACTTGTATGAGTATATATTGCATCCTCAGTGAGCTGGCGCTCGTCCAACCCACAGTTTGGGTCATTACGAATCATTTCTCGGACATTGGCAATTATCATCTCCGCCTGCTGAGAATTCATTCCCGCATCGAAGAAGTCACTGTTTGTGTCGAACCCGTCGGTGTCCGTTATCTCTGCTACAGCCTTAGCCAAGGAGCCAGCAAATGCTTCTTCGGATGCCAGATCGAGTGATAGATGCTGGCCGTCGAACCCTCCTCTGAAAGAGTCAAACAGGGTGTCAATTTCATTCTGATAGGCCTCAATTGTTTGGCGGCGCTGCACCGTCCCCTTCTCCGTCCTAGCAAACGGTTTGTCGCCCTTTGCAAAAATAATATTCTCCTCCGGTATCCGAACGAAATCTGGGCAGCGGCGATACGTGTCATGAAGGACGTCCTTGACTTGTTGTTTGATATCCTCGAGTCGCTCTTCATTTTCATTAGAGCCGAGTTCAATCAACAGGCCTGGCTTCGGCCGGCCGGTGCCGAAAACAAGCGCTCCCTGAATGCTGGGATTAGCACGGATTGCGCCTTCGATCTCCAGCGGATTCAAGTTCTCTCCTGTGGACAGGACCACAATGTCGTCGCGTCTGCCTTCGTACACCCAATAGTCCGGTATGGTCTCATGCCTGGAGAATAAGTCCTTTGTCTCGAATTCTTCCAAATCGGGAATGTTCCTGAAGACGCTTTGGAATTCACTGGCAGCGTCGCTACGGGTGATGACCATCTCGAACTTGTCAGGCTGCGGGTCAAACCGCCGCCATTGAATGCCGTTCAGTTCGTCGCTGAAGTGGTAGCAGTACCAGTGCTCTGATTTCACGGGAAACTGGACCAACGAGCCGCACTCGGTACTGCCTATGCTGTTGATTAGCCGCACCTTGTGACACAGAGAGTTTCCTGTCTTGGTTTTGATAGAGCCTACTCAGCAAGTCAGCCATGCGTACTAGGATATGAGAGCGATGCTACATGCCGCCGCCAAACATGATATACTGACACCGAGACAAGTCCTTAACTAATTGTTCATCCTGGGCCACATCGTCTAGGACTGACGGAGGCAGGATAAGAGCACCGACTTCTGATGTTTTTAGTATTTCACGAACCATATTGCGACTAACTGGCTTGTTCGGGTTCCCTAGCATGACTGTACACCCCGAGAGAAGGAGAAAGCAGCTGAGTATAAGCCCAGCAATGTGGAATAAGGGGAAGCCCATGAAGGGCATATCCGCTTCGGCCAGGGTTTCTAGCACGCATTTTCTTCCGACCCGAGAAGAAATTAGATGATGTGCATCGATAGATGCGAGAGTAGAGTGAGGTAGTTTGACCGGTTTCGGCATACCCGTGGACCCTGCTGTGTGGAGGATCTGCCGGACGTTAGCTGCGATGCAGTTCTGTGCTGAGGATGCTTACCACAAAAGTGTCATCTGCAGCGGTTTCCCAAGTTTCGTCGTACGGGTATTGTTCTTCATTGTCTCCATATCTCAGACATTCAACTAGAGACGGGACAGCGCAAGTGCGTATCTGTGCATCATGTTGCAATTCGTCCGCCACTTTCCGAAACGAGGCATCGAAGACAAGGAATGAGCAATTGGCTTTCTCGAGGATATGCCTATGCACTGCAGCGCCATTTCTGGGTGACAAGAGGAGAGCCTTCAACATGTCAGAGAGATAGAGAATCTTGCCTGAGTCGCAATACCTTAGCTTTGACTTTTATAGCGGCGAGCGTGATAACCAGATGCCTAATATCACTCGAAGCCAGGCATCTGTTAACCGTTAGAGATGCCGGGGTATAGTTTGACGTCAGGACTAACCCAATAGTCCGTGACTCATTATCAGCAGGAAGGCATTCATCAAGCCACTTGGCAAGCCTATTAACTATGTTGGCTATGCTGCCATATGTCAAGAAATGATTCTCAGTTTTCGAGTCGATCGTCACTGGCTGGCACACTGCCCTCGCCGATGGAGAGCTACGAGCAGCCTCGTCAATGAAGTTGACCAGAAGACGTTTCCCGATATTATCTGTCGTTGAAGGCATTGTGAGCACACAACAGACGAATGTAGTTCCAATGGGATCAATCAGAGAATAACCAGAGAAGAAAGGGAAGGGAGCTGCCTGCTAGGCTAGTCCTTATTTACCATTGATGTAACCAGCACACGCGGCCTTCCGTATTCCGTGGCAAAATAAACGTTGGGATAAGATTCCACGATCCACCGTGGATCCACCGAGTACAGAGTATCTAGTACCGAGGAAACCTTACCAGTGTTCTGGGACGAGGTTAAAGCAAAATGATGATCCCTCCGGATGCGGAAATCTCTGCAGCGCAGACAAAAACATCCATTGTTGGTACCTAAGGTTCGTGTAACCGTCATAGATCATTAGAACCGAGGATGACAGCTACGTAGCGATGGGCCTGTGTTACGTCGACTAGAATTTACCACTATCCATCATTCTCCTGAAAGAGTGAGGAATGTGGGCAGGATCTATCATCAGGAATGCTTGACATGTGGAGTGAACGCTAAAAATGCCTGCTACTGAGGCCATTTACAGCTGCATTTTCACCTGTAACTCCTAGCAGCTTAGTATTTTGACATGTGCTTTACATCACTGTTCTACACCCGCTAAGCATTATTTAGTCACTATTCTAAGATCTGAGCGCTTAACCTTAGCATATGTCATTTTAATCTATGGTGAAGTTGACGCTGAAATTGGCCTCCTCTCTGGCCATATCCTAAATTTAGAATACCCTGAAGGTCTTGCTGTTATTAAATAATACTAGTAAAAGTAAAGACTTTCTTGAGCTGAAGACTACCGGTGGATCGCCTAGGAATGGCACACTAGTGACAGGTATTGCATCTAGTTGAATGAKGACTATGTGGAGTATCTACTATTAGAGAGTAGAGTTTAAGTGACTACATGAATTCATACCGCTGCATGGATCAATTACTAAGTCTTCAGCTACACACGCATAGAAAACAGGATGAAAAGAGTTACTGACGAATATCTCAACAACGCTCGCTTCTCACAGGCTCTGCTGACACTTGAAGTTGTCTTGAATGCGACAGCTTTCTTTCCCTTTTTGCCTCGATCCTTTGGTAGAGTTTCTGTCCTGAAACAATCAACTCGGGCCATTAGAATCCATATGGAAGCCAGAAGACACCAATGAAGCTACTCTCTCTTTTCGACAGCTTGGTGGGATCGGAGCAAGTCATTGTCCACTGCAGCATGTATCTTCAATCTACCGGGGGAAGCAGCCCTACTTGTGAGAGTTTGAAGCGTGAGAAAACCGTKGCCCATCTGATACTGACCATTGGATACAGCTATGGCTTCGGACGGAAGAGGAGCCTACAGAGCTACTATTATGCAACTAGGTAGGCTACACAGGTTAATAGAGTCTCAACTACGACTCCATCTCTGTAACAAATTCTCCTATCATCAACAATCGCTAAACTAAGTCTGGCTACCTGAGCGCATCAAATCTTCCACAAGTGCGTTCATATTCGGAGGGCGACCAAGGAAATCCTCCAGCATCCGCAACAGGTCCTGTTGGCTTCCTCCGTGTTCTAGAACTCCGCGACGGTACTTATCCCACGTATCTTTGTTATACGGGTCACGGGCAAAGACAGAGAGGAACAGATCCTGGGCCACAGCCGTGCAACTGTTCTGTTAGTATTGCCTGTTGTCATAGCTGGGGATAACATACCATAGGTAAGCATAGTAACAAACATCATAACCAGCCGTTAGATGAGCGAACGTCCCAAACGCAAACCCATTCCTGCATTCGGAAAAATCCATTCCCTCTATCTCCTCACGTAGGTCATACCACAATTTTTGTAGGTCGAGATCTGCAATCTCCTTGTCCGTACTCAGTGAGTGTATCTGGAGATCAAAGATCGATGTTGACCTAATCCAGACAATCAGTGTTTGCAAAATGCCAGGAATCAGAGCAGACGCCCACATACAGCTGATACAAATGGTAAAGTCCTCTATTGAAGTACCGATATTTGATGAGGTTCTCTACCAAGTCATTTGGAATTTCTTTTGGCGGATCTAGCTCGCCGGGATGTTGTTTGCGCCAGTCTGCTAGATAATCTTGGTGTAGTGTTGTGTAATGGCAGCTGAGGCCCTTCAAGACATCTTTCATCCAACACCAATTCTCGAGCATAATGCTAGGCGTCTCACCGAAGTCAGGGGGCAGTCTGTAGCCATGGAAGCGGATATACTTTGTCCTGGCTAATAGGTCATGGATGCCATGACCCATCTCTGTAATATGCACCTATTAGGCTATATATCCAAGTAGTGGTTCGGCTTTCGTATACTTGCCGTGGAAGAGAGTCACAACCTCATTATGCTTGAGTAAAGCACAACTAGTAGGGGTTGGAGTTGGGAATGAACACATTAGAATCGTCGACGGGTATTGTCTGCTTCCATCTGGCCGTAGATAGCCCTGTATCGGTCATCAGTAAAGGCCAACGTGAGCGAAATAAGGAAGGAACAAATACACATTGGATATTCACGCTTTGGCTGCCTCGGTACTTATTTTCTCTCCACAATAGATCGAAATAGAGATACCCGATGAACGCATCCTCTTTTGTATCCCATACGGAGAACACCCGTACGGTATCATGCCAGATGACATCCCTTGTTAGCTTTTCAGAGGGGATGGAATTAAATCTCAGATTAAACAAAGAGGCAAAGATGCCTAGCATGTTAGTTGCAGTTCTCTCCAGCGGGAAGAACTCTGAGATCTTCAGCTGGTCAACTCCAAACTCACGTTGAACCAGCCGCTCATAGTATCGCTTTTCCCAAGGGGGGAACCTGTCCCCGGCTTCTTTGTCACGGAATTGGCCTCTCGCTCGTAGATCTTCTAGCCGTCGACGCTGCAATACTGCGATCTCGCCTTGGCCATAGGGACAAAGAGTGGCTTGTAGTTGACGTAGGAATCCTTTCACCCATTCTGTGGTCTTCACCATGCGCCTCTCGATCCTCAATGCCGCGTGACTTGGATATTTTAGGACCTGTGCCTGCCGAGCACGGCGTTTGATAATATCTTCGAATAGCGGCATATTCTCCTTCAGCTTCAAATTATCCTCCAGAAACATTCTCTTGCGAGTTTCTGGAGAATGGGCATGTGTTAATACAGCCAGTGTTCCTCCATTTGCGAATGGCACAAACTTCTTCCTTTGCTGGTGCTTTTCATGAGTCAATTCGCCTTCTGCTGGAGAATCGCGCCACTTCGCCAACTCATCTCCGGGCACTCCATCCAACTCCTCTAACGTAAACCATACTCCCCCGGCCTCCCTAGCCAAATTCTGCTGAAACTTCCTTTCTAGTTCCGCAATCTCCATATTGCGCTTCTGGTACTCCTCCAACTCCACGTGCCCCAGGATGCCATGACCAGCATGCCTATACTCCAATAGCTCCTTCTCTAGCCAGTGCTTCGATTCCGCGTCCAGCGCCTGGAACTCCGGCTTCTCTCTTGCTGTCTCTAGAAGTCTGAAAAAGGGTTCATCTGCTACCCATAGTGCCGAGGCTTTAAGGTACAATTTTCGGGCCTCGTCGAACGCGCCTTGTGTCTCGAGGGACGGAGATCCATACTGGAGCATGTCAATCATTCCTAGCTCGCCTTGGACGGCATTTTCGACATTCACTAAGGGAAGAATGACGTTGCTGAAACTTGCAGTGGAAGGCGTAGTTGTTTGGAGGATTTGGGTGCGAATAGCGTCGTATTTGCTGATTATGCGGTGCATCGCTGGAACGATCTCATCCGCGGTTGGGACAGAGGGAAGGGGCTGTGGGAGCGACATTTCGTTTGAACTGGTTGAGCGTCTCAGTTGTAGATAAACTCAGATTAGATCAACTTGTGGATTCTCGCGAGTAGGTAGGTACTGAGATGGATCTTTTTAAATGAAAGAGGGGTCGGGTTATAGTTGTACTTAGAGGTGGCCCCTACCCATGTACGCCTACAGCTACTAGTAGGATTATCAAGACACTACTTAAGTAATAGATAATGACAACAACCTTAGTTCTATGCAAGAAACAGGCCCTCGTCCAAGGAAGGAGGTATACAGCAATTATAACTGCTTAGTCTTGATCTACTTACCTATGAAATAAGATATCTGCATTAAGGGAGTTATACATAACTCCAGTTATAATAAGCTAGCTGCAACGTGACAACTGCTAGTAAATATGGAGTATTTTTCATTGGCCCGGCGCTAATGCATTCTAAGTCACGAACTGCCTCTTATCTACTGCAATATCAAGCAAATGAATTAGAGTGCTCAATACAGGGAGTGTGGTTTTATTTAGGATTTAAACTAAAGCTCTTATACATAGTTTCTTTGAGAGCCCAATGGAGATGGTGTCGTACACGGATCGATCTCTGTATCCGCTGCTGAGCGCCCGGGGCCCACTATAGATGGAGGACAGTGCTTATCGCCCTGATCGACATTTGGCCCGACCGAGCCAATCAAAGAAGCCGTGTCATCATATCACAGGTTATGACAGCCACCAACCTCTCCAGCAAAACACTTCCGTACTGCATGGCATACATAACCGAGGTAGGGGCTACCTTCTTTATCTTGCAGTCCCCCTCCCAATATTACTGAATGCACCTCCGACTTCCTCCGTAGTATGTTCCGCAGGTCTTTCAGCCTCGAGCAATCCACTAGCACGTGGACTACACTCGCACTTGTGGTTCTCTTCCAAATGCTGCCGCAGCCTAAGAAAGAGCAAGAACAATCCACTTTCCTCTGAACTACAACAGTATCTAATAGATATAGAAAGAGCTTATATTGCCTATAAAGCTAGGAAAAAGAAGATATATAGAGTAATATCACATTTTTCCTATAAATGTAAAAGAATAAAGCTAGAGACCATGAGCTCCCCCAAGCAAGCAAGAGAACCCTGCCACAGTGCCTAGCGGCTCCAGAATGCTCCGGCTGCCTCAGGCAGCGGGGACTACCCCGATCGAACAGATCCAGACTAGGTGGAATACTTGGCTGCCACAATGTCGGCCTGCACTGCATCCTCAGTGGAGTCAGACGGATAGCCAGACGTCATCACGCCCTCGTAGAACGTGCCTTGGGAACCATGACTATTGTCGCCGCCAGTGCCCAGAATGATGGCGCCCTCTTTGTGCATCGGGTTATACCCACTTGGGCGCACGCCACTATAGAAGGTCGAGAGTGAACCAGACGTTGCGTCGCCGCCGCGGACCGCGAACTGGTTTGACTGCCCCTTAACGACCGCAGTAAGGAACCGGTGGGAAATAGTCGGGTTATTGCCATTCCAACCAAAGTTTGGGCCACCGAAGAGGCCGTTCTCAAGGTCAGCCATAATCCAAGGGCCGCTGCCGGAGCCACTGCCCCAGGTGGTACAGTTGCCGAAATTGATGGCTTCCATATGGCCGGCGCCAGTATCAGTACCGCTAGTCTCGGCGTTACCGTAATCGAAGCAGCATTGATCGTTATAAGTGGTCCCATCGAAGATTGCATACATACCCTGTGGCTGGTCGCCTGTAGCTGTGCCTTTGGCGGCGTTGTTGCGATATCCCATACCAGGCTGAATATGGACGCCGTATACCTTCTGACCGTTCATCAAAACTGGTGCGCTATCTGCAATGGCCAGGTTGTCGTAGCCATTAGATGCTGGCCCCCAAAAAGCGCCAGGCGGAGCCTGAGTAAGGTGATTTCCGTTGCCAGACTGGTCGTAAATGATGGTAATAAGACACGTTGTCCCAGAGCAGAAGGAATCTTGGGCTGCGGCATTAGCAGCACCGCCAGCATTAAGCGTCCCGATGTTTTTGCTTTGCCAGTCGGACTCGCGTATCACCTGGTAGAGTAGGCCGTTATAGGAACCATATAGGGCGCGAGTTGTGCTATGCGCTGCGACACAGGGTGTGCCACCCCAGCCGTAGTAGTCGCAGGGCCCGGCCGCCACAAGGGTGCCCATGGCAAGAATGCATAGAGCACGTACGCTGGCGCGCTCGAGGCTTGCTCGTATGAGTAACATGTCCAATCACTTTCGGTGTGGGAATTGTATGAGAAGAATGTCTCTGGGCGTGTGGAACTTCTCATTAAGAAATTCGATAGCCAACAGAACAGCTATATTTATACTTTTTTAGAACTACAGAATATCTGTGTTGTCTTTTATTAAGACCGGATAATATGCGATGATTCAGGCGTAACCAGGGCCCCGCAAAACCTACCTACTAATTCGAACGCGGTATAGTAGTTGTTCGAAGGATCCAAACTCTGGGGATTTTTTCCTCTTTCAAATACAACACGTGCCATTGAGTTCACTAATGTCATAGCCGATAATTTGAGATCTGTTTGTAGGGAGGAAAGACGGCTAAAGGTTTCACTTTCTAAAGAGTAATGCCTAAATCTGCTGTGTCCCCTATCATTAACCACCCTTGAGAGTTTCAATTCAGCCCTTTAACGTTGGACAGGCGCTCGTGTTTTAGGCTGCCCGCAGGTTCCTTTGCCTTCTCTCTGTCCGGTTCAATGTCGATTTTGGTAAAAGCTGGGGTCCGCCACAGTGCCGGCGGGGTAGGGTCAATTTTTTCTAGGGCTTGTAGATGGGCAAGGTCCATTGTCCGCATGGTTTCCACTAGAGGGAACTAAGAACCGGTTCCTATATAAGTGCTGCGTATTCTTGCTCGCTTTGTTACTCTATATATTGGGTAGCAAATGGAGTGCTTAATGGTGAATCTGGGCATCTTCCATCGTACGGGGTCAGTAGGCCGTGTTAAAAGAGGGATTTTGCATACCCCAACGTCAAATTCAAAAGTAGAAGGAATGCGAGAAGGACGTGCATTATATACGTATTTCGGAGACTTGTCGGGAGATGGGTTGATGCTTGGCGTCAGAAATATCAGAAGGAATATCGAGCCTTTATATCAAAGTAGGTGACAATTACTGAGAGCTAAGGGCGCTGGAGACTGAGCGCGAAGATTGGACGGGATTCTGAGGTACAGGAAGTTGCGGGGCTAAGGGCCCGGGGAAATAAACCAGAACTCACCATCAAAGAGCATCGGTCAGAAGGGACACATTACAAAAAAACAAGAAGGTAAGTAGGGAGCCAACAGTTTGTGCTGGATACCTACCGCATACCTATCATATCTGAGGGGAATAGACGAGKGGTCATAGCCTATCGACCCTACTAAGCTAAAGGTGTCCAGATGATCATTTCTAGCTAACAGTTTGCCCCGACGCATGCATTTTTTGCAGGGCAAATATCCAGCACCATGTCAGACACAAAGAGAACAAACTGCGCACAAAAACCACTTTTCCTCAGGTAGCTTCAATGCAGAAGTATTACAATTCCAGACCTTCCATCACATCCAGTAGCAGCCTCGCCATATCTTCACTACGAATTGCTGCGTAGATACGACTGACGTAGGTTCCAATTGTTCGTTTTGGCCCCTCTCCATCATCTTTGGTGCCGATTGTGGGGTGGTCTTGGATGCCCTGGTGAAATGGCACCTGCAGCTGTTCGCGTACAAAGCGGTAGACCCGACCTGTCCTCTCGCTCAGGTATTGAGGGGTCGCCCTAACCTGATTGAAGTTCTCGTGCGTCTTACGATGGCAGTCCTTTAGAATAGTAGGGAGTACGTCCTTCCAGCGTCGAATGGGTTCCCAGCATTCCTGGCGAGAAAATCCCATGTCGTCCATGCTCACCATTTGCCCCAGGCACTCGCCGCAAACCTGGGCACATTGTGTCTGTAAGTCTAGACGGTTCCATTCTAACCACGACGCCCKAATAGCAGACCATATACGGTCAAACTTCCACTCACTGGAAGTTCCAATATGATTGAAGAGGTCATGAAAGGACGCTTCGCATGCTGCCTTTGCGGTTTTGAAGAACTCCTCTCGCATGGCCCGCAAGTCTAATGCTTGACAGACGATATATAGATGTGCTGCACACATCATGGTCAGGATGTCCACGCATTCCGCCGTGTACCGCGCGGAGAGAAGGGCCAGTGAGTTGACCGACTGGTTGCGCATCTCGGCAGAATGGATATTGCTGACCACAGAGTTCGTCAAGAAGCCAAGTTCCGAACAATATGCGGCCATGTTGATGTCGAGGCCTTTGGCAGTGAATGACTGACCGGGGTTCCCAACACACAGATTAGGAGGCAGCCCGTTGTTAAGCACCGGGTCGGTCATCTGTTGCGACTGCGCGAGCAACAGTTTTCCCAGCATGAGCAGCGCCGTCCGCGTTTTCTCCATTGCAGACGTGATGACTGTGGCTTGGAAATTCCCTCCATGATGGAAGGCATTCTCTTGTGCATCAATGAGGGGATTATCCGTGGTGGAATTGAGCTCGATGCTGACCTGGCTCTCTGCTGCGAGTAGGTCCTCCAGCTGCGGCCCAATCCACTGTGGTGCGGTGCGCAAATCGTAGCGATCCTGTGCCAGGCTCTCGGTCAGCCCTTCCATCCCGTAACAGAGCTTCGAGCCGCAGAGGAATCCCCGCATATTGCGTGCTACCTCGCGTTGGCCAGGATGCGGGCGACAGGTCGATATGAAATTATGATAATTGTTCACCGTTCCTTCGAGAGCCTCGGTGCTCATGGCAGTCAAAATCTGCGTCAGGACCGCCAGAATATGGCCATCATGGACAACCAGTGCAGCGACGCTACTACTGGGAGCGGTACCATTCATCAACCCTAATCCTTCTTTTCCCTGCAGCTTGATTGGAGTCATCTTAACACGCCTTAGCGCTTCTTCGGCAGTGATGACCTGAAAGTCCTCCCCGTCCTTCATCTTCACCAGGATATCAGGGTTACCCTCGATTAAACCGCCCAGGTAAGCGAGTGGGGTTAGATCTCCAGACGCAGAGATGCTCCCACGTTGGGGTACCAATGGCAAAATGCCGTGTGCGAGTGCCTCCATCAGAAAGTTGGCGATGTACATCCTGACGCCGGAATGCCCTCGAAGAAGGGAATTGCAGCGCACGACGGCCATACCCCGAACGGTCTCTTCTGGAAGATTGTATTGACCTACGGCAGAGTATCTCCCCGGAATGACATTTTGGGAGGGTTCCAGCAAAATCCCGCACTGATGGTGCTGAAGAATGGAGTATTGGAGCGTCGAAAGCTCGTTCGTCCTAGTGTAGGAGGTTCCGCCGACGCCAGTATTTACGCCTGAGGCTGCATCAGAACGAGGCCGGTAATGGATAAATGGAAACTAAATACCATATATTTTGTCCCCTCTATCTATGTAAGACCGAAGAGTATCAGCGCTGGCCTGCATACGGTTCGATAGGGCGTCGGTTTGATCAATGGAAACTCTGGAGGAGTACCTTGAACGAAAGTCAATATTCACAACCACCATGCCGTTGCATAGTTCCTAGAAAACCTACCTGGCGACTGAAACCAGTTGGGCAATACTTAGACTCTGTCCGTCGATTTTGACTTCATCTTCGTTTTCCAAGGTCGAGAGGAATATCTTCAAATGCTGCTTAACTTGGCGTAGATGGCTGGCCATTTCTCGTAAAAGCTAAATGACACTTGTCACAGACAAATCAACCGCAGTACCTGCGACGGTGGTCGAGGTCTGGCGTCTTCTTAAGTTTCTAGAAAAAAACGCGAGAAGAGTAGAGGTGGGCCGCCAATAACCAATGTATTGGATGTCTATCGCTGCAAACGGAGGGAGGCATATCTTTATTCAAACTCAATCAGTATATCATATCCAATTACCGCCAGGCGGAAAAGGTCTCCGGACGATGTACGTCTTCTGGGGACATGTATCCATGGTCATGCTAACAGTAAACATTGTTGACATCCTACATGACCAGTACTACTCATCAGGCATCTCTACAGAATAGATTTTCATCATTTAAACATCATCTAAGCAGAATTCCGGCCCAACGTCACTTGAAATCCAGAACGAGATCTGGACCATGATCAATGCTCCACTTATGGATATGATAGTTTTCACATGAAATCAATCGCATGGACTGTGACATATGTAAGTGACACTTGACCATAGATATATGTAACCTAATTCCACGGCAGTCCTCTCCCACGCCGCCATAGCTCTACACGCCCGTCTTCATCCCGTCTATGATGTATTCCCAGACTCAGGCTTGACAGCGACTGAGGTTTATTCTAATATCTAGTTGCATGAAGTCATTCTCCAATGTTCCTACATCGGCTCTGCATACCACAAGGTTGTTGCTTAGGAATGCTCGAGGGGTGCAAATCCTGCCACGCGGACTGCTGTATGTGAAGTATCCAAGTATCTGGTCCAGTGGGGAGGTCCCTGTGTGTCTGCATTGCAACTCATTGCGCAAACACTTAAAGCTTCATCGCAAAAAAGTACCAGTTGTCCAGACCTGACTTCTTAGGATAACTTGGTTGAAACTGTCTGCCACCGGTTTAAGGTAGGGATTACCATATATTTGTTCTCTACATACTCGTATAGCAACGAGCGGCGCTGTGTATAGATAGTAAATTTATAGAGGACAGGCAGCTGGAAACCTCTACAGCAATTCTAAAAATGCAATATAGCCTGCTTTTACTTCCACAGCGCTATTGGTCGGGTGGCAACAAAACACGCTAACAGCGGGTGAGCGACGCGTTTAAGTCCCCTACGATAATCCGACGTGTTCGATACGCAGCACGACCGAGCCAGAAAATGGACACACTTCCTGTGGAGATCATCCTTACCATCGGTAGTCATGTCTCTGACGTAGATGACAAACTCCGATTGCTTCAAGTATGCCGACGTTGGCGAGCCCTGTTCCTCGAGGTCGCATACAACGACGTTGATATCGATGGGCCCCAGATCGAGCCGCTGACGAAAGTGATACTGGCCAACCCCCGGATAGGAACCGCCATCCGTAATCTATCAGTAGGATGGTGGTATTCATACATTGATCGCCACGAACAACAAACAAAAAATGATGACGATCTGCCAGAAGCGGCGGAGGAGCTGGCAGGGCAAATCAGCAGATCGCCGGAGGAGCAGAAAGACTGGATCGACAATCTCCGAGCTGGGAACCAGGAAGCATGGCTTGCTCTTCTTCTTGCTTCGGTGCCGAATCTCACCGTGCTGTCTGGGCGATATTGTGTAGACGCGCCGAGAGTGACCCTGGTTGTTGCGAGGGCTGCACTCAAGGAACCACCGTTTGATACCAGGCCGGCCCTGCAGCGATTGGAAACGCTTCATATCACCTCTGACGATATGAAGGATGTCAATCCACACTGGCAGTTCCTGCCATTCTTCCATCTACCATCGCTTAGGGATGTGGACTTGGACGCTGTGAAGGAAATCAGAGAAACGGCCAGACTGGACCACCCCGCCGTGTCTTCCGCGTCAGGCACGGCGCCCGTGGAATCACTGGTTCTGGAATCTTACTGTAACGGGAGAAATGGAATGGCGGAGATTATCACCTCCTGCGCCAACCTCAAAGAATTTAAATACCAGCACAACGACACGGAGGTCTGGTCGGAGTCATACGTTGACTTTCAACCCCGGAAGTTCTACAGGGCGCTGCTGACGCAGAAGCACAGCCTTGAGGTCCTCCATCTGAGCGACAATGGCGAGGTGACCGGGCCTGCGACAGATGAACTGAGCGACGAGGAGGAGAATGACGGCCCCCAGGCATATGATCGGTGGTTTGGATCACTTGCGGAATTCAGTTACCTACAGGATCTTCGCATCCGCGTCCAGAACCTTCTCAACTACCATGATCGCGATAAAGACGAATCCGTCTTGCTTAAGGACATTCTACCTGCCAGCTTAAGGTCGCTACATATAGCCGAATGCTGGCCAAAACACTGCGCGGTGCTCGTGCCGAATCTGCAAGGTGTCCTTGCTCATCACAAGGAAAGCTTCGCTAACCTAAAACGGATCGGTATCTCTTCCGGGGTATCTGAAGACGTTCCTGAAGGGCAGAACAGGTTCAGCTATCCACGTCAGGAACTGATTCCAGAATCACTCAAGAAGCCATTTGTGCCTGTCAAGGAGATGTGTGACCGAGCGGGTGTAAAATTCAAAATGACGCTGGGTTGGTCGTGTACCATCATCAGTAACACACCACATAATTTCTTTTCTAGCCACTGAATTAGAATCCTACTTTTCAATAGCTTCAACGCACTTATCATCTCTCAATCCGACACAGGAGACAAACGGGTACTGTCCAGCCGGATAAGATATGCGCAAGACTAGCCCCAAAAGGAAACGCGCCGGGTCAGCAGTGCCAGTATCATCAGGTAAGACATGCAACGTCCTAAGATTAAGTTAGCTTTGCGCAGTTTTGAAAGATCAGATTGTCCATATCCAATGGCAGTGCGATGCATTGTTGTAATTCCCCTCGGGGCTCGGACATAAGCCTCAGGTCAGGTTAAGCCTAAGCTCAGATTTGTAATCTTCGGCCTCACTTTTGATACCCAGTACTATACCGCATGAGAGATGGATGCGAGGGATTCAGATATAAATAAGAGGGATGGCCTTGCAGTCGACCATCCTTTCATTCTCTAATCAACAGATCTTGTCCGATCATTTCCATTCATATCATCAAGACCGCATCTGTGCTACCAACCCAGATATTATTCCCTATACCTTCGTCAAAATGTCATTCACCAACGCAGCTGCCTGGCTTTCGGAAGCAAAGATGCATCCGTTTGAAATAAAGGAATCACCCGTCGGCAAGCCAGAGGCCAACGAAATCCTCGTCCGCAATCATGCTGTTGCCATCAACCCTATCGATGGAATAATCCAAATCAAGGCATTCTTCCCGCTGAAGTATCCAACCATTCTCGGGCAGGACGTAGCTGGAGAGGTTATTTCCATCGGCGAGAATGTCACTCGCTTTAAACCCGGAGATCGCGTCCTAGGCCACGCCGTCGGTCTCTTGGCCGGGCGCAACGAGGCCTGCGCCTTTCAGGCCTACACTATCCTACAAGACAACCTCGCCTGTGGAATAGCAGACCACATCAGCTACGAACAAGCCGTCGTTGTGCCTCTCTGTCTCTCCACCGCCGCGTGTGGAATGTTCCAAGAGGATTTTCTTCACCTGCAACTCCCGACTGAGCCGCGCGCTGCGTCCACCGGACAAACCCTTATAGTCTGGGGCGGTGCATCCAGCGTCGGCAGTAATGCCATCCAGCTCGCAGTTGCTGCAGGCTACGAGGTGTTTACCACCGCATCTCCAAAGAACTTCGACTACGTCAGACGGCTCGGGGCTAGCGAGGTCTTCGATTATAGCAGTCCAACTGTCACCGAGGACATTGTTCAAGCAGCCAAGGACAAGGTTCTAGCCGGTGTAATCGACTGTATTGGATTCTCTGCCACAGTAGCGAGCGTTGACATTCTGAGCAAATCACAAGGGAAGAAGTTTGTCGCTACTGTCAAGGGTGAGTTTGCGCCGCCACCGGATGGAATACAAGTGAAGCATATCTTCGGAATGACCCTCAAGGACAATTTTGTTGGAAAAGCCGTGTACGAGGACTTCCTGCCGCGTGCGTTGCAGTCGGGGGCTTTTGTGCCTGCTCCTGAACCTCTGGTTGTGGGGACGGGTCTGGAAAAGGTGCAGGAGGCGGTGGATTTGTATGGGAAGGGAGGGATTTCTGCTAAGAAGTTGGTTGTTCTGCTATAGTTTGTCGAATATGTTCTGTAGGTAGTTAGATGAGGGACTGAGGTTTATTTTTGACCGTATTTCATCAATACATTACTGCTCTATTATTGGGCTCGGTGATTCGGAGATACTGCAATAATGCCGAAGCACCAAGAGTTGCTTAAGTAAGCAGGCAGCAGAAGTAGTTAAGCATTACAAATATATAAATAAGTTTAACCCATAATTTGTCTGTATTCCCTGCCTTTGTCTGCTGCATCAGTTCATCAGAATGGTCTACCTTGGTCCCTCTCGAGGATGCGAAACATGCAAACGGCGGAGGAAGAAGGTTGGTCGTCGCACCCACAGCTTACGGCAGACTCAGAGCTAATTCAATACAGTGCGATAAAACTCGTCCGGTCAGCATCACTTTATCCTACACCTTTTGTATAATTGCAACCTGTTAACCACTGAGCAGTCATGCCTCCGATGCCAAAAGTCAAACCGCACATGTGGGGGCTACCAAGAACAAGCCAGCCAGCCCCTGATCTTCCAGCGGAACTACACCCAGACCACAACTCGCCCTGACTACTTGGCAGCTGTAAAACCCTTCGCGCGAAAATGTTGTCTACCTGTCCGAGCACCATACCCTGGCACAGATACTCTGCCGGATGATGCCGCTCCAAAAGAAGTGAGAGAGGAGGATGTAGTCGAGTTTGCAGTGCGGGGATTCTTCTACGACTTTACCATTTCATCACCGGATAGCGTTAGTGCATCTGTTGGCTTTCTCAAGGATCTGGAGCTGCAGGTCCAGCGAAAAGGGCTGGACTCGGTCCTTGGAAAAGCCTGCATGATGATTAGCTATGCGAATCATTCTAGGAAGCTGCATCGGCCGTCGTTCACGACGAAGGCAGAGGTGCTGTACCATGAGCTGCTGCGGTATCTGGCAAAAGAAATTGCAAGGCCGGTATCCGTGAGAGAGAGGTCCGATCTCATTCATCTGGCTTGGCTGATGGGTCTTTACGAGGTATGACTTCCTTGCAGCTTGCTGTAGCTGTTGCTGACAGGGCAGGTTGTCATGGCTGATGGGACCCCTCTGGAACAAATCGACATACACTTTAGAGGGGTAGCGGGGATGCTGCAAGTCGGGGAGTCTCCCTTGGGCTTTCTCCGTTCAATATTCTCTCGTTACTCTCTTAGCCCCAGTGCGCAGATGCAAGTAAGTGGACGCACATACTGAGCCTACTAAGCTGATAGCCTAGGATCCGGGTCTTGTGCGCTTGCCACATTCGGTCAGGAGCCTGGGATCGCTACATGATATCCTGCTTGAAATATATCCCTTGAAGACGGAAGCGGAACGTGTCCTGGCGGATGTAGAACTCACAGAGTCACATGCGCATGCCCTTCGACAGCGGGCATTTATACTCAACGATCGTCTAGCGCAGTGGGAAGACAGCGTTGCGCCGGAGAGGAAACCCATCACAATAGGCCACGTACGAGCGAACAGTAACTCATATATTGAAGTCGGACACTGGCCGGGGCCATTGCACATGTACATTGACCTCCGCGAGGCAGCCATCTTGAATATTAGTCGCGTTGCGCGATGCTACCTCCTTGACATGATTACCAGGCTGAAAGATATGCAGCCCGACGAGGAGGACAACGATCAAGAGAAAGTGAAGGCCGTCCAGCTCATCCAGGACTTTACCTCCTCCATCCCATACCACCTAGTCGAGGACTTGCATTCATTCTCCGCGAGTGCGCAACGTGGCAAACCCATCGAACAACCGGGGAAGGCAGTTGGGGGATTACTACTAATGTATCCCCTGTACATTGCTTCTCAGATATCCATCGTACCGCTTGAATTGCAGGACTACTTCAAACGGTGTCTAGTCTGGATTAGACAGAATATGGGAGTTGGATACGCTTCTGTGCTGGCGAAGGTGAGATTTAATGTCGCATTTCGAAGTGTCTGGTCGTGCTGACCATACTCAAAGGCCCATTTCCACATCGAAGATCTAGCTGCTGGATGCATGATTGTCTATGGAGGATTGCTATGAGGGATTATGCTTTTATACGGTCAAAAGGCAGATTTCTGAGATATGACAAATTGGAAATAAGAATAACTGAGCAGAAGAGCACCGCAACGGTTCACCTACACCAGTCCATATCTGTCCATGTGGCCTCTAAGAATAGGGACATATATCAAAGTCACCTTTCCACGCATCTATTCTTATAACCTCAAAGTTAGGCAGCTCATTTCCAAAAGGAGAGAGCGGGAAACTCGTATTGCGCCTCAGCCACCGCTAGCGTGCCTCTTATTATGACACGTTGCGCATGGCTATAATAGGTCAGAACCTCTCATGAAAAATGACAGCATAACAATGGAAATGTTCTATTCTAGCTCCAGTTCCCGCATGGTAAAGAAATATCTTGACGAAGCAACCACAGGTCTGTCCTATTCCCGTCGACCTAAAAGCCCATACTGACAGACCTAGAATCTGTACACGAGGATCTCAACAAAGTGCTCGCTTCTTACTGKGCGGGCGCTAAAGACGTGTGGAATATTTTCTTTCTTCACAGTTTCCAAGAGGGATACGGCCGCTGTATGTCCGCGTTCATCTTTTAAATGACAACGCTGACTCCGTAGACTGGGACGTCGAGAGCCTCCGCCAGTTTCTCGCCAGGTGGCATCCGGGCATTGAGTCCCACGAGACGACGTATCTGCTATGGCGATGTCTGCATTTCTACGCGCATTATCCGTTCGCGCGCAATTCTCGCGGGAGCAGGATCGATGTAACTGGGTTCCAGCGCGCGATTGCGCTCCTCGTGTTTCGAGGGACGGATTCACTAAGGACTCAGCAGCCGGGGGGTCACTACGGGCGTGATGACGAGGCGTCATGTCGGGAAGCTGACTTTCGGAGGATGCTTAGAAGTATTAGCGAACCCGCGCAATTCTATTCTGCGGAGAAGCAGTGGGCAGTGGACGATGTAATGCGCGTGCTGGTTAGGACGCAGCCGTACTCGATGACTCTGGCGCCGCCGCCGACTCAGCTGCGAGAAGCGGCCGAGAGGATACTACCTGAGGGTTCAATGAAGAATCCTCTTCTTCAAGATGAGTTCTCACTTATCATTCGGTTACTTCTGCAGCTGAGAGTGCAGGATGTCCAGGGGTCATATTTGCCTTATGGGATATTCAATGACGAATCGTCATCTGCTTGCCAGAAACTGGCGGACAGTATTGCGGATGCGATCTGCAATGAAGACCAGACGGTCGATGCTGGAATTGTAGCAGATGTTTTGGTAAGTATATCGATTGTGCTTACGATTAGATGGCTCTAACCTGTACAGCCGGGTCTTCGCGAGCGATTCTACAACCTCTGGGGAGTTATATTCCAGCCTCGCTGTCCACGGGAGACGATCATATCACCAGAGGGATGTTTACCGAACCGTATCCTGGCGGCAGTTTCTCTTTTGCTTCCACTCGCCATGGACGCCTCCGGGCCAAGTGATTCTGCCCTAGAATTGCTGCCTCGGACGGAAGACCTGGGAATGGACCTTCTGCTTGAACAAATACGAGGCGATGACTATTCACATATTCTGTTGTTTACTGATGAGACTTGTACAGCTGTGGTAGGGGCATATATCCCTAATCCTTCCAGTCATGAGGCGGAGTCACAGCGCAGGAACAGTCTACTAGACGCTTGCAGTCATTTTCTGTTTCAACTGTGTCCGAGGTTCTGCCTGTTACGGTCGACCGGGCTCAAATCATCGCTAGAAGAGTTGTTCTGTGCTGAACTCAACGCGTCTTCGCTCGAAAAACCCACCACAACGGATCAAGGACCATCACCTTCCTATTCGATAGGTCATGAAGGAGGGGCTCGTCTGCGCGTTGATCCGCAAGGTCTGACAGTCACGATGGTTGTCAATCTGACTGAATCAAGGGAAGAGAACAGGGAACAGGAGCTTACTGTCCATCCTGCGCAACTGCATATACTCCGCATTAACCCCAGCGCCAGCACGCCAACATGGAGCGGGAATGGAAGCAAGGAGGGAGTCAGTGGAGAGGAGTTGCGAAAGAGAATTCATGGTTTTGGATCTGGTAACAGCGAAATACCAAGTCCTAACGTGTTGGAACGGTGGAATATTCGGCGTCAATTCTATGGAGGGACTTGCCCGTAGATTCGAGACAGCTCGAGATGGATGATACTGGATCATGAATCTGTATCATTTGCCATGCAGAACTTTGATTTGACATGTAGCAGCATCAAGACAAACATCCATCCAGGAATACCGCAATACATGTAGCGTTATCCCTCCGCGAACCCTCTACAACATCCCGGACGAGCTCATCTGCCACCTGTTGCACTCCTAGTCCTCCCTCATGCCGTGTCTTGAGTTCATTGATGACGACATTATCCTCCAGCACGTTGGTGACACCATCCGTCGTCAAAGCCAGGATATACCGACGATCTTGCTGCAGGTCTACCCGGATAATTGCCGGTTCAGCAGATAAGAAGTTGCCCTGTTCAATGGACGGCGTCATCGCCGCAAGTTCCTGGCCTGCAGTGCTTGGACCTGCAGTATCATTGTTGAGTGGGTTTTTATACTGCAGATCTCCCAGTGCGCGTGACATATTCAAGGCTCCTATTCCCATTAGCTTTGTCGTAAGTAATCCAAAGGCAACATACCTATCCGCGCTGTGTCCGACTCATAGTTGATCCTTCCCCCCGCCTCCTCGATTCTCTCCTTCTCTCTCGGACAGTCGGGTTTGTGGTCTTGCGTCAACCGATGCTACACTCTTAGCTGTTGTCTACAGTACCGAGGGTAGGGCACATACCACAGTCTCCAATTGTCCGGTTATATCGCACTCGCCCATGAGGATATGCGAATCGCCCAGATTACCCACCACCATCACGCCCTTGGTAAGATTGATAATCACCACCGAGACCGTCGATCCGGCGATCGCGAATTTGTCCTCCCCGTCTTGACATTCTTCAAGAAGCATTTCTTCTTCTTTTCGGATGGCTTCTCGGATAGCTTCCTCATACCGACCGGCTTGTAGTGCGTCGCCTCCGAAGAGGAGCTCCCTGACGTGCCGGTGTGCGTGTTGCGCGACCTTTCTAGAGCCACTGCTTCTCGTTAATACGCTTGTAATATGAACGAAAGTGTCTTAGTCTTACTGTCCGTCGTAGACCGCAAAGATGGCCAGTTCATCGGGAATCGTGCTCTTGGGGATCTGGTCCGGAAGGATTATTGTGTATTGATCCTGCTGCGAGGGTCGCGTTCCTTGCGCCTACTGTTGTCAATATAAAAGCGCTACGCGTTCTTACCGGGGATGCTTACACTGGCCCCTCCTGCTCCTCGTAGTTTGATGGCATGTTTGGATGAGTGCGAGTGTGAATTGGAACCCATGTTGCGTGTATTAATTGCAATAGGACGGATGGAAATGCCTGTGTCGTACAATTGACCTGTTTATTTTCTACTAATATAAATGCGCAGCTGTATCACTATTTATGGAAGTTGATGCTGAAGTGGTCGTGATTGATGACATCACTGGCTGTTCCTTGTAGAATCAAGCTTCGGCTGTGCCCGGCAGAACCTTGTCTTTTGCATTGGGGATATAAGCAATATTAGTCTATTGTTTGAAGTCCGTGACAATAATAAGAGTAAGAGTAATATGACTGTGGGAGATCCCTGTCGCAATGCATGTTGCAATAAACTATTATTTATGAGACATATTCACATTTACCTACTATCAATTCAACTGGTGAGGAAAGTCGGGGTTTTGTAGGGTCAATGACCACTGCCAAGATATAACGTCACTCTTACCACACCCGGGGTCTGTCCAGACCTGGAGATCTGCAGAGCTATTAGGGTAGCAGAGTGTTCTAGACTACGGAGTAGATAGCTATACTTTTATGCAAGACTGCGAGTCTGCAGATCAATGAATAGTGCATATCGCATCGCATTCGGAGACATGTCACAAATCATCAGACAGCGGCTGCTTGGCAATAGACTGCTACAGCTACTAGCACTATCTCATGGTGACGGCAGATGATTGCTGGAAACTGTATCCTCCTATCCTGAGTGACGGATACTGGCAGTGACGACACGACCAGTCAAATGAGCTGGATAGCTAAGCTGTCACCCTCTCATCATGACATCGCACCTCTAGTTATATAATCCAATAGCCCCGTAAGTAGGAGGCCATAACCGTACAAAATGGCTGTTCCTGTACGACTGCTACGTCCCATCCCACTCTCTCTCTCTATCTCCAGATCCCAACCCTTTCCCATCGCAGCAAGAACCGTCTCCACTTCTCCCATCCAAATGATCGGACGAATCACCGACACGATCAAGCAGGATCACCGCGAGATCGAAGCCTGCTATCAAAGGATCATCAACTCGAAGGATCGCGATGAGCAGACCCGCTACCAGAATCTGTTCACCTGGGAACTAGCCCGGCACTCCATCGGCGAGGAACTGGTCGTCTATCCTGCGTTTGAGAAACATCTCCCGGATGGAATTGCCATGGCGGACAAGGACAGGAGGGAGCACCAAACTGTACTCTTCTCTATCTCGTCTAGCCACAGCTCAAAAGCTAACAGACACAGGTCAAAGAAAAACTCAAGAAATTCCAGAACCTGGACCCCTCCAACGCCGAGTTCATTCCCACCATTAAATCCCTGATGGCCGATCTCGCAGAGCACATCAAGGAAGAAGAAACAAACGACATGGTCAAGCTCGACGAGTCTCTGTCCCACGACGACAGTGTCAGTCTTTCCAAGACCTTCGATCGGACCAAGATTTTCGTGCCGACGCGCTCGCATCCCAGTGCCCCGAACAAGCCGCCATTTGAAACGGCTGTGGGATTGTTGACAGCGCCAATTGATCAGCTGGCTGATTTGTTCCGCAAGTGGCCCCATGAAGGGCAGCAGTCGCCTATGGGTCATGATCGGCCTCTGGGCCATTAGTAGTGTTTGTAATAGTATCAATTTTATTGCAATTATGGTTCCTGAACGAGTCTAGACTGTACCCTGTAGTAGACTTTCGAATTGATTGCTCGCAGGAGATGCAGATGTGGCCGGATCTAGACCAGACCATCATCTGCATCATAGATCACTTGGACGTCATTGGTAGATCAGGCCATATGCCCAGATACCGGAAACAAGATCTGAAGCCAAGTTTCCGGAAACATGCATGATCCAGGTAAACTCATCAGGCGGTGATAGCACAATGACGCGGTGTATGCTAGCCCTAGTATAAACAGCACAACCCAACACCCATTCAGCAGCCAAACGTCAAGAACTGCAAACCATTGAATTGCGAAGAATTGACCAATTGATAAGATGTCCCGCACAATCAGCATCACCTCTGTAGACGGCCACACCGGCTTCCTCATCGCCGAGCTGCTCCTCACAAACGAGACCTTCAAATCCCAGATCAAGTCCGTCACCGGTCTCACCCTGCACCCCAATGCAGAAAAATGCAAGGAGCTCGCCAAGCTGGGCGTCAAGATCGTCGCGCACGAACCGGGCCGTCTGAAGCACACCGTGCAGACTCTCCAGCAGATCGGCGCCGAGGTCATGTGCCTGATTCCACCAGCGCATAAAGAAAAATTCGACATCACGATGGAGATGATCGAGGCGGCGAAGAAGGCCAACATCGCCAATGTCTGCTTCGTCAGCTCCGCGGGGTGCGATCTCGCCGAGCGCGACAAGCAGCCTCATCTTCGGAGTTTTATCGATCTCGAGGCGGCGTTTATGGCCTCCAAGGGGGAGTCATCTACGCCGACGGGGCATTCGCCAGTTGTTGTTAGGTATCCTGCTCTTCCCTCATTCTTGCCCTTTCCAAGCGGCTAACTTGTGTAGGGCGGGCTTCTACGCCGAGAATCTCCTGCTGTACTCGGAGCAGGCGCAGAAGGAGGGTATCCTCCCTCTTCCCGTCGGGACGAATCATAAATTCGCTCCTATCGCATTGGGTGTATGTCTTATCCTCCGTCATAGAGTGCAAACTGACCAAATAGGATGTCGCACAAGTCGTCGCCCATGTCCTTTGCGGCAAAGGCAAGCACGGCTTCGCCGACCAGCACCGCGGCCAACTGATGGTTTTGACTGGTATGTGGCGTACTAAGCTAGCTTGAGCGCAGCTAACAGCGCAGGACCGATGCTCACGACCGGTGACGAACTCGCCAGCGCGGCCAGCCAGGCGCTGGGCACAGACCTCAAATTCGAGAATATCTCAGAGTACGTCTCCAGTTGCGCCTGGTGAATGAAGCTAACAGTCCCAGGGCCGAGGCAAAGAAGGTCCTGCATGCGCAGTCGGAGAGCGACGAGTCGGAACTGCAGTATCTGCTCGAGTACTACTCGCTTGTCCGCGAGGGCAAGACCAACTACATCTCCACCACGGCGTTCCATGATGTGACCGGTGGTCATCCGCAGGAGCCGGTGCAGTTCTTCAAGGTGTACGCCGAGAGCTTTCATCCTAAGCACGTGGCCAAGAAGAGGAAGACGAGCAAGTGATTCCTGTCTTCGTAACATACGTGAAAAGTGAACATGTATAGGACCGACTATATCTTAGCCTTCTGCACTATCATTTCCGTGTCCATCGCTCTTCGTCTCCGCACTCAGTAAGCCTGGCTCAACCGTAATCTTTCGTTCAGTAATCGTTACCATCCTCCCACCCACCTTCTCCACCCAGTCTTTGCCCATCTCCCCCTCCTCCCCTAAAAACACCAAACCCAGCACCCTCCCCACAGCCGTCTTCTCCAAAAACCCTTTCAACCGACTAATCCCAGTCCGCCGCATACACCCCAACACAACCATCCACCCCACAATCCCCAACGCAACAGCCAGCACCACAATGCCCGGAACCGCATAGGGAAGCCTATACCGTATCCGCCTCTCAAACACCGTAACCAGCATCACCTGATTTTGCTCCGCAGCAGCCTTAGTCCCCACCATGGCGTTAGCCGCGAAATCCGTCCAGACAAGATCGATGATCTTCGCTACGCCTGTAGGAGTCGTCGAGAGTGTCTGCCACTTGGCGTAGAGGGCGAGACTCGTCCAGCCGGAGTAATCTGCGTAGGGTTGGCCTGCTGGACTGCTGATGCTGAGTGCGCGGTAGAGTGCTGGCGTGTAGAAGTCTACGCCTGGGAGGTTCTGGCCTGTGGATACGGGGACGGGCGAAAAGTGGGGGACGGTGTCGATGTAGCCAGGCAGATAGAGAGAAGGGCCTGCGATTGTAGACAGGTTGACTGTTGATGTTGTGTTTGCGGGGAGGATGCCCCAAAGCGGCTGGACTTCTGAGATCATTCGATCGGGGAGGTCTTCAACGGCCCAGAGCGGGGGAGAGGGGTACGTCTTTTCGGACAGCGAGGTGATGGAGAGTGCGTCGAGGCCGGTGCCGTTGTACTTGAAGGAGACTGTTTTGAGGCTAGCTTTGACGGCGCTGGCGCAGATGTAGAGCGGAATGCTCCAGGGGGAGTTTGGGTCTGTTCGTAGCGGAGAGCCGCCGTCGGTGCGGTTAGCGGCGCCGTAGACGAGGCCGCAGCCGATGAGGGCGCTGTTGATGGTGGATGGGCTGGAGGAGGTTGTGCCGCCGCAGATGGTTGTAGCTAAGTCGAAGTCTTTCTCGGCGATTCCATGAGGATTGGCGGTAGAGTTGCTGATGCGGAGATTGAGATACTCTCCCAGACTGACTGTACTCCTGATGCTGCGGTCTCCAAGGGTAAAGTTCGCATACTCCAGCTTGAAAGTCTGTCCTGGCGTCACGTCCAGACGGGTGATGTTCGTAGGATCCGGATCCGTCGCGTTCAAATACGCCAGGGTTAGAAAGTTGTTATACCACGCCGCATTCCACGCTCTCTGCCACAAATCAAACTCCTGCCCGTTGACAGGAACACTCATCGGCAGGCGAGGTTGCGGCAGTCTCGACAGTCCCCCGTGATCTCTCAACATCAGATCAACAACATCCAAGTTCGTCTCGAGGTCCGACGGCAGCTGGAAATCAATCGAAAAGTTCAACGGCACACACTGCGTCTCCGGTCGGATGAACAGGATATCCTCATTCCAGGTGGACCCATACTTGAGCGCCTTGGCCGGAGCGGTATGATTCCTGAATCCTATCCCCCCGTCCACCATATCAACAATCAAACCCTCCACTGCCTCGACCTTCTCATCCAAAATCAGAACCTGCAGCGAGCGATATGACGGCTTCGCATACCATCCCAGCACACTGTACGGGTCCGTCCCATTTATAAAGGTCCGGTACTGCATGTCGAAAATACTCGCGACCGAAGGCCCGAACGCGCTCGCGCCATCGCGGAATACATCTTGCAAATGCTTCGGGACAAGACTATCATAGACGACGGTACAATTCTCCAGCAGGCCCTGCTGGTGACACGTCTTATTCAGGCTCGTCCCCGGACAAGCCTGGTCCAGGCCGCATTTGCGCGTGAACGGGGCATCGCTGCGAGCGGGCGTTCCGTAACTGAACGGGGACGTGTCTTTGATGTAGGCGAATGGTTGGGGTGTTGGCGACCCTCCTAGCTCGATAGAGTCATACAGGCCCAGTGGAGTAACAATCGAGGCGATGGAGACGATCCCCAAGATGATCGTCTGCGCGTGCCCGGTGATAGTCAGCCTCTTTTGCACCCCGGATGCGGCGGCCGTGCTGGAGCCGAGAATGCTGGGCCATAGGGTCGAGTGGAGAAAGCGGGCGAGCACGTTCCTGTCCAGATCAGTTTATATTGTGGTACATGTGGACGTAGTACGTACCAGCTGATGATCGAGTTCTCGTCAGACAAGAAAGCGATAAGGATAAGCGGCAGAGACAGTGGGAAAAGTAATTGCAGGATGAACACGCCCGCGGCGATCAAGCCGGAGACCTCTGCAATTGTGAGGCTGGTCATTATCTCAGGTCTCTTCACTTTTTGATAGATTCTGCTGCCAACATATTTAAGCCTTTGCTTGATTCAAAGCACCACCCCGAATACGAGGCTGCACTCCCTCGCATTGGTCGACGCCATTGAACACGAGAACTAAATTACTTTGCCTTAGCGCTTGACCCTATACCCTCGTCCTACTGGTGAATGGTTTGATTGACTCGTATCCAGCCGCATTGGCCTTAGCTGCAGGCTCGTACTCCTGTTACTTCAGGAGAAAATCTTCCCGCTCGAGCCTACAGCTACAACCCCAGTCCAGCCATGATCACTCCTGCACCCATCAACACGCCATTAATCCCCGTCGCAAGAGCCGCATTCGTGCTGTGACTGGGACTCGAATGACCAGTTGCAGTAGCCGTTGCAATCGCAGAGCTAGAACCCAACGTTGCCGAGGTTGCGCCCATCCCCCACGTAGACACAGACACGGACCCATTATTCGCACCTGGCAAGGCAGTCGCAAGCGCAGGGTCTGGCGTAATAGCGCTCGCGCTCTAGATACCCCTCGTCAGTCTTCATCGCAACAGGGAAAGGAAATACACATACGACCAGACCACAGCACCCCTCACCGAAACACACCGTCCCCTCGGAACAGCAGGTCTGCTCCTTGGGGTTGTAGCAAAATTGGTTGGGGTAACTCCCAGAGCACCACTTCAGGGACGGATATCGGCCGTTCTGCGTGCAGCATTCTTCGTTGGTTTGATGGCGTGTGCACGTTATCGTGTCGTCGGTGCTGGCTGTCGAGGAGGCGGTGGGGAAGGGGATGAGGCCGTCTGTTCCTGGTGTTCCTGTTCCCTTTTGGTTTTTAGTAAGTGCAGTACTTAGTAATAGGGAGGGAATACCATGTCACCGCAGCAGGAGTTATCTTTGGCGACGCAGGTAACTAGGTCTGTTAGTAGTGGTAGGATAGGTGACTTGATGGGGAAAAGATACAGCCATTTTTGCAGCATTGTTCCCACTTTTTTGGATTGAAGCAGCCCGCGTTGTCGCAGATGATATTCCCTGGGCCGTAGCAGTCAGAGCAGGTGTTTCTGGCCGTGCAGTTGCCATTGAAGTCGCGAGCGAGGAGGGAGAAGTGGCCGGGAAGAGGCTTGTGCCATGCTGCCAGGGCAGTACTGGCGAGGACGAGAAGCAGCTTCATTTTCTCCGTAGTAACTTGAGAATGGCTGATTTTGTGGATTGATGACTGAGTGCAGACATATATGAATACGAGCATGACTTGACTAAGGGACATAGTCCAGTGTGTGTCAGAGAAATATGGCCGCGGTCCTAGCCAAACCTAGCTCGATTATAATATCTGCTCAATCTTAAATTAAATAACTAACCGACACACTCCACTAATTCTCGGTCACCCTAGTGGGCGACACTACCACCCACCGTAAGCTGCCATCTCAACGTAAGCCTATTTTCCCATACATAAGCTTATTTTCAAAAGGTAGATATCTCAACACGATAAGCCTGAATACTTATAAAACTTAATATATACCTTTAGTACTAGGATCTTTATAATATAGTATAAGGAAAATAAATTCTGGATCTTCTCCTTAAAGTTAATAGTATCTGGTACCAAAATATACATATATAGAAATAGACTTCTAGTGTTATCTTCATTCTTATGAAATTACGAAGTCTGTGACTGCTATACTATTATATAGGTAATTTTAGTATATTTTATTATTTTATATACTAGAGAAATGAATCAGCTGAACGCTACAGGCAATGGAGACAGCCAAGTATCTCCAATATATCCAAACAAATTCAAAGTTAAAGACTGCACTTCAAGGCTATCCAACTCTCTGTATCCTGGTCATCCGCGCTGTAGTTATGACAGCCTTCATTGGCCGTGTACGCATCCTCATTCCCGTGGCGGTGGAGTTTGGCCCGGTAAAGAGACATTCGGGTCCTTTGCAGCTGGGGTCTTCCATGCCAAAACTGAGGCCATAGCCGGCGATTCCAACGGCGATTTTGTTGGCCGGCACACCTGCTTTCGTGATCATGGCCAGCGCGTATTCCGTCTCTGGCAAGCTGACGTGAGAGCGAAGGCAATTTCCTGTGGGATACCCAGGTTTCGAAAAGCTGTTGTTGTAGTCCCACTGACCATGGAAGTAGTATGTTATGTGTGTAGTATAATCCAGAACCTCCGATATGTTTGCAATGGGGAAGCCCTTAAGATACCAGTACAATGCCAGKGCAGCCATGGAGATAGTCTGGCCGGAGTGCAGCAGCGAACAAAGCGTCTGCAAGATTCGGGGTGTCCGTGGGACCGCCAGGGGGGATTCCGGGGATGTCTGTACCTATGCTATGTGCTTTTGTCATCAATGAAGGTCGAGATAGGGGCGGTCCTTGGGGTCAGCGTGGAAGACACCTCCAGCTTTTTGATGCATTGCACTATTCTTCCATATCATGCGCATTGTGGATTCGCGGTGTCCCCATAGTTCCTGCGTTACCCAGTGTCATGTATAAAACCTACGCACCACCTCCAGCCAGCCAGCCCACTCAGAGATAGCCACCTGTAGGCTTTAGGTACTCCAGTCCTTGCTCAAAATGATTCCTTGGATGCTCTTCGCCACCAGGTAGTGCTGAGGCAACGCACTTTTAGACATAGGCACACACAAACAATATATATATATAATCAAAAATAATAAAAAGGAAGTCAGGGAAAAGGAGAAGGGTAACTGACTCTGGGTCACAGTGTGTGCCCTCCTTCGCTTGCCGATCGGGAACTGACTTGGATGGGCGTTCAGTGTCGTTGAACCGGTTGAGTCTGAGAAAGTCCAGTTCTATACCGAAAAAATTGCCCAGGACAGAGACACCACCCTGATATCTGATATTCGGAAAGATAATGTCTATAAATATTCATCTTGAGAAATATCCAATTGAGATGCATTGATAACTATTTATTGATTCGTCCACGCGTATAATTCAAACCATATTTCCCTCATCCGATCGACGGCCTTAACGCTGCTAAGCCTCTAGGACTCACCAAACAACTGAGCTAAGCGTGGAGTAGTCCGTCATAACACAATCTATCGGCCCTTCAGTCTGTCAGGCCTCCAGTTGATCATTCCTCCAGCCAATCAATCATCTAACTACTTTCGGGACTGCAGCGGCTATGGTAGCAATTAGAACTAGTATCGCTAACAATTCTAGTACGGTTAAGCACTCGCGGTGTATAATAATACCAGTACAGTAATGTATGCATACAAATAGTAACGAGTTAGTAATTGCCAGAGTAATGCGGCGGCTATGCTGACCTGGCTCTTCTTTACTTTACCTGATGTTGACCTCATGGACCTAGGAAAGACAACATTGAAAAACTATAAATTGGTCGCAGTTTCTCCTCAATGAGATCAGCTTCTTCTACTCAATCTATTTCACATTAGAATATAAAAGCGTTGATAAGCACCCTGCCTTCCCTCGCTATTTTTCACATCTCCAAAAGTCCAAAATATGCATTTTTTTACTATCACTCTGCTTACAGCTGCTAGCCTTACGGCTGCTATGCCATTCTCTTCTGCTGAAGGAAGCCCCTTGTCATTACTCAACAAGCGGGACAGCAACCTCTGCTCCGCTCCTTACCCAAGGTTCACTGAGGCACGCCTTGGACATATTATCTGGGAGTTCCAACAATCATCAGGGTTGTTACAGCTAGCGAAAGGACAGCAGGGGGACCTCATTCGGTGCATTGGCGGTACCGGCATCTATTTGAGCGTCGATGCCGAAAGCCCGCTGTTCTCCCTCAATGATCTCGCCAACGATCTTAGTAACGGCTTTAGTTCTTGCTACGGGCATACCCCAAACCTTAGAGCAGGGGACAGAGATTTCCAGCCGTCTTTTCAATACTGGGGTCCAGGTTGGAACATGTTGGTTGCGGGCAGTGCTTGCTAGTCGTGACGGTGACTGGTACAGAGGTCGTGGTGGTGGTGGTTGGCGGCGGCGGTGAATTCATATGCTGACCTCATCCTTGGGGGTTATGAGGCACAAGAGATAGAGCTACAATATGTGTGTGTTGCAGTGGTACTCGAACACCTTCGCCCCAGGGCCGGAGCCATAACCTACCGAGAAGCAACCTTCAGGCTCATATTGCACATATTTTGTAACAGATTGGGTTGTGCTGCGCCACAACCCCCCTGCTTTGATTGTTTTCAGTTATCTACTTTCATGCCTTGCTTTGTTTTTGTATGTCAACTCGATGGCTCGCGCATATTTTAAATGCCAGGCCCAGCACAATGCAATTGTCTTTTCCCTGCAACAGATTATATCTTCGCAAAGACTACCTGTTACCACAGAATGACTCGGGGCAATGAATATGGGATTATCGTTCTTCATGAGCCGATACATCTGTTACTGACGAGAAAAGCTGGGGACATAATACCGTTTTCGAGTAAACTTTTTACCAAAAAGATGCATCGTTAACTTTATGCTGTGGAACCGGGTGGCGGCTTATTTGGGATACAGTTTGGTCGCGATCCATGGCCTCAACGGCGATCCTATCAACACATGGACCCACCGTGAAACTGCAGTAATGTGGCTAAGAGATCTTCTACCAGCAGCGATTCCAGACATTCATATTATGACCTTAGGTATTACGCCCCCTTCAAGACTTTCATCACCAGCAAGATCTATGAGGTATAGCATTAAAGTTGCTCGCCGAGTTAGTAGGTCTCCAGACAACAGAAGATGTCAGTGACGGCCCGTTTCTAGCAATATTTCGCTCACTGGGCGGCATTAAGGAGAAATCCCGGCCTATCGTCTTTGTTTGGCATAGCCTGGGGTGAAAGTACGATATTACCAAAATGTCATTTCGATAAAAGCTTTCGCTGTTAAGATAGACTTAGACCCTTAGCGACGGAGAGGCAACGTCGGTCAGAATGCCAAAATTGTTGATTTATAGTGCTCCCAATATTGCTCTCATTCATCCTCGCATCTCACAAAACGGTCCCATGTGTAGAGACTCATGAAAGAGTGGACGGGAAGGGCTAAGCTCTGCTGTCAGGAAGCAACGGGATACGTGCAAGAATAAAGCTCCTATGGAGGTATGACTCGGCTCAAGACCTATTTTTGCTAACCTGTTGGTTGGGCTACCCGGCGCGAGTACTCGATTCGCCCAGGCCCCTAGCAGACCAGGCGATAGGCATATTCCAATTCAACATACGAACTATCCACTCTGTCAAAGCTTCCTCCTCATACCCCTCAAGCGCGTAGTTAAACGGGTGTAACCGCAAATTTCGCGCGTGTTCCTTTTTTGATGCCGGTCACGTAGAGTCTGGCGAGCAAGACCGTATCCCCGCGCAATTTTTGAGGGATTCGGTTCTTTGGCAGCTCATAGGTTTCGCAGGTCTTGGTGACACGAGATTCGAAGGGCTTAGAGGTTCTTGGCATGGTGGGTGGCGTGAATAGGTTCAAAAGGTGTCGTGGATGGTGATTTTTGGCGATTCCGGTGTAGCGCACCCACTAAGCAAAGCAGTGTGGGGCCGCTGAAAGGCACTGATACGAACCCACCGCTCGTCGGCAAGACTAACGTTTTTGTAGGGGTTCACGCCACAGCACATCAGCTCGGCAGCACATACTCTAATGCTAGGCCCGTGGGTCTTTTTGAATTAGATGGTGTTTTGGTCTTTTCCTCTATTTTAGGTACTTTGTGAGCTTTGTGAACGTATCTACATGTGCCTATTGGCTTTTCAATGAAAGAAAAGCCAGCCTTATACGTCTTCCTGTTGTAATATAATTATAAACCATGGCAGACAATAGGGTATTCCCGAACGGCGGACCGAACCTGTTTCTGCCAATTCTAAAATTGCTGAATCAGCGTTTTGATAAACCACTCGATAACTAACTTATAGGTTAGTTTGCCGTAGAAGACTAATCAACCCTATTGAGTGGGGCCCCGCGGCAGGTATTGTGGCGGGAGGCTTGGGGTTTAGGAGATGTTAAGCGATGGGCATCCTGCACCTGACACAGGAACGGAGAGACCGATATTTGGAATTTTGGAGATGTCAAGCGATGGGGGCATCCTGCACCTGACGAAGAAAAGGAGAGGCCGATATTCAATTGTTGCCCAGAAAAATTCCGAGGAGCGAAGCTTGAGTGGAGAAGCTCCCGGCGAGCTGAATTCACTATCTGTTTTGCGATGCTGAGATATCTCCAGGTAATTCGAACCGAGTTCAAAGTCTAAAAGTTGGAGATGATGAGGTGAAACAGTAGTCGTGTTGAGGTATATTGTGGCGAGCTGGGATACCATTGCAGACGCAGTACTCAGGGGCTATGGACCGAAGCGAATACAGGTGTCAATAGGCGTGTGTACTAGGCGTATGTGAAGATTTAGGATAATGAGCGACGCAAATGTATAAAATGGACCATATCACCGTGTCGGATGAAAGTCTTCTAGGCCAAACAATCATTCCCCCATTCTCCTATTATTCGAGCTGGTCCCTAGCATTATACTCTATATTTATATCACGAGATTTTATTGTGAACATTGCCTCACAAGATGTCTGACTCAGGAGACAAAAGTGTCAAGATGCTTGAGCGCATCAACAAGCAGCTCAGAGGCGCTGTGCTTGCGAGTTTTCCCTGTGCGTTTGAGCAATATGTCTGCATCTCTATGCCAGGCACTATTATCGATACGCGTCTGGGAGGAAGGTCAGTCTTGAGAAGAGCCAGAGTGCAGATTGCAAGTCAATCGATCATCAGCTAAAGCATAACAGCTATCTTCCCGAGGGCGAAAAGGCGACCGCCGATGTGCGTAACATGATCCAGATCAACGAATCGACGCTCGTTGACTCCATGGTCCCTCTTGACAAAGTCATGGTATGTTGTATAAGCGTGGTAGTGTATAAATGGCGAATGAGGTAAAACTTACTATGGCTGCAGCTTGGCCCGACCGGAAAGAGTGTGACTCGAAGTTACTACACGGCCCTGGACATGCTCGTTCCTCGTAAAACAGATATTGGCTCTGTGGACGTGGAGACAGATTTCAGCTCTGAGAGCAAAAGCAAATACAGCCAGGCCATGCGTTTCCTTCGCTCCAAAGAATCTATACTCACACCGGATTCCGAGGTCAAGGGTTCTAGAGTTGCCCTGGTCAAGGATAAAGCTGCTCAGATTGGAATTCAAGGTACAGTAGTTGACCGCTACGTTGAGAAACAACTTGCCTGGTCCGAGGCTCGGGGAAAATGGGATGCAGTTCGAAGTGAAGCTCTTGGTAAGTCCGGAAGATGAACGAACCTGTGCGAGTATGACTGTTCCTCATATTGACCTGTGCTATAGAGGCTCGGGAGGCGCGTCCAGAGATGCAGAGCGCTGCCGCATTTAGTGCAAGACAGAAGGATATCAAGCGAGCACAAGGTGAACTGCATGCGCGTTGGATGGACTGGGTGGTCAATGGCGACAAGTTTCGTGTGGACTACTGTTTTGGTGAGCAATCTGACTATCATCATACCCGGATGCAGTACGATACTGACCGGTCTAAGCTTTGGTTGACCGAGATTCCGTTATGGCGAGAATCGAAAGAGCAAAAGTAAGTTATGCTCCAGCCCAGAAATAACCAATGCGCATGCACAAGATTTTGATCTGGAGTCTAACCACTAACCATGGAACAGGAAGCTACCCGCGATGCTATGTTAACCAGCATCGACGGAACAGAATGGGCACAGGTCTCTCTTGAACCAAAGAACTGGTAAGTAGGCGTGAACATCAGCGTAAGGCAATTAGCTGACATGTGAATCAGGGCTGCTCTTTGCCGTGAGAAGGCCCTTGCGTGGGCGGAAAGAAATCCAGTTGACACCGAGTTCCTGGAAATGCGCGCTGAGAATCTGAGGAAAATGCTCGCCTCCTACAACGTTTACAAAGAGGTATGACACTGAAATATCTTTTTATATTCACGAGATCCTTACCGATATCGCATCCTATAGACCTTCTTGGACGACAAGGAGGCAGGTACGTCAGGAACGGCGAACGTTCCCCCGGCCACCAGTGGCACAGCTCCCTCCGGCGAGAGTCAACCCCCTGCAACCAGCGGTAGCCAAGCTCCTGCGGCCAGTTCGCACCAGGAAGCGACAATCCAATCTACTGAAGCTGAGCTGCAACAAGCCCTCCGCGATATTTACACCGCCGAAGTAGCCATAAACGACGCCAAGAAGAAAGACGGCGTGGTTAAAGATCCTGAACTTAATACAAAGCTTGAGGTTGCTACGAAGAAATGGCTTAATGCCAGCAAGACCCTTGCCGGACTGCGGTCGCAATTCGATGTGAATCAGCTAACGGCTGCGGGTAGACACAACCTGTCTCGCTCTATTAGCAGCCATATCGAGGGGTTGAAAGCTCAACTGGACGCTCTCGACTCGAAAATCGCAAAGGCTGCGGGTGGTCTCAATAATATCATTTTAGGGGTAAGAAAAGATGAGACCATCATCCGCAGTGGTGATGCTGACGCCGAACACCCCTCTTCGGCCGTACCCAAGGGTGATGGGAAGAGTGCCGACGTGTGGACAAAGATCAAATTTGATGTCAGCACCAAAGAAGATGAGATGAAGAGCAAGGAGAACAACCTTTCCGGCTCCTTCAATGTTGACGTTGGCAGTTGGTGGGCCTCTGTTAAGGCACAGACGACAGTCTCATCCTCCAGCAAGTAAGAAACTCTATTCATGAACCCGATGGGACTATTTCTGACCTGCAACCAATTTGTCAGGACTTTCGAGACGAAAATGTCTCAGTGTTCCGTTTCTGGATCCTTGTAAGTTGAATCCACTCATAATACCTGCTGAGGCTCCCCGGTGATCCTTGATTGACAAATTCGGGTACTTCAAGCTCTGCCATGGTTGTCACCATTCGCCGTCCTTGGCTACATGCCGACTTATTCCAAGACTTTGATATCGATATCCCGGAAGGTACCAAGTGAGTGGGATCTCACCAGCCCTCATATGTGTCTATAAATCTTTCTAAACGATAATCTTTGTGGAAATAGGCTCAGTCCGGGTGCTCGGACTATGCGCGACTGGATTGAGAACGGTGACGAGACGACCAACGACAAGCGCACTAATTACGGAAAGTTCCCTGCGTATCCCACGTCATTCATTGTAGCAGCTGATACTGTGCTTGAGGTAAATGCGACCACCAACAGAGTAAATGTTCATCGTCGTTTCTAACAATATCTCTAGTTCAAATCAAATGAAGCTGCCAGCAAAGAGATGGCAAGCTCACTCTCGACAGACAGCTCAATCCAGGCCAGCTATGGCCCATGGGGCCTCAAGACTGGGTGAATCTAGCACGTGCATAAATTAATAGTTTCCTATTACTAACTTTTTCATTCAGTGCATCTGTCAAAACAGACAATAAGGAATCATCACAGAAAATGACTGTCAATGGCGGAACTCTACGCATTGAGTTCCAAGCACCTCAGATCATCGGTTGGGTCTCTGAGATTCTACCCCAGCTGCCACGTGGTGCCGATGCTTACAGAATGGGGGGCCTAAATGCGCCGCCTAACATGGCTTTCCGTGCTAACCTGTGATTGGGACATCATTTGTCTCTATCATTTAGCATACGAAAACACCAGTTTTGATTCAACCTTGATAGTTGTTTAATATTCTATGAATGGCCAGCCTTCTGTCCTCTCTCGAGTGGAATAATCTAATTTGGTCGGACTAGTATAAGATCCATATGCAACCTGCAACCATAAGCTATGTTAAAAGATTTAGCGTTAATTACATACTTTTCAGCTGCGCCTTGTTCCTGTGATCCAACCCTGTCACGTCTACACCCCGCTAACAGCGTGACGACAGCCATCTCTGCAGGCGGCGGTGCATCGCATCTAGTCTAACCATACTACAGATTCAAGTTCAGTAAATCCGCCTGTACATTCCACTCATATTACCTAGCTTTACCGGGAGGTTGGCGTATTTTGGGGATGTACGCGGTAGAATTCTCATAATGATGCTCTGAGGGCCTAGATGTAGTTGTTCTTGGTGGAGAATTGATTACAGATGAGGAATTAACAGCGGAAAGGAAATGAAAGATGCGATGTATGGTACTGTTGGTCACGGGATATCAGTATGCGAATGTTCAATATTCATCGGGGCCTTGGGTACATATGTATAGCCAATCCGTAAGCAGGTTCCAATTTGGAGTTTTCATTGAGCGCAAGCCCATGGGACAGAAAAATCGAAGGATTCGTACGAAGAGCAGAGGAGAGGTGAAACTCAAGTCAACAAGTCGGATATTGCAAATAGGGCTTTTTTTTTTTTTTTTTTTTTTTTTTTTTTTTTTTTTTTTTTAATACTTTATGTTTTCTTAATAACCGACATATTAAGCACACCTTTAAGGGATTCGTAGACGATCGGATGTGAGCTGAATCTGAAGTCTAGAATGGGGACGTCGCAAAATGGGTTTATTTGAGCGAGGAGCCATTTCTGCTTATTCTCTCCCATTTTGTCTTTTCTCAGTAATCGGTATGTGATCACAACAGGCATTCTGCAGCTACCCTACTAGCTCCAACGCTGAATTAATGTCTGCTACCAACATCACGCGTAAGCCTCTTATATAGCACCTCATTTCATTGTCCTTTACTAATGTTGATCACATTCCATTCACCATAACAAACTGGCAATACATATGTAGGTCAAAAATTCAATACTATGCTCTTCTAGCCAGCAGTAGATCACCCCATTCTTCCACTTTGATGCTTTCCTAGGCGGCAAGCACTTGATAATCACTTCTTTGGGTAGTCATAGGTGCCAAAACGATTATCACGTGTGCCATGCAGGGTAGGGTTCGTCATGGTCAACTCCTCTACCGATCGCTGAAATGCCGCCCACACTGTTTCCACATATTGCGGCTCGTTGTCGAAGATCCACTGGGCTGCAGCGTCTCCCTGCAGAGGCTGCGGGCCCGGTAAAGTCGGAGGAACTGTTCTCTTCGTTTTCTCCACGGTCGCGTTTAGGAGGTCTTTCCCATAGTCACCTCTCGTCAGGCTCGATTGCGTTTCCACAATGTACTTTGCTAGTGCCACGTAGACGACAAGGCCTTCGTTCCCCGTAAATCTTGACGTAGTATAAGTGCAATTCCAAGGGCGTTGAAATGCCCGGTTTGTGGGAGATACAGGATAGATACGGTCAAGCTCATCGAGTAGCTCCTTCTTTGCATTCCCTGTGCACCCCCAGTGACCCTCTCGGAAAAGATCATCTACCACCTTCGTCCCCTTTTCAGTCCCGAGCCCTTTGCTGAGAGCTATAGCGATTCGGTTCGGACCGGCTAGCAGAAGGTACGCTTCATCTTCGTCTTTCAATGCTTCGGCTCCAACATTGACAATCTCATTGAAGGCTGTTGTGATCTTATCCTTGATCCCCTGGGGGAGCTGATTGTATGCCATTGTTTGGTTTTCAAGGAAGTAGGAAGTCAACAAGGTTGTAAGATAAAAATTTCAGTTATAAGAAGAGGAAGAAAAATAGAACTGGATGAAATGCTTCGGAAACGGGCATGATCAGGTCAGTTTATATGCTTTTCCAAGTGCAACACACAACCTTGACCGAGATTTGAGACAGATAGGGTGTAACTTCTGCTGAGAATTGAATCAGTTCCGCCAAGATTTGTACATTCATCACTTGGATAAAGCAACCGAGAGCCGATATTGATTGGTTCTGTATCGGTCGGTGAATTTGTCAAAATGAGACCTTCATCTGACTATAAACGAGACTGGGGTCTTTCAGAGGTCTAAATTCTTCAATGTTGTTACCCTGAGCTGAAAAGTTATGAAGTAGTCCGTGTCGGACGTTTGTGTGGCTTGCCGTAGTCAGCGGTTCGTCTACAGCGCGTGCGGGGTGCTGCCCTAGTTAGACTCTAGCTACATAGTCATTCCGTGTTGCTTTAATTGCCCTGTCAGACAATATGCGGAGCTTAGAGTGGTAGGTAGTGTTAAATTTGCAATCACACTGCGGGGCTGTACTAAAATACAGGTAGTGCTGTGCCGTATCAACCAATGAATTGTTTGGCCGATCTCCATCATTGACTGGAGGAAACATGAGATTCCTCAAGGAAGAAGAAAAGTTCATCTTGTATCCTTCTACGAGCTCGAGTTCTGGTGTTCGATAACGGGATGATCTGTACAAGGTATCACTTCATAAGTTTTACCCGGGCGTGACCTGGGTCCATATAACTATCACCAGTCGTGACCAGGTGGTGATTGGCATCGTAGCTGAGAACGGCCATATCCGCCAGTCCCCTGACGGAAAAAGATGCAGTGCAACTACTACTCAAAAGGTCAGCGATCCAGCACCCCACTGAAGGTGATATTAAAGACGCAAAGTCCGTCACACGTCTTCTCGGGCCTCTCCCTCTCGCCTTAGTACCGGCTGGGGCATTCGTTCGCTCAAGGCACAGAAGCCTTCGGAATATTGTAGGTTGTATACGGCGAGATTATTTGCTGGGCTTCGCTTCACGCCTTGGAGGCTCTGACAAGCCAGTTTTAACCTGGGAAATCAGTTTTAAACAGGTGGAGCGGGAGTCCTCGGGAGCTGCCTCATTGCTCCTTGTTTTCCCTTTTTTGCAACCGTCTTTGATTCCAAAAATGCTTCTACATCGAGGCTCCTCTCCCCAAACAAGATGGTGAGATCATTGAGGTACATGCAGAAATGGACGGGGTGGAGAAACACCTAGTCCAGGTCATCCAAGGAAATTTTGAGTTTGATGCGGCCGTGGAGAAGCTGCTTTCTTTGTTCGTTGATTTCCTACAACAAAGAATCCGCAGGGCTGAGGAGCTTTTCTTTCATCCACAGCAACGGGGTAACCTAGTGTGCCACGTGCCAGCTAAGATTAAATGACAGACCCAGGAGGAAAGCAGAGGGCAACCTCAAGTGGTTGTGAAATTGTTATACCCAGCTTAAACCATCATAGAAGCCGGAATGAAGCGCACTTACGAGGTATTTCCGTCTATGGATCTTTAATACAGGACTAACAACATGAAGAATGCCCTCAAACTCCTTGAAACAAGAAGGCGCAAAGGCCGGCCGACGAGTCTGACGACTCCACTTTCCACTGTCCAAGATACAACGACAGTGAATCGAAATTCTCTCCGGGGCGTAGCGAGCTTGGTTGGAATGAAGGAATGGCTGCAAATTTTAGGGCACTCCGTATGGATATCAATGAACCGTCGTACACTGCGATCTGACTTGTTCTAGGATAATGCAGTTAACAGCTTGAATATAATCCATGTCAGCGGTACAAAAGGGAAGGGTAGCACGTGCGCTTTTACACGCAGCTTCCTTCGTGCACATAGCGCGAGGACAGGATTTCCCAAGAAGACTGGACTCTACACCAGCCCACATCTGCAATGCGTTCGCGAAAGAATACAAATTGATGACCATCCAGTCCCGGAAGATTTGTTTGCACGATATTTCTTCGAAGTGTGGGATCGTATCATGTCTGAGGATATAAAACTGGATCCGAGAGTGGGGGTTGCAAAGCAGCCTCGATACCTACAGTTTCTCGTGCTGTTGGCTTTCCACACCTTTATCAGGGAAAAGGTTGATGCGGCCATATTTGAGGTCCACCATGGCGGAGAGTATGATGCAACAAATGTGATACAAAGTCCTGCTGTAACTGGAATCACATCTCTTGGGATGGACCATGTTGCACAGCTTGGACCTACTATCGAGACAATTGCTTGGCATAAAGCAGGAATATTTAAGCCAGGTGCACCTGCTTTCTCCGTAACCCAGGATCTAGGTCCCGCGGAAGTTATGCGGAAGCGTGCGCTTGATAAAGGCACCACTTTGACCTTTGTGTCAGCAAATGAGTGCCTTCCCATTGATGTCCCAGTACAACGACTAAACTGTTCCTTAGCGCTTGAGCTCACTAAAGCATTCCTTCGAACTAAGGCGCCTGGCCATGCACTTACTGATGCAGATATCTGTCACGGAGTGGAAGGTTTCCAGTTGAAAGGGAGATTTGAGATTATAGATGAAGGGCAGTTACAATGGTTTGCACACAACGTTCTGAGTTTAGAACAAGCTGCAGATTGGTTTGCCAGGAACGCGAAAAATGAGTATAAGTAAGTCAGTCAAAATAGGTCAAAATACCTATCATCTAACATAGGAAGGTGCCACACCCTCATTTTCAGTCATTTGTCAGAAGAGCGAGATGGGGCGACACTCGTGCGATGTTTATCACATGCGCTTTTTAGAAAAAAGGTGAAACCTAGCCATGTCATCTTTACTACTTATCAAGAGAAGAATGACGACCCTATAGGTAAGTAGAAATAGGAGGAAGCTTCTGCGGATTTTGACTGATGTATCTACGTTATGTGAACAGGCCAATCCATCAAAGTCTCTGAGCCACTATTACCCTTGTACACCTCGGTCTGGAGGGAGCTTGATCCCCAGGCTATGGTTACAACTGCACCAACAATTGAGGTGGCAGTAAGGCTTGCAAGGGAAATAGAGGTCCGTGAAGATGGAATGCAAGTGCTTGTTACGGGAAGCCTACACATGGTTGGGGGAGCACTCAGCGTTCTGAGGCCATCGTCGCCTATAGATAAATTAGGGTTGTGATATCGAGACCAGGAGAAAGAGCAGAAAAGTTGAGTCCTACGATTAACTTCTATTACTTGCTGTACGTAACTATTTGGTTGAACGATACGGAGTACTGTGGTAGAGATGCACCTTAACGTACGAACGGGAGCAGGCTGCTCCGACGAAGGTTTTTTTGTAGTCAGTAACTTCAATTTTCCGGTTTAGGAGCCTACTCGAAGGGTATGCTGTCCCACTGATCCACGACGCTATATTGCCAGGCAGTCGCTCAAAATTACACCTATAGATTATGTAAGGAACGTCAAGGAATACCTTACTCCAAGGGCAGTGATCAAGAGGGGATACCGCATTTGAGAAGGACGTCCAGGCTTATGTCAAGCACAAGATTCTACGCAACTTCAAAGACTTTGAGTTCTACACAGGCGAATCCGAGGACTAGGATGGAATGTGCAGCGCCCTGTCTCACCAACTCATCGCTATATAGAGTTTAATTTTACTGACTCGTCTGGTGACTCAGGATCCTCTTTCTCAGCTACTGAGAGGATGGCAGAACTCCGTATTTTACCTACTTGAAACACGGTGTGAAGGAGGTGGACGTCCATTAGAAGACGGGCGGCCCGAGTGCTGAGTATGATTACAATGACATCTTACTCACGGAACAGTGGTAAATTGAGATGTGATGTCCATGTACTGTGGAAATAGGGGAAGTTGGGAAGTTTTGAAATTTCTGGCAGATCTAGTATGGGTCCATGGTTGTAGCTACAAGGAATATTACCAAATGGCTGAGCTTATATATTCCTAAAAGCCAATCCATGGCTTGCATCAACTTCCACACTATTGCATGTACAAGCTTCAGTATGTGCATGTTTGGATATACCTCTCAAGAGGTGATAGACGTATAATTAAGATATGTGTTTTCGGAATCTATAGTTCTATACATGAAATATTGTTACTAATGCTTGAAATGTGATAGACTTTTTGATATTTTAAAGCACATATTTAGATGGTGTGGATATCCACCACATTTTCAACTCACGGTTCTTCCGCAAGGTATCCCGAGTATGCGAATACCTTCACTTTTGCCTCATTGAGGGTATAAAGACAGCCCAGATAGCCACTTGTTTTGAGAAGAATCAGATGGATCCTTAAAAAGATTGCCAGATTGGTGAGGCAATTGGTACCTGCATTCCTTTCAGCTCTACTACGGAATCAAGAATGGGAAAACGAATACCTAGGAAGGAGAGCTGGAATATGCAGAAGGTATCTACAGTGTAGGTCACGTGATCCAACACTCTCTCTAATCGGGCAGCGAACCTCGATACGCCGCAGAGGCCCCGCTGAAGGCTCTCGACAAATTCCACCATAAGGGAGATTGGTGGACAAGAAGAATAATGGCTACAATACCGTCGGAAGATGATACATTACATGGAGGTTGCTCACCCCCACTTCCTCAGAGACACTCTCTTTGATGTGATCAGTTAGATCAACGTTACGTGATGTCAGTAACAGCCTCCTATCTTATAAATCTGCAAGCCAAGCACGTGATTTACGCGCTGGCAAATCGCGCAAGGCTGAAACAGCAGAACGATGGAAGGAGCCCCTCCTCCCTACTGTTATGCCTCATGACGAGGCCATGTTGCTTAACAACCTCCTGACGAAGTCGAGCTACTCGAAGAACTCCCTTCTTAGTCCTAATTCCCGGGTTACGGTCGCTCTGCTGCCTTTGTTACCGCCTTGATATAGCTAAAAAGAATCCTTGCCAAAAAGGCGCCACAAGAGAGTTGCTATGGAGAGGACACCTGAGGGACGCCGATACCACGAAGAACGCTCTCTTTCAGTGACGGATGGAAGTCGAAAGAAGCGCCGTGGACACGACGGATCTCCTATCCCATCTACCAACGAGTACTGTGCGAATCAATGGACCTACAATGATTACACCGTCGCTGTGGTGTGCGCCATGGGTTTTGAGATGAGCGCAGTCCGCTACATGCTAGACGACGAACATCCCCGCTTGCCCACCAAGCAAGGCGATTCAAACCTATATGTCCTCGGCGCACTCAGCGGTCACAATGTCGTGATTGCCTGTCTTCCAGGTACGCAAGGGAAAGGAGCCGCGGCAATCGTCGCTAACAATATGCAACGTACGTTCCCATCAATCAAATTGCGGCTTCTGGTGGGCATCGGAGGTGGTGTGCCGAGCCTAACACACGACATCCGCCTCGGTGATATTGTTGTGAGTATGCCCGACGGTCTATTCGGTGGAGTAGTTCAGTATGACCTAGGGAAGGATGTAGAGGATGGCTTCACCCTTAAAGGATTCCTCTGGCCACCACCTCCCATCTTGAGGAGTGCAGTGGAGATGATGCGATCCGATCACTTGACTAAATCGAACAAAGTCAACACCTTCTTGTCAGAAATGCTGCAAAAGTGGCCTGGCCTCACAGACTACCAACGGCCACCAGCAGATTTCGATGTTCTTTTCCAAACGAGTTATCCACATGTACCTGATCAGACCACATGCAGGAGATGCGAAAGGACTCAAATTGTTGATCGGCCTGCACGTGTATCTGATAATCCTAAGATTCATTATGGGTTGATTGCGTCCGGGGACCGAGTAATGAGGAGCGCTATGAAGCGAAACAAGACGGGCAGAGACATTGGCGATATACTCTGCTTCGAAATGGAAGCAGCTGGCATCATGACGGAGTTTCCATGCATTGTCATTCGCGGCATCTCCGACTATGCAGACTCTCACAAGAGTGATAAATGGCAGCACTATGCGGCAGCGGCAGCAGCAGGGTGCGCGAAGGAGCTTCTTTCATATCTGGACCCAGAGGATCGCCAAGTCCCGCCAATATTGACCCTTCGGCAGCCGTTGGACGGCGGATTCAACGTTAGTCGTGGACTGCCTAGAAATACCAATATACCTACACCTCGCGAGGGTTCCCCAGCCCAACGAAGCACGGTCTCAGGTCAGCAACCGAGGGGTGGAATCCCGCCCCTCAGTGAAGAGCATAAACGGATGCTTCTAGACTCGTTGAAATTTGACCAGATCGATGCTCGCCAGATGACCATCAAGAAAGCACACGCAAGGACGTGCAGATGGCTCCTCAGTAAACCGGAGTACCTTGACTGGCTTGATAACACCAAGCTAGGCGCACATCACGGCTTCTTGTGGATGAAGGGGAAGCCTGGGACTGGCAAGTCAACAATAATGAAATTTGCCCTTGCGAATGCCCGGAAAACGATGAAGGACAGGATAATCATGTCTTTCTTCTTCAACGCACGAGGAGAGGACTTGGAAAAGTCAACGGTTGGATTGTATCGAGCCTTGTTGTCGGAGATTCTTGAACGAGTCCCAGAACTTCAGAGTGTCTTCGACACCCTTGAGTTAAGGGTGTGGAACAGCGCTGGACATCACCAGTGGGGTGTTGAGTTGCTCAAAGATTTATTCGAGCAAGCAATACTACGCCTTGAACAGTCTTCCCTGATGTGTTTCATTGACGCCTTGGATGAATGTGCGGAACATCAAGTGCGTGACATGATATCATTTTTCGAACACGTCGGCGAACTCGCTGTTGATGCTGGAATTCACTTTCGAGTCTTATTTTCAAGCAGACACTACCCGTATATCACTATGAAGAGAGGACTGGAGTTGATTCTAGAGGGCCAAGAAGGCCACATCCAAGACATCACCAATTACGTGAATACTGAGCTGAAAATTGGGCACAGCAACCTTGCCATGCAGATCAGGGGGGAACTTCAAGAGAAAGCCTCCGGAGTTTTCATGTGGGTTATTCTTGTGGTGGAGATCCTCAATAAAGAGTATGATCGAGGCCGTGTCCATGCTTTGCAACAAATACTTCGCAGGATCCCTGGGGACCTGCATGAGCTATTCCGCGATATTTTAACACGGGACAGCCATAATCGAAATGAGTTAGTGTTATGCATGCAATGGGTGCTCTTTGCAAGCCGGCCATTGAAACCAGAGGAATTGTACTTTGCCATTCTTTCTGGCATTGAGCCAGGAGCTTTAACAGAGTGGAATACCGATGTGATCACAATTGATGTCATCAGGAGATTCATCCTCAATTCATCCAAAGGACTTGCTGAAACTACACGCTCGAAGGCGGCTCCGACGGTCCAGTTCATTCACGAGTCAGTTAGAGACTTTCTCCTCAAAGAAAACGGGCTTTGCAAGATTTGGCCTGACTTTGGAAGCAACTTGCAAGGACAAAGCCATGACCAACTTAAGCAGTGCTGCCTTACATATATCACCGTCGATGTCTCTAGACATGTTGATCTCAGTAACCCACTAGCGAAAGCATTCTCCGAGGAAGCTGCAAACCTCCGCGAGTCCGTTGCTAAAGCGTTTCCATTCCTGGAGTATGCCGTACGCAACGTGCTGTACCATGCTGATGCTGCTGAAGGTAGTGGTATTGCTCAAGGACATTTTATCCAGGGCTTCCAGCTTCCGTATTGGGTTCAACTCGACAATCTATTCGAAAAACACGAAGTACGCCGGCATACGCAGAATGTGAGTCTACTGTATATCTTAGCGGAGGGCAATCTGTCGAATGTCATTAGAGTTCACCCGTCTGTCCTGTCCTGTTTTGATGAGGAAGGAGAGCGCTACAAGTCTCCGTTTCTAGCGTCCCTTGCTACCGGAAGCGGGAAAGCTCTCCAAGCACTTCTGCAGGCCTATACGGCGAACATGCACCCGGAAAGTCGACTGCGTGAGCTGTGCGACAAGTATTGCCAGGACGGATGCAGAAACCCTAAACTGGCACGCGATGTAGACTTCTCAAACCACAGCGCCGTCCTTGCACGTATAGCAGAGCTTGACGAGGTAATATTCGCTTTTCTCCTTGAAACAGGGAAATTTATGCTGGACTCCAAGGACAAGTATGGGCGGACAGTGCTGTCATGGTTGGCAGTAAAGGGAAATGAGGCAACAGTCAAGCTGCTACTGGCAACAGGCCAAGTTGATCCAGATTCCAATGACTACTATTTGTGGACACCGCTGTCATGGGCAGCAGAGAATGGAAATAAGGCAATAGTCAAGCTACTACTGGCAACGGACCGAGTTGATCCAGACTCCAAGGGCATCATGGGKGAGACACCGCTGTCACGGGCAGCAACAAAAGGAAATGAGGCTATAGTCAAGCTGCTACTAGCAACAGGCCAAGTTGATCCAGACTCCAAGGACAAGAAGGGGCGGACACCGCTGTCACGGGCAGCAACAAAAGGAAATGAGGCAACAGTCAATCTACTACTAGCAACAGGCCAAGTTGATCCAGACTCCAAGGACAATTATGGGCGGACACCGCTGTCATTGGCAGCACCGTATGGAAATGAGGTAATAGTCAAGCTGCTACTGGCAACAGGCCAAGTTGATCCAGATTCCAAGGACAATTATGGGCGGACACCGCTGTCATTGGCAGTACGGTATGGAAATGAGGTAATGGTCAAGCTGCTACTGGCAACAGGCCAAGTTGATCCAGACTCTAAGGACGAAGATGGGAAAACACCGCTGTCATGGGCAGCAGCAACTAGAAAAGACGCAATAGGCAAGCTGCTACTAGCAAACAGGTCGAGTCGATCCAAACCAGATATGAGGCCTAGACTGGCTGCTTGAGACCCAATGCGCAATCCATATGCAATCCACCCAATCCGCACTTTGGGTAGGATGAGGGTTGGCCCTGATCCAAATCACCTGGATTGGCCCGATTAACCAATAATCCGCATGGTTGGATCCAACATAGTGTGCCATATCCAATCCACAACAAGTCTAACGGGGACACACTGCTGTCATGGGCAGTAGCATGTCGGCGCTGAGACGGACTATATGTAGGCGCAGTGGGATTGCCAGCATACTAAAGTCCTCCTGCAGTTCTAACATGGCTGAGGTTGTATTTGAATCTTGAAACCATCCTGTTAACATAGTCGTTTTTCTTATCTACGACAGATTGTATACGCCATCTTCTGTGTCCTGACTTCAACGCTCTGCTTCACCGACCTTGTTGTGTTCTGCAATGATTGTAATCGAACGGGCCTACGTCAACAATAAAGTTGTGCTCTCCACCAGCCTTTGCATTCTTGAGGACACATAGTTAATTCTTGGATTTTGCAAATCTGACCTACTACTGATGAATCTGAAATGGGTACATCCAGCTGCTACCGCATGAATTATCACTGAATCATGGTTCCTGATTGAATTTCTCCCCCGGGGGGGGGGGGGGATTTCGTTGACGTCATGACGGTGCCCCGGTGATTCTGGGTGCGGATTGCAAGGTAAAATGCATCAGGCGCGCTGAACGGTCATTGGAATCTCGATCTATCTAGTTGAAGCTTCCACAAGTGCCGATTTTCAATAGCATGGTCGTAGGTCCAATTAAGGCATTAATGTGCTACGGAGCAGGTGGCACAACACCTCGGGGCCAGCAATAGGTGAGATGGGGAGGGAGGAGGCCGGGGAGGATGCGGGGGCAGACGAGAACGCATGGAGCTGAATGGAAGACAGGACGAAGAGATCTACGAAGAAATAGGCGAGGAATTAGAGATCCAGGGGGGCGGTGGAAGAAAGGAACATCATACCGCGGGGGGCGAAGGTGGCTGTGTCAGGAGACGGACATTTACAAAGGGAAGGACTACGAGGACGAAAAGAGATAAGAATGAGCAGCAGGGGGAAGGAAGGGGAGGAGGAATTCGAGGTGGGAGGCGGTGGTGAATGGGATATTCAGCCGTCTAAATGGCAGTGGAAATTGTGAAAATCTCGTCGAGTGATATTTTGATAATTCCACTTTATCCTGCAATCCTGGGACAGTCTCAAACTGTTCGAATAGAAACTCTGCCACTTCTGCTTGAAACTATTTAAAGATGCTTTACAGCGAGTGTTTAGAATCCACTGCGTGCCGAGGACAAAACCAGAGAAGCCTCGGATGTATTAACGAGTAGTGTATCCACCGTTGGCAAAGATCGTCTGTCCAGTGATCCAAGCACCTTCAGTGCACAGGAAGCGAATGATAGGAGCGATGTCCTCGACCATAGTCAGACGGCCACCCATGCCGCTGGATTTGTGGAATTCGACAGCTTCGGGTGACTCCTGAGGATAGAAKAACGCTAGAATGGTGATTAAAACTCGGTTCTCCCATCCATAAAATCATGAAACAAGCAGAGACATACGTGTATCCATTGGTCCAGGCGCGACATTGTTGACACTGACTCTGCGAGACTGGAGTTCTTTGCAAACTCCCCTGTGATAGTGTTAGCCCTGTGTTTTGAGCACGGTATAAAGCGACATACCGGGTAAAATGCTCGACTGGAGCTTTACTGCCAGCGTAAGAAGTATAGTAGCCAGTGAATGCGGCAAGGAGGGCAGTCACAATAGTGATAATCTTTCCGCCATCCGTGACATGGGCAGCAGCTTCCTTGAGAACAAAAAATGCTGTCTTGGAGTTCACACTGCGGCACAAGTGAGTGAATTAATATGCTACTCGTCTTCCCAATGAAAGCACAAGCACTTACGCAAACATCGCATCATATTCCTCTTCGCTGATCTCTGTGATTGGCTTCTTAAGCACCTTTCCAACCGTGTTGACGACAATATCGATATGACCAAAGTCGCGAAGCACCTCTTGGAATAGCTTCGTCACCGCATCAGCAGAAGTCAGGTCACCCTGATAGAAAGAAACCTTGATTGAAGGAATCTTCTTCTTGAGGGCGGCCTCCAGCGCGACTGCATCCTTCTCACCGCCTTTTGAGTGATAGTGAAGGGCAAGATTAGCGCCAACGCTGGCCAGCTCGAGGGCGGTTTGTGCTCCAAGATTCTTGACACCGCCAGTAATGAGACCAACCTTGCCAGAGAGAGCCATCTTTGTATTGAAGTAGGATAGTGGTAGTCTGGGTAGACTTGTCAATGAAGATTCCGTGCAATTAATTAACTGCTGATGTGCCCTCTAGAGTTTGATCGAGGGAACTTCACTGCTCTTATATGTCCATGATAGCATCAAACCTAATAATGATGATGGTGATGATCAGGCCTGCATATCGAAGGCTCATGCAAGATCCATAAACGGAAATAGTGGGGCGTACTTAGAGCCACTCCGTTTCATTGGTCAAGAGCTGCGGGTCAGAAATCTGATGTGATATCCCGTTTAGGAAGTCTCCACAGGGTTGCCTCGATGGTTCTCCAATGCAATCGTTCTTGTTAAGTAGCATTGTGAACTTGTGACAAGCCTTGGGTAATTCAGCTCGAAATCTCAGACCGAGAAGCTCCGTTGGTGATTTTGCTAGCTCATCACAGTATTGGTCCAGGGTTGTCAAGGTCTATTCTTGACGTCATAGACAACGGTACCCTTCCCGCTTTATCTCGTAACCTCGTAGGCTTGTAGTGCTTCGAGACACTTCCCCTCATGTCAGGTTGCATCAACACTGCGGGTATCATGAGCCTCCGAGGAAATGGCCGGGATTCGGGTCTGGCAAACTTCCATCCGGAACGAAGGTAGCCCCAGGAAAGTAGTAGGTTCCAGATCCATGCAAAAATGCCGCGTTGCGGTCAATCCAAACCACGATTCGATACAGCAAGCCGTTTAGTCCTAATGTTGCGAGCCCGCCTCGTAAGCTGATGGCCCGCACAAGACCTTGCATGTGAACATTGTAATTTTCAAAGCTGCCGAACATGGCTTCATAGCTTGCCATTTTGGCTATAGCCCCTATCAAAGCATCGTCTATATCTTCGGGTCGCCGGTCTTCCAAACGCTGGTGGATTAAAGATATAGCTTGACACCGGAGACCGAGGAGGTCTATTCTTATGCTCCCAGGATGTACCTGGTGAGAGGCATGATGCGATGCAGCAAGAAGCATCACAACCCAAAACAAAACAGGCTCGGTCATCACTAATGGAAACCAACTTGTTCTCAGGAGACCACGGTTCCCGGGCTGGTCAAGCTCTGGAATATCAACGGCCATGTGGACCAAGTCTTTGCATATACGTCAAATTTCCCTCCTCATCGCTTCATATCCCCAGGATTGAATCACTTACAGTGATCGACTAGCTTCGCAGTCCAAGGTCGACTTGGGATAGGATACGATTGGAAAGGGTCCACGCGGAGTCCACCTATTGCAGGTGATATTGAGATGGTGTTGAGGTCGGAAGAAGAAGAATCGGTGTCAACCTGATCTCGAGCGCCGTTTTCTTCTGTAGCTAATATGGCTTTCTTTCGGAGAGCAGATCGCTTCCATTGCTGACGTGTCACATGCGAACGGAATTCGCGTTCTTTCGCGCGCTCGAGGGCGTCCCTTGGCTTCTTGACGTTGATGAAAACGTAATCCATTCTTTCTTCGGACAATGGTGGGCAGACTAAACTCGCTGGTTTCCGCATAGACGATCACCAGCTCGGGGATTTAAATTTCATGAACATGGAAATTAGCGGCACTTAGCGCGATTACAAATTGTCACCGTCTGCAGAGGAGACGGGATTCTCAAGACGAGAGAGGGAGGGGGAGAGGGCAGCAGCAACCCCACTTGCTCCATTAAGACACAACCGCATTTTGCACAGCCCAACCACCTTCGTTTGATAGGTCTATATTGGATGGAAGATTAATCATTCTCCCAAAATGTCTGTAGCGCCCAGTATTTAGGTACTTATTAGTTGAATTAGACTATAAATATTCATTGTCCATCTTTCTGGCACAGGCGTGCTTACTTCCACAAGTCCCCATTGGAGTCCTTCTACACGGCTCTCTGTCACTATCTGACTTGCGCCACTTGCAGAGTGCGAAAGACTATATTCGTCAGAACTTTTGTTAGAAGTCCTGCAGTAGGAGATCTTTTCGGTTTGGTTACCAAACATCGTCTAGAATTGAAGCCTTTGAGAAATTGACAATACCAAATTGATTTAAATCTGCTTGAAGTCTCCTCTAGATTCTCCGGGAAATGTTTCCGTGGTGCAGGTAAGGTTATTCCTGATCGGCATAAGTCTCATACGGTATGGCCACACAACGGCCATTCACGGCCTCAGTATATGATCACAAGGAATATTACTCKGGAAATCAGGATACTGCGCTCGATCGTCCCGACGCATGCGTCCTGAGTACTTTGTTCGCTCTCGGTGCGTCATAGCAGCTGGCTCCATGTTCCTTGACACACCTCCGCCCCCATATGCCGGTGCGTCAGAAAGACAGAAGAAGTATAAGGTTGTCAGCTAGTGCACATGTCCTTCTCAGCCATGAGATAAGTCCAGGAACCGTAGCCGCCACGAGCCGAACACCTACCCTACCGGTGGGACGACGCAAACGGTAAAATCACAGGCAGTCGAAACTCAATAAAGTCCGACTCCATCACCACAACATGGCAAATATTTGACTGTTCTCCTTTATAATACCAATCATGGATATCTAATTTGAAGTATCATGAATTACGAACGTATCTCTCGACCTCTCGATTCGGTACGCTGGCCTATGTCAGATGGGTTAGGTCTCTGTCAACCTTTGTCTAACATATACTAGGCTGTGAGTCCACCCAACTGACTTGTTAGATTAATCGCTGAATAATGATTCACTCTACCAATCACGAAGCATATCCATACTAACTAATGTACCCTGTACTATTCTTGAGACTATTGTGGATCGCTTCCTACCTGATTCCGCCGCTTCAACTCAATAACCCGATGAGCCGCCAAATCCTCAACAACTTTATTCGCCAGCTTGTTAAAATCTGCCTCGCCGTCACCACACTCATCCACAGCCGACTGAATAGCCTCGCATTCCCAGCACAGGCAAATATGATACTCCATGCCAAAGTAGTCTCTGAACAGCAACGACGTCTCGTCCGACTGCGTCTGGAGCACGCCCGCCGAGATGGTATCGTCGTGGTTGATGAACCTCCCCGCCCGTTTCTCCGTACACATTTCGTACATGCTCGCCGAGCATTGATGCGTATGCCACACCAGGTCGATGTCCAGCGTTGGCACCAGAGTTGTTCCGGGGCGGAGTTTAAATAGCTGTAAGAAGTACTCGTAGCGTGTGATTGCTCTAGACAGCGTCCCGTGGACGCCAGGGCTGCGGATCCAGAGGTATCCGACCATCTTGTCAACGAACGCGCGTTGGCGCTCGATTGCGAGGAATAGGTATGTCGAGTATGGGCCTGGGTAGGCGGCTGCGTGGCAGGCAGCAGCGAAGGCGCTGTGCGGTGACTCCTCTTTCTCGCGACAGAGACTGTCCAGCATATTTAGGTAGAGACGATTGTCCGGTTCCGAGTCCCGGTAAGCTAGTAGAAGATATGTATAGGGCTCTGGCTTTGGGCTGACAAGGTACGCCAGCAAGTCTGCTTCGTGGCCAGTCAAATTGGTAAAGTTCTGCCTTGCGTCGGAGGGCAGGCTGAAAGTCCAGTCTTGGTCATTGATGCATTGATGCTAAACGGTCAGCTTGGACTACAACTGAGGACAATGACTTACAATCTTGTCCCATGGGAACACCACATGCCGCATACACTTGATCCCACTGGCCTCGCAGTACTTCCTGAAAAATCCCGGGTTCAAAAGAAACGAATGCCAGGCGATGAGCACATCTAATTATTAGCTATTGCTCTGGCATAGATGGTTAGCATACCTAGTGGAGGACAAGCTGGCAGCTCAAAAACTTTATTCTCCTTCGACGCCAAAACTTCATCCATCTTCTTCAACCAGACAAGGAATCGGGCGACTCCAAGTCTGAGATAGAATGGCCATTTGACCTGCCGTTTCTGCGCAAACTTAAAATCCTTTACCTCGATCGTTTCCTGGGAAGAGCCTTGCACCACTGTCCGCTTCTGCGGCTTGATATCGAGGATCGCGTCCAAGTACTTCGAATTGAGTACTTCGCGGCGGATATGGTTGATCGCCTGCAACAGTTCCAAGTGAGCGGCACATTGAGCGACGTTGGGGAGGGACATAGAATCTGTCCATGCAGGCGCATGTATATCCTTGAAGATCCTAGGATCGGGAACTTGTATGTCTTCATTGATGTGGGGAAAACTATACTTTCGAACTGTGTCGGACGCTGTGTCGGACGCCAACAGCGAATTGAAGACCATGCTGCTGCTGTGCAGCTCTGTCTGCGATGCTGTGTATAGGACGGTCATTTTGATTGTGAGGTGCAAGACTGAATACTTGTTTCGTCTCCACTGTTAAGTATTCAATGATTGATGCCTTCGCTCAGATCTCTAATAGTCCGTTGATCAAATCAAGCCTTGCCAACCGTGGGGCGCGGCTTGCCAGCCATTTGATGCGCCCGAGCGGCTGAATACGAGCATCACAGCCTGTGGGCTTGCATAGAGCACACGTGGACGACACACGGGCGCAAGGCTGATTAGCCTGATTGTATAAGTTTCCTGAATACTGTGGATCCGGCGCATCAGAAAAGGCTATATATAAGATCATATTGCACTCCACAGTCATTCAATCACCACATTAACATCCTAACTGATACTCGTCTAATGTCGCGACTGTCCCAGTTATTCGCAAAGTCTAAACAGACTCAACCTGTTACCTCGGAAAACGCAGGCGGCTCGGCCTGGACTGAAGTCGGCAATGCCGCCGATCATCTTCTAGAAGAGCTTGAATCCCTCTACTGGACTGGTGTCAACCAAGAACTGGACTGCATTGTTTCAACCTTCCGACAATGGCAGCAACCTCAGTTCCAGCATATCCATTCGGACGCAGACAATACACTGGTCAACGGCTTCGACACCTTCATCTCCAATGTCCTCCTGCGGCCAACCGCCACACCTCCCAAGCTAGCCTCCCAAGTATCCACCAGGATCGACGACAAAGGGCGCCTGGTCAGGAGCGCAGAAATCCGTGCGATGGAGCTGTCAGCAGCAAAGATCAGGACGAGGGTGAATGTCGACGTCCGCAAATGCCTAGCACAGCGTCCTGTTGAGATGGATGCCGCTAAGCGACGAGCACGGTTGCTTCTCCAAGCAGCTGGATTCTTGGATATCGATACGATCATCGAGCATTCACCAGCGAGAAATACGCCTAGTCCTCTCACGCCGCAGCTACGAATGACCAAGAAAGGGTTCAAGGGGTGTCCGGCCATCTCAGTCCTCCCTTGCAGTGAATGCAAGTGTGTCATCCGGGGGAGTATGTATTCAGCCACTGGCGGGTCCACCCAGCCAATCTGCGAAGATTGCTACTGGGAGCACCATTACGGAGACGCTTCGTACATCAAGCAATACAAGCATTCCATCGCGTCTGAGGTTGCTGCCGGCGTCAGTAAGCATGCTCGCTGCAGTTCTTGTCGAAAGCATCGGAATGAAATTCAACGGCCATATGAGCTGCGAAGTAAAACAGAGGTGCATATGTTGGCCGACGCAAAGTACTTGAGCGTCATGAAGTTGCAGAAGAAATCAGACCTTCCAACTCCAACACCTCCCTTGGCCAAGGTAATTCACAAAGATCACAGCAGTCGGGCTGGCATCTACGATGCCGCTTCGAGGTCTGGCAAGATGCGATTGGTCGGGGACGAGTGGCTGTACAAGAATTTCATGCAGAAGAATCCGTGGAATAACATCCATATGGCCGTTCGGGTGGGACCATTGGTGATTGGGAATGACAGGAAAGAGTATGTCTCCTCGGCCTGTGCGTTGAAAGTGCTAATGATAGCAGAAGTCGGAATGGGGCCGGAATATCCCTTCGCGATCCAATTTTCGGACAAGAGCAGCAAAAGGCAGGCCTCACTTGCCTTGCCATCTGCAGAGCAGAAAGACAGCTATGGCGCCGTGTCAGCGCTCGCCGGCAGAAACGGAAACGCTTCCAAACGGTTCTGAAGCAAGTCGTCGGGACTCCTTTCACCGGCTGGCCGTTGTCGGCGGCTGAGGAGGAGGTCATCGAGCTGCTGGTGAAGGCAAGCAGTGACAGCGCGGATGGTACACGCCAGGAACTGTACGACACAGTCAAAGCGTGCCTCAGTCCATGGGTGTCGGTCTACTTCGAAAGTATTGTGGGAAGGTTGCTGGACAGCAAGACCACACTCGCATGGGACAGATTGACCAATAACTGCCAACAGTTCTGTAACTCGCTGATTGACTGGCAAGTCTTTGGATCACTTCTCGCTCAGTCCTCCGTCACTGGCTCCGACAAGGACCCCCCGCAACCACTCTACCGCATGAGCTTCGTCTGTCGCCCTCACGCAACACCGAGTCCTTTCAAACACCCAAACACCATCATCGACGTCCCATACGGGCTGTCAGAGGAGTATATCCGCCGCTTCCATTTTGGCTGCTACACCGGCCCCGACCTGATCGATTCCCTGCACGAGTACTGGTTCGACTGGGCCGGATTCAACAAACACATCTATCCCCATCAAACGCTCTTCCCCTGGGACTGCACGGAAGCACTCCACCGCTACCCCGTCAAATGCGGCAACTGCACACTCTCCAAGCACGTCTGGGCCTTCCCCTACGATTCCTGGTCAATCATCGCCCTGCATCTATCCAGAGACCAATTCGCTTATCCCCCCTCCGAACTGAGCCCAAATCCCACCCACGATGCGTCCTGGATAAACAACCGCCTCACCCTCCTGACAGCACTAGACTCCCTCTCCGCCGGCGCAACAGCCATGTCCCAGAGCCAGCACTTCCAGCTATGGCTCCAACCTCAATCCGACCCATCAACCGATCGAATCAAACTAGGCGGCATCAACCGCGCACAACCATGCAGCCACGCGCTCGAGCACCGCACCCACGACGACTTCTTCGCCGCAAACTGGGCTTCAGACTATATATCTTCCATTCAGGCCTATGAAGTCCTGCGGAATAAGCGGTACTTGCCGCGGACGGCGCAGGAAAGGGAACTGGTGTTCTGGGGCCTTGAGGGGCAGGAACCGCCGGGGGAGTATGCGGTTTTGGCGGTGGAGTACTCGCATGTTCCGAATGCGAACTTTTCGTTGTCCATCGGTTATACTACTGGGTGTGGAACTTGTGGGTCGCAGGCGACTGCGGCTGCTTGTGGTGCAAACTGTGGTGCGGTTTGTGGGAATTGTGGAGGTGGTGGAGACAGCGGAGAAGGCGGCGGAAGTGGAGAAGGAGGGGGGAATGGAGGAGGGGACGGAGGAGGAGATGGAGGAGGAGATGGAGGATGTGGAGGAGGAGGATGTGGTGGCGGAGGATGTGGGGGAGGAGGTGGAGGAGGAGATTGATATGCAGGTGTTGGTATGTCTGCAGAGTTTAAGTGCCTTAGCGGTGTCTCATAAGGATGGCCTTTCTATAGGTTCAGAGTTCGCCCGAATTAGTATCATATCGGCTATCCTTGGTGAAATGGGGCATGGGAAGAGATAAATTAGAGGATTCAACTATGATTTATCCATTGCAGGTCGCAGCCTCCAAATATGTATGGAACAGATCTTGTATACCCAACCCATATGTTGCTGAAACCCCATTCTCATTATTCCCGGCTGCTATGTCACACCTCCAATCTAGCAAGTCAGTATGGCCGTCATAACTTCCGATGAGACAAGACCAACCGCCAGAGATTCTTTACCAATGTATAGCCACTGTAGGATGAAGTGCAGTTCCCAACCGCTCTCCAGGCCATAGCTGCTTGAGCAGTGAGTTGATCACCTGTTCCAACACATTGCAACAAAAAAGACTTGAATTGCCTACATTGTAACTAATGGATTGTGAGAATCTCTTCAAGCGATGACTGAAAAACACTGATTTGGTGTTAATTTTATAATCTGAAAGGATCGATTGATAGCTTGAGGCATTGCGGCATTAAGAAACATAAGACAGTCTTGCTACTCGCCATTGATCTTCTTGTAGGTCAACCGAAACTCAACTCCCTTGGTGACAACTGCGCCCACAGCCGCAATTTGCATACAGCCCAACCCAACAACTGTGACCTGTGGAGCCTTTTCCTTGAACGTAGCCGCCGTGAAATATCCAATGGCAGTCAAGGTTTCCAGAAGAGTGTTCGCTCCACTAAGCAGTGTCGAGTCCTCGTCATATCCCTTCCAGCTCTTCGCGTCAAGTTCTTTCGCGTAGACCGCAGTATATAGACCACAGTTGACCACGGCGGTTAGTAGGTCAATGACTAGCATGATCTGATCGACAACTTGGTTTTCGAGACCTCCCGCCTTTGTAGCAGCCATATAAACTACGTTGGTCAACAGACGGAAACACTTAATATATGTTGCAGCGTTCCGCAGCCCGGCCCCGGGGGTTTCATCACCGGGTGGATTGATTATATCCTTGAGGATGCTGAATCCATCAAGACAAATGCTGATTACCTCCATGATGGTACCAGGACTGAGAGAGTCAACCGCTGTTGAGATCCCTTTGTTGGCTGCTTTCCAAAGGAACTTGATATTGTTGAAAAAGAGGCTTACAACGGCAGCCCCGCAACCAGCTCCCAAGACAATGACTGTAACATCACGGGCAGTGGTCTTGTCAGCGGCTGAGGTCATGAAATCTTTGTTGGAATTTTCTTCTTCTTCTTCTTCTCCTTCTCCTGAAACCCGGAGGGCACCGATGACAGTTTTTCCAAAGACCTCACTGTTCATGTTGCCCAGAGTAGGAGGCTTCTTTCCTGTCACGATTTTGATAATGAATGTCGCTGGAATGGCGATGATMAACGAGACAGCGTCAAAAATGGTAAGGCGGTCGCCTTGGCTCAACCACTTGTATAGATCTCCAACAAAGCCCCAGGTGAGTCTATGCAGTGCGCAATGATCAGTATCGTTTCACTCTCTGTCGAGTTCTTCAAAACTTACGTTTGGTTTCCAATGCTCTTCAAGAGCACGACCAGTTTAGATGCAAGGGTGACCAAAGTTTGCAGAATCTTCTTGACCACGTCGATGATATTGATGAGCAAGTCCCCACTCGTTTTCGCAAGAAGCTCACCAGCCGAGAGATTGTTGTCCCCGTTGAACAACTGGGCAAGATCTTTGGCCAGATCCTCGGCAACTTTAGTGAAGCTCATCAGGAGTGGCTGAATCCGATCCTCCCAGATTTTCACTTCTTCGGCATTATTTGATGCTAACAGTTGAAAAGGGTCAGACTTAAGTGGTTGGGGAGGAAAAGCTATCTCAGGCACTTACTTTTCCCAGGGGAGCGCATACTCCTACTCCCATTCTTCATCCGTTCCCCAATCCATTTCGACCCGGGACTTTGCTGGAATTCGGTCATCTGCTTGTCATCACTCCCATTAGAGGACCCCAGCTTTCCTCCGCGACCTCCCATTGATGTAGCACCCATCAGTTCGGCGATATCATTTTGAAGAGAACCGAAGAAATCCTCAATTTTCACATTCACCCCTTCAAAGTTGTTAGCAGCATAGTCAAGACCCGCATTGAGCAGTCCCTTGATGGTGCGCTTCGTTTCGATGATATCGTCCCAACTGAACAAGAAGCCCACCACATCACACAACTTTTTCCACCCAAGCTTGAGCTTGTCCCATACCCAGGAAGCCGCCTCGGTCACTTTTTCGATGCAATCGAGAACGAACTTCTTGACAGAGTTCCCGATCTTGCACACGAACTCCCAGACCTCACCGGCCTTGCGCACTATCCAGTCGATTGCCTGATGAACCTTCTTTTTCACGTAGTTGAAGCCATCCATGAAAATATCACTGACAGCCTCTAAAATATTGTTACTGGCATGTTGAATGGCATTGACAGACAGTGCGGAGGACTTCACTGTTTGAACAACAGATCCATCGGCCGGCAGTGTCATGCATGCTTCACTGATCGCCGAGAAGCATTTAGCGGCTGCGGTCAGCTCGTCCTTGGATGGCTTTTTTACCCCCTCCCAGATGGATTTGCCGTCTTTGTCGGTGGCACCCTCTAATTTCTCTGTAGAGTCAAGCTTGCTTAAAGACTGGATGACCTTACGGCTCGGATCGACGTTTGCATCTGAATGAAGCGTGATCTCTTGAGCGAGGAAATTCCTGGCTTTGCTGATCTGCAATGGCTGACTAGTGAGGCCATTGGTAGGAATAATCAGCGCCAGCTCACCCGCAGCGTCGAGAGGGTACCAGCGGCCTTTGGGATCCAAGGTGTCGGACCGGCCATTCATTGTGGCGGATAGCGAGGATGATGACTTAATAAAAACCTGACCGTTGCAAAGCGGCCTTTTCTTATCATCCAATGCGGTCATGTTGATTGTGTAGCTGGGAATGGCCAGGAGGTTTCCCCCTTCCTCGACATAAAATGGCTCGGTGCGCCAGATACCTGTATCGAGACTTTGCTCCAGCAGAGTAAGGTTGCCGCTTTCGTCGTTGGCCGTGAGAATTTGTTTGACTGTAGAGAGGTTCTCTGCGCGCTTGCAAATTGCGGCAGAGAAACTGGTTGCCTTGCCTGCAGGAAGGAGGGTGGCAACGCGGCCATTGTCGATATTATCACAAGAGGTTACTAGGAACCCCAGCTCATCCTGGTTATTTCTAGCCCATACTGACAGATGTGGGCCATCCTGGGCGACAAAAAGATCTTTCGCACCACGGAAGGAAGAGTCTTTGGTCAGCAATCGACCACTCCCTCTCTTGGTTGTTTCATTTGAAGGGATCAAATGCAATCCCCGTTGAGAACCAACAAAGAGACCGGATCGGCGGGCCGAGTCTGTGAAATCGACATACGATTCAATAGAGCAAGCGCCTTCTGGAGCAATAAGGTCGTACTGAGCCCATCTGGGAGCGTCTCCTTGTTCCATTCCTGGCCGTACAAATTTGACCATGAGAAGCACCTCGTTGGACTGCTTGCAGAGGATATACAGCCCATGACCTAGGCTTCCACCATTGGCAGTGGCGATATCGAGAATCTCGCTCACATTGGTCGGCAGTGTGCAGTCCTTCCACACAATGATCTTATTCATGTCCAGCTTCACTTCCACGCGGGCCAAGTCGCTGCCACTTGCCGTGCGATTTAACGGTTGGTGCATCACCCATACAGCTGGATAGGGTGTCTTTCCGGTCGGCAGGCCGATCTTGATTTTGTGAACTTTGCCAATGGTTTGGGGTGGCAAAGTGGTGAGCGATGTTTGGCTGCTCAGTTGAAACGGTCGCACCACCCACAGTTGAGAATGCTGTTCATCCACCTTTGTAGCCAAGGAGAGATGGATGGTATAATCGGCGCCTTGCTGGACATCAAAGGTTTGGATGTAGGCATCTGTAGGTAAGCCGATAAGACGACCATAGTCTGTCCTGACCCGTTGGCCCTCCTCATTGATTCCAATGACTTGTAGTTTTGGGATCTCGTCGTTGCTGAGCGCGAAGACCGTAGGTTGCAATGTATGAGGATCTACGCAGGTCACCATATGGCTCGCGGCAGGGACTGCTACCGCCGATACATAGTTGGTCATAAGCTCGGAATCCCATTGTAGAGTAGCCATGGTGTTTGAATGGCTTTACAGATCTTGTGAAAACGAAATAAAATAAATTGACGTAAATAAAATAAAAGAAATAAGAAGTTGAGTGGTGAAGTCAAAAAGGTAATAGACAGGTTTGAATGCCAAAGATGTATGTTGACAACAAAAAAAGAGGACATGGTTGTTGGGCCTTTTTGGGACCTTTATGTGTATAGATCAGTGGGTGTAGTCTATACCCACGGGATAAACAGAGTTGGTCGCTTAAACTCACCGCGGATCAACATTTGACGAACTACTCAGTTTCAACCGGAGTTGCCGATATTTCAGCTAGATGAAAAGATGAAGAAAACTGAAAATTGGACCATTGAAACTTCAATGGGATGGTGGAGTGGCAATCAAAACATTTAAAGTGGCGTCTTCTTTCTCCGCTGGGGCCTACGACAGGTCTTTTTTACCCCACATCTCAGCATCCAGGCTTTCTCTCCAATCTTGGGCACTTTTGCCGAAGGGACTACTAGCAAACTGCCGTCGCTAAAATTGATAGAATTATCTGCTGACCGGTCATCAGCGGGCGCATATCGCCAGCATTCAGTCCAATAATGTCTCAACACTCTGCATTGGTGCGAAAGTGGGCGTCGATACTCTTCAGCTGGGGTTTTTTTACTGAGCTAAGGCTGCCTCAAAGCATCATAGTCTAGTCTGTTCTGAACACAACTTCCATCGCAACATGGCGGATACCCACTTAAATCAAGTGACTGAGAGGTACTTTGCCCCAAGCTACGGAGAGGCCGAAGGGAATATTTTGGCGATACGATGGAGTCTTCCAAGATAGCATAGCAGAGGCCTGTAGAATCGGGCGTAGAATGCTATTTATTGATGCTCTTCCATCAATGTTAAATAGCCAAACAGTTTCAAGTTCCTGTATTCATCGAGCCAAATCACCCCTTTAACTTCTTCGTCTTCTTCTTCTTCCTCATTCCATCGCTGAGACACCTACAATCGCCGTCATGTCGATCGTCACTACTGACCGAGTTCGGAAACTGAGTATTGATCCGTATGATCAAGTTTTTGCTTTGACTGAGTAAGAATGCAACACAAAACCAATCTCCAGAGCATCATGTAAGTACTAACATAACACTATTACCAGGGAGATGATCAACGCCGGACTGGAGACCAAATGGCTAGAGGCCTATGATGACCCGAATTCCGGACTCGGAAAGGAGTTCAGATGTTATATGAAGGCCCTTGGAGACATCAAGAAGGCCCGGATTGGATGCCCTCGCATGGTAATTGAAGCCAGTTTGACTTCTGAGGCACTGCAGCGTGCCTTATACATGCTTTGCTTTGAATCTGGCGAGCTGAAGGTTTGGGAGCAATCTGTTCGGCATATATGCGAGAATCAAACTGACGAATTTGAATGGTATAGCTTGAATATGATATGTTGGATGAGGAGGGCAATCCTGTCGACGCTGGCAGCAAGGTATATGATATGACTGGATGGAGTAAGTTTGTGGCGTCTAGACATCTCGACCGGTGCTTTGTCAATACTAACTGTCAACTCGTAGGAATGGCTTTTACTCTGCAGCTGGGGATGACTGTGATTGAGCGAACTGAGGGTGATTCGGCCGATGAGTATGTAAAGCTTCTTGGACCGGAGGTGGCCAATGGACAAGGTCCCCTGGGTCAGAAAATTGTGGCTGGAGAGTACAGCCTTAATGCTCTGGTCGCCAAAGTCGAAAGTGAGTTCATGCCAATCCAGCCATTGTAGTTTGCTCTGTATCCTGATGCTGATCGAACCTGCAGCGGCCAAATTCAATTTCGCTGAAAGTTATTTTGGCGGAATCGATTTCACAAAGGAGCCCGAGGGCATTCGGGACAATCTCGAAACCTTGATGAAGAAGCAGCGAGAGAAGTTCGTTGCAGAAATCAAGAAGTCAAGCACTCTGGGTTATGCCTTCAAGGCCAATCAGATCGGCAAGTCTATTCTATCTGACGTCTGTCTCCCGCGATTGTTAACAATTTGTTATTTAACAGACGATTCTGCACCAAAACTAACATTCGAGCCCAACAAACTGCAATATCAGACGTATCCGTGGGTGAACCCACGCGCACTTGGATCTAATCCTAACTCTGGCCTTACGGAGAGCTCGCGTCTGAACTGCCTTCTTTATCTTGAAACAACTGGTACAAATGACCTACCACCCATTGATAAACGGTTCTTGAAGTTCCAGGGCAACTTTACGGATGGCCGTCTGGAAGCATCGTGGAACCCCGAGTCTTGTGACTTCGGTTCCTTCCATATGACCGGGAGAAACTTCTTCAATGGGTATCTCCTGAAAAAGTTACGAATTTTGAATCGTGTCCTCGAACCCAGCATGTCCTGGGTCTACGTTAAGATAGACGATTGGCGAAAGCCGTGGGTGAAGTTGTATGTCTTCCTCTCTTCATTCTGTTTCTCTTTCTTTCTCTTTCCCTTTTTCTTTTTCACCCGTCGCTTTTCATTTTAACTAACGGCACTCCCACAATAGTGACGCCGATCTCAAAGTCGGTGATAACCCACGGAGATCCAAAGAAGATAGTTTCTATGACTTTGTTCAAGATCCAAATTCCTCAACATCCTGGACCTTTCAATCCTCTTGCGGGGAATTCGAAAGTAATGATCAGGCCGGACTCAACGGTTGGTCTGGCAATGTTAAAGGCAAAGGTTCATGTAAGAGGGCCCATTTTTACCATCTATGACAGAAGACCTAAGCAGACACTAATGCGTAAAAAAGGCTCGGCGAGGAACACAATTTCTTTTGTCCCAGGAAGTGACATCATCACGGTGGATGGATTCACCAAGATAGCTTTTTATTTCCGGTTCGAAGACAAACACATTGTTGGAGGTTCAGATGTGAAGGAAAGCGAGTAAGTTGAAAATATTGGTATAGCTCCATACACACAACGCATGCTAAGCCTCTGCTCTTTTAGCCTCGAATATCATATTAAGTGGAAGATGATACTCGATCTTGAAGCCGTGAAAGATGGCGGTCTCCAGATCAAATCCACGTTCGAGGAACCCCGCATCGAAGCTTTCAAGTCGACTCTTAACGGTCTTGAAGAGTATAAAGAATTCACGTTGAACTCCGTCAAGACCGCCATAAACAACATGGATGACCTCCGTAAAGCCCTTGCTGAGGATTTGCAGGGACAACAAGGGCTTTGCTTGCCCGCTGGGGGTGTTTTCTATTTCAAGAATCCCATCCTTGGTCACAAGGGAGATCTCATTTGCTCGATCTCCTACAACAATACCCCTGCTAGAAAGGCATTCAATCCAAGCTCAGACGTCATTATCAATAAAAATGGCAAGGACAAAGAAAACATTGCTGGTGGAAATCGGACAGATCTTCCTAAGCCCCCTGGACTCCAGCAAGTCCCTAAATGAGCCACATATATTTGTTCATGAACGATGAAACTATCATCTAACGGGTTTTATTTTCCTCGGGGCTGTTATCGTCTGATTGGGCTTGTGATGTTTTATTTGTGCTGTTCTACATTTCACTTTGTTTCTTATTCTTAATACTGATAGTGAAAGACAGTTTTCCTTTTCTTTTTTCCTTTCTATAAAGAAAGTACGTAGAATGCCCATCGATACTACGCATGCATATTCGTAGCCTTAGGCCAATTTTCAATATTGAATGCACATATATAACTTCATAGGCACAAGAACTTTGGCACTGGCTAGTTTTCTTTAATTGCCCCTTGACTGCAATAAGCCATAACACATAGACTCCATATAATGGGTGAGCAGGAATTCTTGGTTGCCTTGAACATTGGMTACGCAAGTGCTAAACGTTGCCGGATACTGTCTTCCAAGGTTGTGTTGGTGATTATATCCATATAGATAACTTCTGAGTCTCTTCTAATTTTACATACTATTCAAATATTCATTAGCACATGTGGTTGTTAGACCAGATTCGGGGCTATGCAGTACTTGATCCCACTGATCCTAGATTCTTTCCACCGCGTAATCTGGACTTTTCAAGATTTGTTTCGTTACCCACGCGGATGCACAGGTGGCGTCTTACGGTCCTCTCGTTCCGGGGCAATTGAGGCGATCTGCTCCCACACTGGGGCCGTGTGCAGCTGACAGATTTGTCGGCTCGCTTAAATAAGCCATCTTCAGCGGCTTTCAGCTCCAAAAATCTTGTCTATAAGCTCAGAGTCCTGCAGAATGCCAGCCACGACATATTCGGGGTGGCCGGCGCTATCACTAAGGTGGCTTTGTGATCGAGCTGTTTTCAATCGCGACTATGTAATTCTTTTCAGTTCTGCGAGAAGAATAAAGCAGAGCAAACAGGACGTGATGGCTATTCGGATCGAGACACCAAATCTGGCCTTTTCCTTCCCGTTCATCAATATATATTCAGCTGAATGATCCCCTGGGATACTCCATACCGCTAATATCAACCTTGGTCTTTCGATCTCTCTCTTCTAGTTACTATACCAAGCCCGACTTCTGTCCCCCTGAAAACATTAACTGATCCTTTCTCTACTCCCCCTCGCTACCAAATTTTATTTCACAACCAAATACCAACAACCAACTATTCACTATGGCGCCAATCCTGTAAGCATACTGCACAATCAACGCTTCCTCCCCGCGCGCATGATAGTCATTTGTCAATTTCTAACGCCAGCTCTACTTTCTTAGTGATGCGGATCCCTCTAACTGGCTGTCCCAGTTGCGCGAGCATCTCGGAGTTGAACGCCAGAGCCAGATGTATTTGTCAAGTTTGACTCTTCCAGCCACCCACAACAGCCACGCTACAACGGACAACATTGTAGGTTGGGCTTGGCAAAAGATGGAAGTTGCCAACTGTCAATCAAGCGATATACGCGCACAACTGGATATGGGCGTGCGATCCATTGATCTGCGAATCGGCAAAGACCTAGTTCTCCGTCATGGAAAAGTCACACTGCAAGGACATCTGAGAGATGCACTGCACACCATGCATGAGTGGCTGGATCAACATCCCAACGAAACCATCATGTTCCAGGCCAAGTGGGACTACTGGGGCGATGATCGTCAACCTGACCAGGACAAGGCGCCGGGGCAGGTCAATGACATGATCCGGAAAGAATTCTCGGCAAGGGGTCTCGTCCTCGACCAGCAGCCTAAACTGAGCGAGTGTATTGGGAAAATGGTTCTTTTCAATGACAACGGTGCAGGGGCCTTTCCGCTGAAAGGCCCCGAGGCGCCCCGCACGGATCTTCCAGGGGATATGGACGTTATTGACGCTCATTGGGTGCACATCCAGAGGGTCTTGGAATGGGCCTTGGGAACTTCATCGCCAGCTAATCAAGGGGATTACTATGAGATTCCCTGTGCGCAACAGTCCCTGGATAAGCTGGAGAATCTCACCCTCGATAATCTTTGGAACGATATCACAAATGTCAAAAGACCAATTGACTTCGCGAATGTTATCAACCCGAGGCTGTGTGACTGGCTGCTCGGAAATATCCACAGACGGGGTGAAGGGAGACTGGGAAGAGTTTATGTTGATTTTGCTAACCCTGACTTGGTGAAGGCTATTCTACTTTGGAACTTTGTGTAATTGGTGTTTGGGATTGTATTCAAACGTTCTTTCGATGCTTTTTGGTTCTACCATTATATGACATCGGCACATCACCCATGTGCAGGCACTCACTTCAATACACATGTGTGCCTACTAGTAGGCCGTTATCTTAGCCACACTGTGCGTTCATATCACCATGGACTAGAGTGGTGAATCAGTGAAGAGCAAAGTTATCCATGCCAGTTATCCATGCCAGTGATTCATACATGCCATGTGCTCTTAGACGTATGTCTGCTGTTGTTGGAATGGAGGGTCAGCAGTTTCTGCTTTCTCAATGGGCTGTTTTGATAAGGCAAGGCAACAGAAGTCTAAAGCAGTACTCTTGTGAAAAGCCAAAGTATGTTGCTCATATTCTCTAGTATCTTAAGCTACTGTTTATGTGAAACATTTTATTGAATTGATATCTTAACAGTCGGTCTAGTAATCTAATCGTAGAAGCCCTAGAGACTCTTCTATTTGGCATAGAGCATACTTACTTTCTTAAGACCCTTTAAATGTTAAACTATGAATCCCCTACAAGAGCTTGCCACAATAATTACAGAACTAATAGATAGAGTGGCATAACCAAACCGATAAAATCGAATCCGACCCCCACCATACTCACAGTGGTTTGGATTCCGTGTGTAGCCCAGGGAATTGCTTCGGTTTTGGTTTCCCCACCCCCAAACCTATTTAAGTTCCGTTAAAACGATTAGTTATGGCTTTATCAGTTTATTAGTTTGGTGATGATATTTTGCTTTACTAATCACTAATTGTTAGGATTTCTATAGAAATACTAATATCACTAGATAGCTCAGTATCTAGTCTATTAAATATGAAATGCTTATTCAAAATATCTAGTGGTCGCTGAGATATAAGGGAATAATCATCTCTACCAGGGGTTGGTATGAAAGTGACGGTGATTTATACATGTACATATGCACAACCTTTAATAAACACAACAGTTACACAATTTTTAACCACCACCCATTCAGCACTATAGATATTAAATTGATATCCTAGATGTAATTAATATAATAATAATCACCATATATTTCATATAAAAATTATTGGCATCTCCTTGTCGACCCTAACTCCAAGTACTATTAAATGATCCGCTCCCAGCTACGGGATAGCCCCGAAGACGTTCTCTTCCTATTCAACGTCCGACTGCTCAGCGAAAACTGCATCGACTACGCAGACCGGTGCAAAGGTGCAGCGCAACAGCGATGAAGATTGCGCATCTTCTCACAGGCCATGCACTTGTGGAGAATGTGAGTCACCCAACTTTGGTGCCGTCCAGAGCGGAATACGAGCGGTATCGGCGCGAAGGGGAGGGCTATGGATACCTCCTCAGGATTTTGTTCCGCAAGCCCAACAATGCGATTCAGTTTTATGGTGCGCTGGATGTGTGGAACGCCGTCAGTATAGGGACTAACCAGACTATCGCACTGCCGTACTCGGTCGTGGCACACTGGGGGAACAAGACTGGGCGGCTTCCTATGGTGTCCCGAAACATATAGTGCCCCTCAGCGTGGGCTTGTAACCGGAGTGCGAGCTGAGAGTCCGTACGCTTGCGGCCCTAGTAAAGGTGGACTTTGAAAAGGCATAATTGGCTGCTTCAAAGGCAGACCGTTATTGCACAATAGCCCAGGAAGATCGGATCAGACTACCCCTTTATACTTGGTCGATGCACTCGGCCTTGGCTCATGCTGCTACCGTGTAGGTTGAGTTACATACGTGTTGCCGACTCTTGCCTCTCTTCATGAATCCGATCATTGGACTAAGTCATCGGATAAACGACCAAAGTGTATTCTAACCAACCAACCCTATCAATCCATAGACGATATGGGGAGCAGAGGAATAAATTAATCACGAGTAATGGCCCGATGCTCGCAAGCGACTTTGTATGCCATGTATGAGTGCAGATATGCTAAGCTCAAGTATAATGCTCTTTAGGCGCGGGTCATGTCCATCGTTGAAATGTATGATTATTTTGCCACAGTCATATAACTAGATGATTGACGTCTACTACGAAAACGATTAATGCTCCATATTCTTAAGCTCCACTTCATACGCCATTCAACGTCAGAGGAATGGTCTAGGCGTTGGGTGTGTGAAGGGTGATCTCACTCTTATCGCGCATACTCCAGTTGTATTGCAGATAGCATTGATCATACTCATTATGCTCAACAACCTCATAAAGTCTTTGAGCCAGATCCCGCAAGCGGCCATTAGTTTGACTTCCAGACGTCATCATTAACTCTCAATGTTACCTTGAATGCCATCGATGATGTGCAATCAAGTACAGATGGGTGTATGAACTATTGTCAAGCTTGCAAATCACAAAGGATCGGCTCGATAGGAAGATAATGCATATATAAGACATCGCTCATGAGTCAAGCTGGACCAAATTAATGTCCAGGGAAAAAAATAACTAGTATCGATATAGTTATACAGAGACTGAGCCATCAACATGTTGCCTACACTTGTTGCTCTTATCTTTCTACCCTGCTATGTTCTTTCTCAGATTGGCCAAATGGCTCTCGCACCGGACCCTCCTCTAGTTAGTCTCGTCACGATTGAATAGTGAAGAAAAGTGACTGACCTCATTAGATGGAGCCGCCAACCACTTGCACGCCTTCGTGTCCAGTAAAATCACCAACGCCAACTATTACCAACTGCAAGTGTAGTGATGCAAGGCTAGGCCCGACGGCGCTGCCGACTCAACCGCCCATTGTTTCACAGCTACTAAAAGGTTACGATCGCTTCGGAGGGCTGGGTCCTCAGCAGTATCTTAACGAGTGGGCCAACACACCAAATGGAAAATACCGAAACCCTCCAGGGGACGGGTTCACAATTGACAATTGTGGGAGTGAGAAGAGGAATAGCACTCTGTTTAAGAAGGGCACGCTTCTTGACCGAGTCGGCGCTCCAGACGGCAAATATTTAGCACCTATTTGTGACCCTATCCCAAATCGCTCCATTCCTCCCAGGAACCTKTGTGACACAGGCAGTGGAGTATATCATGTCTTCGAGGTTTGTAGTGATTTTTGGGCTGACCTGGGACACGCCCGGCAGTGGTTCAATCAGCCAGGAAACGGCAAACATATTACACTTCATGGTGGATTAACCACTGAAAAATTGGTTAAAAACAAGACTTTGAGACGACTGGATCCGGCCGAGATCGCGCAGTTAACATGCCCTATTAAAACCTTCAAGCGCAAGTGTCCAGATTTGGATGGCTGAACCAGCATTGTTTTAATTGCCAAGAGGTCTGCTTTGATCCCAATGTTAGCCACGCAATACGTGTATAATAACTATCAGAACGGACTCGCACATGCGTACTATTATGGTAGGCTTGAATGTTGCAATAAGCTCTTTCCGAACAGCAGTAATCATAATATCAGCAGTTAGGCAGTTACATGTCGCCAACTTTTGCCTCCCTTCATCAACCCAATCAGTGGTCTAGGTCATATGATAAATACAAAGTGTAACTACCCAACCGACCTTATCGATCCATGGTCGATGTGGGGAGCAGAGGAATACATCAATCATGAGTGAATGGCCCGACGCTGTCTAGCCCGAACTTTGTCGTCCCGATTACGAACATCGGAAGCGACAGTGGACTGGACAACAGATTGTCAGGAGGGAGAAAGATATGACAGAGTGCCCTACGGTTAGATCGGTCAATACAGGTAGTTCAAGCTCCGGATGGTGCGGGGCCCCGCGGTCGGAAGAATACAACCATTCACATGCCAAACTGCAGGGAATCAGGAAGATTCTCGGTGAATATACCAGGAAAAGGGTTCGGAGTGTGGCCGGCTTGGCCAGGGCAAACCATCGTCCTCGAAGCTATTTGGCGGTAGAGTTCAGCCACAGCGCCAACACACGAGGAGTTTTCCAATGGGAGAATCCTCGGCGGAAATATTTGAGGGAAACCAATCATCTGCTCGGGACGGAGTTTTGACTATGGCCCATTTCTCCGGAGGACAGTCAAATCCCCACAGTCAGACTCAGCAAACACTGCGACACAGACCGTCAGCCGGGCCGGCGTCGCAGAAACTGGGGGAAGCCGAACGATGGCACCCCCCTTCAGACCTCCCGCTCTCCCCCATGGGGGATGCACGTTATCCACAACGGGTCAAAGCACACTTTCCACGGCCACTCTTCCCCAATCGATCTGGGAAACTCCCTCACCGGGCGCCTTGATGAGTAAAGTTCGCCTTCATGACTCTGGTTCTACACTCTCGGCTGGATCTAGGCCTCGCATGACGGACAGGGACTGGCATGGCGATTGGGGTCATGGCCGAGTCTACAACTTTCTATCCTGCGCCGAGATTGCAGGGATTAAACTTCCGCCAAGAAGTTAGAATCGACTATGCTGACCGAATTTGGTTTAACCGAGGAGACGGCTGTGACTTTTTTGGGCGGCGTCGATTGGTCTGACCGATGCTGTAGTGTAACTGTCTCACTTGCTCCGTCACATAAAAGGCAACCGCTCCCCCCGTCATCCTAGCATCGTCTCTCATCCAGTCGACACCTCTCTTCCAACTGCTCATTATAATATCGCACAATGGGGTTCATGCTCAAGAAGCCAGCAGACGTGGCAGGCAAATCCTGGCCGGCCATTGTCATCGGTCTTTTCGTTGCCTTTGGAGGTGTGCTCTTCGGGTAGGTCCCTTCCACTCTCTATTTCATTTCTATGGTCGTCGTCTGACTGCTGTCTAGTTATGACACAGGAACAATCAGCGGCATTCTTGCCATGCCCTATTGGCAAGAACTCTTCTCCACCGGGTACCGTGACAGCACCGGACACTTGAACGTGACCTCCTCTCAGTCTGCGGCGATCGTCTCCATCCTCTCTGCTGGTACATTCTTCGGTGCTCTCGGTGCGGCTCCCATGGGTGACAGGATCGGTCGGCGCTGGGCTCTGATTGCTTCGAGCCATGTGTTTATCCTGGGAGTTATCTTGCAGACTGCCGCCACGGCAATCCCCATCTTCCTTGCTGGTCGCTTCTTTGCCGGTCTCGGTGTTGGTTTGATCTCTGCTTTGAGTATGTCTTTCCAGTCCGTGGTAGATTGATCCTGGCTAATAGACAGTCCCTCTTTACCAATCTGAAACCGCGCCCAAGTGGATCCGAGGCACCATCGTTGGTGCCTACCAGCTCTCCATCACCATCGGTCTCCTCCTGGCCTCCATTGTGAACAACTCAACCAAGGACCGCAACGACACCGGCAGCTACCGCATCCCTATTGCTGTCCAGTTCGCCTGGGCCATCATCCTCATCGGCGGTATGCTGATCCTCCCCGATACACCCCGGTACATGGTCAAGAAGGGCGACATCCAAGGCGCTGCCAAAGCCCTCGGCAAGCTCCGGCGCCTGCCAGCCGACGACCCTGCCGTCCGCGAGGAACTGGCCGAGGTCCAGGCCAACCACGAGTACGAGCTCAGCCTCGGCAAAGCCACCTACCTCGACTGCTTCAAGGGCAACCTGCTCAAGCGCCTTCTGACCGGCTGCGGCCTGCAAGCCCTGCAGCAGCTCTCCGGCATCAACTTTATTTTCTATTATGGCACCCAGTTCTTCAAGAACTCGGGCTTCAGCAACTCCTTCACCATCAGTCTCATCACCAACTGCGTCAACGTCGGCTCCACCTTCCCCGGCCTCTACGCCATCGAGAAATGGGGTCGCCGCCCCGTCCTCTTCTGGGGCGCCATCGGCATGTGCGTCTCGCAGTTCCTCGTCGCCATCCTCGGCACCACCACCACCGGCCAGGACGCCGCCGGCAAGATCATCGTCCACAACGAGCCCGCCCAAAAGGCCGCCATCGCCTTCATCTGCATCTACATCTTCTTCTTCGCCGCCACCTGGGGCCCCAGCGCCTGGGTCGTCACCGGCGAGATCTTCCCCCTCAAGGTCCGCGCCAAGTCCCTCTCCATGACCACCGCCACCAACTGGCTGCTCAACTGGGCCATTGCCTACTCCACCCCCTACCTCGTCGACTACGGCCCGGGCAACGCAAACCTGCAGTCCAAGATCTTCTTCATCTGGGGTGGCTGCTGCTTCCTGTGTATCTCCTTCGTGTACTTTATGATCTACGAGACCAAGGGTCTTACCCTTGAACAGGTGGACGAGCTGTACGCCGAGGTGAGCAGTGCGCGCCTGAGCAAGCACTGGACTCCCACGATTACCTTCCGCGAGATCCAGCAGGAGAAGGCCCGGGATACGCATCTGGAGACTGCCGAGGAGACTGTTCCTAAGACGGCATGATTGTGACGCTCTGATACGTGTTGACGTTTGATGTGGAAGTGATGTAGTATATATAATACGACTGTTATGTCTATCCTATGATATATGGTCTACAATTCTTGTCTATCCTATGATATATGGCCAACCAATTCTAGATACAGAATTAAATATGTTTAATGCACGATAATAAAACAGCTTGAATCACACCGAAGATAGTCAGCATCCCACCAGTAACAGACAAAGCAAGGTTGAGATCCCAATGCGGAGCCGCGGATCCACCCACAGCCCCAGATATGATTGAGATTATGACAGCAACGAATGTCCAGATMAGCGCATGTCGGAGGCTCAATTCGTAGTCGAGCATGAGTGCTCGACACGCCTTCTTTCCTGTTTCCTCGTCGCCTGTACGATGAGGAAGAATGGTGTATGGTTCAAGAAGGGCCACGCAATCTGCACCTCGAAGAACGGATGGATTATGGATCGCACCGGTGAGAGACTCATGCACTGAGCAGTGCTCAATGGAGTGAATAAGCTGTGTGGGAGTGTTGTCACCAGTCTAAGATAATGAGAATGGCATATCATGAGGCTCATGAGAGTGAGCGGCACCTACCACCGAGAGGACAACATTGCAAATCGCAACCCGACGTATGAGGAGAAGATTCCGAAGTCGGTAACTCATCGCGTGTGTGTCGTTTTCTAGACCACATACGAGAAGTAACTGATGGATCAGATCTTCCGTTCTGATTCTAGGGGCAATGCGCATGGCCTGGAGAGTAAGGAGGCCATTGTGGCCTCGTACTGCGACTCTGATTGCACGACTTGCAGGAAACAGGCTGCGCGGATCACCACGTTGGGAGTGGCACGCATGTTGGTAAGTGGCTGCAGGATATTCTGGAATTGATTGTACTAGCGATGGTAGCATGCTGTTTTATTACTATCAGAAGTTCGATTTCAAGGGCTGAGGGGTCGGAGAGATAGACTGACCATAGCTCTGTTTGTCAGGCTATGTGCGCGACTTGAATAAAGATAGATATATTCCTGAATGGAAGCCCGTGTCCTTGGTGTTATCGACAACATTGTGCTTTGAGGAGGTTGCTGATATCTCCATCAGCACAGGAATGAGTATGATGGAAATAAGGTATGGTAGTGATGAGCACATTTGTGTTGTCATTATGTATTATGCAGGGATCCATGGCGATCAGTCCAATAACAAGCAGGCAGCTGATACTGATACAAAACTGCCTTGCCTTTGGTACGTAGTTAACGATACAGTACGCTAGCTCGACCAATAGGACCCTGCATAGTGGGCAAGGCTGTGCTCCAGCGCCACTGACCATTGGGCTTCAGCACACCTGTGCTGAGCTCATCTCTGCCATACAGGCCTGAGCATCGCCTGAAAACTACTCAACAGGAAGTATGTCACTTTATTGACCACTTCAACCCTTTCATCCCTCCGAGCAAAGGTCTGAAGCTCGTAGATCAAATGCTCACTCTGAGCATAGAGCGCTCTGCTGAATGTGGCATTATCCCTGGAAATCAGGATAGGCGCAGTCTACTCGGCGTCGACTTGGAGGATGTTTATCTCCAGGCTCTGAGAGGCCCCCTGGCACCATTTACAACCTTGCTAGAACCTGCCCAAGGTAACAATTTTGATTTGAGTGAGATTAGCGTCGACTCAGGATTGGGGCCGGATGGACGCGAGTCCCCAAAAGCCACAATTTATGGCGAGGAATATGACTGCGTGTCAAACTCATGTCTCGAGTTCCTCCATGACAGCCACGGCAAATATGAGTTGAATGCGGATTTCTATTCTGCGGATATCCCTATCAGCCAGACATACCTATGTAATTTGTGTGACGAGTCTGCTTGGAACATTTTCTATTCCTTTAGCGATTTCAAAAGGCACAAGGAGACGAAGCATGAGACCACAGACCACATCCAGCAGCCACCATTGCCTATGCCAAAGAAAGCCGTATCGAAGGCCACGAATCGGTTTCAGGAGCCAAGTACACCCTCAAAGCCTGGCCATGATCTACGGGTTTCCTTAAACGCAAATGTCACCCCATCTCAGAAAATTGACCTCCCATCGCTGAACAAGGGCATTCGTTCACCCTTAGGAAGTGATACCACAGACTCAGGTGATTCAGAAATGTATGCAGACGAGGAGTCATTGTTCGACGATCAGGATGCCCATCTCTATACTGGGCGAAAGTGGAATGAGCTAACCATTCACCGGCTGGAGCGCATTTACAAGCAGAAGCTGTACTCGCTTGTAGGTTCAAGGGTTCTCCAGCATTGCAACCCACACCGGGAATATGGTACATCATCAGGTCATGTTGCTGCCTGTTCCTTTCAACCCGGCCCCAAAGACGGGACCTCTTCCGGGGGGAAGAGAAAGCCGGATGAGATTTCCCACCAAGGCAATCATGGTGACCATGATGACAGTAACGGTGACGGTGATGGTATTCAAGAGCCCTCCAAGCGGTTCAAAGTATCCAAATCAGAAGACCGACCCTTACGATTCGCTTGTCCCTTCTTCAAGCGGCATCCAGAGAGCTTCCGAACATGTGGAATGTCAGATCATGAGAACTCATCCCGAGTGAAGCAACACATAAGTCGCAAGCACCGCATGCCCATATACTGCCCGAGATGCTCAGAAACTTTCAAGACCGAACACGACAGGGACACACACGCTCGTGATGTCGACTGTCCGGTGGGGCCCAAAGCCAACTTCGTCTGCGCAACGGCCGACCAACTGAGGAAACTGAGCAAAAGAAACACAAGACAGACAGATCGAGAGAACTGGAACACCATTTACAAGATCTTGTTTCCTGAAGATCCGTTGCCTGAGAGCCCCTATCTTGACCCGCTCGTTTCATACGAGGTCAATCTCGTCCGAGAGGCTTTCCTAGCCGCTGCACCCGTGGCTGTCCGAACTGCTATACAGCATGTGATTCCGGAAGAATTTAGTGATGCTCTGGAGGAGGAATTGGAACGAGTCCTGCGATCGACTCATGCCGAGGTCTTTGATCAGATCTTTCGGAGAATGCGCGAGTATCGAGAACCGGCGCAAGTGCATCGCCTACCAATCCAATCTTTGTTGCAAATCAGGATGCCCAGCACTCCTGACTCTGGTATTGGAAGTACCGTCAGATCTGGAAGCAGTCAGGATGAGCCTCAGCAAACCACGAATAGCCAAGATATGGCGACTTCCTTCAGCAGTGGATCATTGAATTTCCACAACGATGAGGCCATACCATTCCTGCCACTGTTCACGCCAGGATTCGACTCATTCGAGCATCATATTGGTTGCCTTTCACGATCTCTCCAGGATGCGGCCTTCGATGATCTTCCCGTGTATCTGAACCCTTCAGGTGCCAGCTTTTTGACGGATCAATCTTGACTTGCGCTTGCTCTTACTTCGGCCTTTTCCCCGCCGTTTCCCTGGTTCCCTTTCGCTACTGTGTGTTTCATGCAAGTTCAGTGTATTCCAAGTAACCATTCATTTTGTTTATATCAGCGGATATCGGACTCTTGGTTCCCTCAAAGGGCTGGAGAATGGAAATTTGCCCAATGATCAATATACCGAACTCCATTTATCCCGTCACGACGAAACTTCTGGGCCCTGAAACACGCAGAATAAAACATAATTCAGTTCAGAAGGCAGTATTGCCCAGGCGAGATCGTCCTCCGAGCCTCCATGTTCATACTGCTAATGTCGCTCTGTCGCGTTTGCCGGAACAGGAAAGGAACGGGACCAGCAGCCCTTCCTACGTCATCGACTTGTTGCAATCGCGATGATACTAATACCGCCATATGGATGACAACGTGCTAGAACGATGATCAATATGCACAATTGTCGGGAAATTAGGAAGTATGTCCACGCTCATGCGAGATTCGGTCGCTGGCCATGCCGTTCGGCTCCTCACCAAGGGCCGATTCTTCAAATACGCGGAGAAGGACCCGTCACTATGGCAGCGATACACCAATACCGAGAAATCAGCTCGCATGGCCGCTACGGGTCGCACCGATGGAGATAATGCTCCAGATGAGTATGTGTTCGCCAACACAGCATCGGTGCCGGCGATTACGTCCTCGGCGTGGGACATCATGGACATCGGTTTCAAGGCCTCACGGGTGTGCGAATCAATCCTGAGCATGGAGAAGAAGTCAATGCCATTGATTGGTGGGACGAAAATGATTCAGAGGTTTGCATTCCATCCTATGCCATCGTAGTCATTTATGCTGATGACGCGGTAGAATCCTCAAAACTGGCCACTGGCCAAGAAGGTTTTTGTCACATTCGAGGTCTGTCTGTTGACCTTCAGTGTCTACATTGGAAGTGCGATTTATACTCCTGGGATTCCCGCTGTGATGAAGGATTTTCATGTCAGCCATGTGACAGCAACGCTGGGCTTGACATTGTTCGTTGCAGGATACGGGCTAGGCCCGCTGCTCTGGTCACCCATGAGTGAAGTTCCTTACATCGGACGGAATCCAGTTTATATCTTCACTTTGGCTGTATTTTTTGCATTACAGGTCCCGACAGCCTTGGCGGGAAATCTAGGGACACTGCTTGCGCTTCGATTTCTGACTGGATTCATTGGGTCGCCTCCTCTCGCTACGGTATGGAACCTCGTAAACGATATGGACAGCGAACTAATATAAGCAGGGCGGCGCAACGATTGCCGACATGTTCAGACCAGCAAAGCGTGCTTATGCGATTGGCATCTGGGGCATCAGTGCCGTGTGCGGTCCTGTCATGGGACCATTGGTCGGGGGATTCGCTGCACAGGCAAAAGGCTGGCGATGGACTATCTGGGAATTGATGTGGTTGTCGGGATTCTCACTTCTCATGTTGCTGTTCTTCCTCCCGGAGACATCGTCAGCGAATATCCTGTATCGGCGCGCCCGCCGACTGCGCCAACTGACCGGAAGAGAGAACCTGAAGTGCGAGCCGGAGATTGAGAGTGAAGGCCTTACCGGACGGGAAATGCTCATGATTGTTCTGGTCAGACCGTTTACTCTCAACTTCACGGAACCGATGGTCTTTCTTCTCAATCTCTACATCGCGCTCATATACGGCCTCCTCTACGTCTGGTTCGAATCCTTCCCCATCGTCTTTAAGGGGCATCTACCACTTCAACCTCGGCCAACTAGGCCTTGCTTTCCTGGGTATCCTCATAGCCGCTCTCCTGACGATTCCGCCGTACTACTGGTGGATGCACAAGTACCTCGAGCCTCAATTCGACGAAAACGGAAATATCCCATCTGAAGCTCGACTTGGACCTACCGTCGTTGGCGCTTGTTCTATCCCAATCTGTCTGTTCTGGTTCGGCTGGAGTGCACGACCGGAAATCCACTGGATCATGCCTATCATCGGCTCCGGTTTCTTCGCAGTCGGAGCGTTCATTCTATTCAACGCAATTCTGAATTATCTTCCCGACGCGTATCCAGCTTATGCGGCGTCTGTGCTTGCGTGGAACGATCTCTTCCGGTCAGGTTTCGGTGCAGGATTTCCCTTGTTTGCAACGGCAATGTATCAAAACCTTGGGGTGGGATGGGCAAGTTCCACCCTGGCGTTTTTGTCCATTGCGTTCATACCTATTCCATTCGTTTTGATGAAGGTGAGTATATGTCTTCTATGCTACAAGCGTACACTAATGTGGATAGTCTGGGGCCACGCTGAGGAAGAAATATAGTAAGCATGCACGGAAGGATATATAGGTCACGCTGTCCATTACCGAAATTACCAATGGCGCTTTCCAGGATCCTTGAGCTAGCTCCTAAGACGCTTGAGACAGCAGAGACCGTCATATGATTGGCAACATTCAAAGATCTGGAACTCACCCATACGTGTTGCAGGTCATTTCGCTGTTCGAAATCAGGCCTAAATATATTGAAGCCATTTGATCCACATGAAGCAGATAGGATTTGTGATGAGGCAGAAATCATTGAGGTGTACAACCACATTGTAACAGGCTTCTTGAATCAGTGCCAGACCTTCAGCATATCGCTCATGCAGTTCATGCAAGAGTACTGGTGTCCACAAATGCAAGAATACCTCCGCGACGGCGCTAACCTGGATGAAGGGTGTTCAACACAGTTGAATGACCTTGGGATCACTCTTACTCCAAGTACCCGGCTAAACTCAAATGCGCTTTGCGTGCATCTACATCCAAAGGTAACAGAAGGCAATGAAGGTTCGTCTGGAACTTGCTAAACTGAAATGTTACATAAAGGCCTTTGTGAGTGATGATTATCTGTCAATGGAATTCAACTTCATTCAAAAGGCTTTCAGCTGGTGAGATGCTGTTGATCGTTTTGATTCCCGTCAGTACTCGCAATGGCGCGGGGTACTTTTTAAGTTATTCAGATGCTATTTTATTTTGGCGTTTCTTTCCGCTTCCCGCTTTTATAAGATTTAATGCTGCTTGATATCCGGGAGTAGATGCACTTTAAGCTTAGAAACCATAGAATTTCCACCATCAATGTGTGGTCTTGTAGGGAAGTTACCAGCCATTATTTTACGTGTAGATATACTTATTTTCTGGATAAGGTAAATACTCACAGGGGGGGGGATGTTGTTTGACACTCTAAAACAGATATCATGGCTATTAAATGTCCCAGACCCGCGCTGCTCTTCATGCCGCCAAGCATCTGGGGGCAGACACTTCTAAATCTGGTTCCTTTTCTGTAAGTACTCGTATCATGATGCTTAACCGTCTCCATTTATGTCTTTAGTGCTGACACGTATATTGTTGAATGATCTACTTGCAGAAGGTGCATGGCCGGCTCCCGCGTGTTGGGTCCTCATCGACGCCATAGTCTCCACGTGGAAATAGTAGCCGCCAGTCCTGGTTAACGTGCATCGATGCAAGCTGACCGAGGGCAAACCTTATGTGCATAAAGTGAGTTGTTACCATAGCCACTTTGATGAATCAACTGGCCACATATCCCAGAGAGGTAATTGAATACGGATGTACATTTAGTATTGACTCACAACCTCGTATTCATGTAGCCGAGGATATGATTCATAAGACTTGTTGACAAGGTGGCTGAGACAATCCGGAGAAATTGTTGAAACTCTGGCGTTCCCAACCACAAACTCAACGACTACATATAAAGCTGCGAAATACGAGATGCTGATAAATAACCGCATCTCCCGTTCCCGCATCTAGACACAACCAACAAACAACGCTCACAATGTCAGATGAAAAGTCCTACACCGCAAGCTGCCACTGCGGCAACGTCAAACTCTCCTTCTCCAAATCCCCTCCTATTGAAGAAGGGGACGTCGTCTCATGCAACTGTATGATTCCTGATCTTGTCATTGTCCCTCTAGCTGACGGGCATAGGCTCCATCTGCCACATCAACGGGTACATGCTTACCTTCGTCCCCACCTCAAAGGTCACCTTTGAAATGGACAAGGACGCAGTATCGGTATACTCTCTCCGTTCTTGGCGCCTGTAAGGTGGTCTAATAGTGATAGGGATACCGCTTCGCATCGCGCAATTACCCCCATTACTTCTGCCGGACCTGTGGGACAAGCATGTATGCGCAAGCTGATCTTCCTGGTAAGGAGGATCAGCCTACGGGGATCAATGTAGGTCCATCCCTGGCCGCGTAGGAGCCAATGCTAAATGTGTAGGTACGCGCGATTCAAGGGATTGATATCAAGTCGTTGAAGGTTCGTGAGTATGATGGGAAGAACTTGTTGTAATGGTTGGTCATAGTTTTGAAGTATCCTGTTTAGTGGGCATTTGGACGTGGAAGGTGACTTGTTCATGATTTCTGGGGAGAGAGTCTGGTGTTCTGCGGCGATTGCGGTGAGAGGATGAGTTATTTGAGGAAGGGCCTTCATTACTTAACAATGAGTTATCAAGTCATCTCACTACTCATAATCCTTCTCATCCGTCATAAACTCCTCATCATTCAAATGTCTGAACCGCCACCAGAAGACCACAGTCTGCACAGCCAACGCAATACCCGGCGCGGCCCAGATCCAAATCAGCCACGGGTCCTGCGTCGCCGGAATCAATATCTCCCCCAGCGCACTGGACAACGCATTGTTAAACAAAAACACAGCCACGAGTAGGCCGCGCATACTCGGCGGCGCCCGCGAATAAGCCAGCTCATACGCCGTCACATTGCAGAAACACTCCGAGAGAGCACCCAGCACCGTGTTCGGGATCTGCCACCAGATGCTCAGTGGGCTGACGCCATCGCACGCCGAGGCGTGGTAGCCACATGGTGAGGTCTCGTAAACTCGCCACTGTACTATTGCTGCGATGACGCTGGAGATGGTCGCGAGGATGAATCCAAAGGCGATCCGGCTTGCTGGGCCGAAGCGAATCCGGTACCGCGCGAGAGCGGGGTAAACGACGTGGCTGAGGAATGGAACCGTGACGATGATTGTCAAGGCGTTGAAATTGTTGAGGAGATCATTGGGGGCGCCGTTGGTGGTCATCGAGCCGCCTTGGTTGGTGGAGACGGAGCCGATGCCCCCGTCGTTGAGGATCCAGATGGGGAAGTAGAAGAAGACTTCGGTGGCCACTGTGTGGTGGTTAGAGGAGTTCAAGCAAAGTGTCAGGGAGTAAACTCACCCAACGTGCGTCGCACGTCGTCTACCAGCTTCTCGTTCCAATCTACCTGGATCCCCTCCGCGGCGAGCACGCTAGGCTTAGCGGCGTTGAAGAAATCCTTCTTCCAGACGCGGTACTTGTTGCGACGGAGAGCAGTCGAGATGATCTTGAAAGCCTTGGTGAGATCTGAACTGCCGCTCGGAGGTTGCTTGTACGTTTTCTTATACACCAACGCCAACACGACTGGGAGAAGAAAGTATATCGCTCCCGCCAGCACAAACGACAGCCAGAACCCAACATACTTCTCTGCGTACGCAGTGGGAAGCATATAGAACGCCCCGATGTTCACAAACGCGTAGAAGAACAGCATCGTTCGCGTGGTAGTCAACTCCGGATCGACAATGACCTTCTCTCCCGTCTTCAGAACCTTGGTGTACTGCTTCTTCTGGCGATTTTGGTCGAGGATGGTGGGTGCGATGTTGGGCTTGAAGATTCCGGCTCCGAGCGCCAGAAGGAGAAGGCCGATTATGAACGGAGGGGCGGCGTGCGCTGGACCTTTTTGAAGGACAGAGGGTATGGCGCCGATGATCTGGATTATATGTGCGATGCCGCAGATTGCTACACCGACGCAGATCGCCTTGTAGCGGCCCACGTGGACGTCCGCCCACCTGTACTGTCAGATGGGTCAACAACAAATAGGAGTAAACTTACCATCCACCGAGAATAGGCAGGACATAGGCTAAGAAGGAAAACAGAAGCACAAGCCCTTGGCCAGCCTGCAGACCCATTCCTAACGCACCAGCCGACTCCTGTGTGCCCCTCGGGGGAGCACCAGCCCCATTTCCACCTGTCTTCGGTTACCATCAGCCTTTCATAAAGAATACAGGGAGTATACCCTTTGGAAGAGGACGCTGGATGAAATTAGAGAATATATTCTTGGCGCCGTAGTAGGATGCACGCTCCGCGAACTCGACAATACACAGCGAAAACGATACCAGAGGGAGGGTTGCAGGGACTTTGCGCAGCGATATCTTTTCTTCTTCTGTGGGAGCAGGGTAGTCGTCTGTTTCCGTAGAGGTGGCTGTAATTTCATAGTCGTGCTTTTCGAGGTCGCCTTTGACTTCAGTCAACCCGGAGGTGATCGCGTTGCCGGTAATGGTATCACCTGGTGAAGCTGCTATTGTCAGTAGAGCTAGACAACGGGCAGGTGGACTTACACATTTTGACACCTGCGATGAAATGGCATTCATGATTCTAGACGAGGAGATGGATGGTTCCCTTTTTATCGATGCTCAGCTGGTCGCGCCATCGAGGTCTGTCCTTTGCAATTATGCAAGCGACGGACTCCGTCGGTAAGACAATCATGCAACATTAGCTGGTCAGTATCAAATCAGGTTCATCGGATACAGCCAATTGCGGTAGGAATATGCAATGTAACCTCAGGTGGGATTTGTTGCTTAGCCGTGCTTGAAGTTCTTATCACGGGCGCGGGTCATGCTAAAGCAGGTTGATCAATTCGAGTCCACTATCGCGCCATCAAGTCAGTCTGGCATTTGTTCTGTCAACAAGCTAACAGCTCAATTTTACCTAATGTGTAAATGAACGCTGAGTCTTCGAAGCTTCTGGATCTTTTCGCCATTGGTTACCATCAGTGCTTCATTGCCTTTCAGGGAAAAATCGTAGAGGTGGTAGAACGAGATTTAATGCAAGATGGAACGTGTATCCCCCCGCCACTAAAGACTAAGGCGCTATAGGTAAGTTCTGGGTGAATACTTCTGTACAATTCGCTGCATTCTTGCATTGACCTCGTGGCGAATATCCGACGCTTGGACGTCAAAAATATGTGAGATAGAACTACAACCTCCATGCGGTCCATGCTGTATGCCTAGCTTAGCCATGTTTCGGGGACTCAATTTCTTAGAACCGATTGATAGCACCACACTACGCCAGATAAACGACGACTGTACACTGTAATGAACGCTGGATGTTTCTTAGACATTGTATCAGCAATAGATGTTAAAGTAGGCTTGCCAGAGTGGCCAGGCCCATAAGTTACAGTAACAATTAACCAAGGAATCGCTATCAAATAAAAATTGGTCTACTGCAAACTAAAGAACGTACCCAACAGCAAGCTCTCAGCT